GTATGCAACCGGATGTGACGTACTATGATTTGGTGGTATTGGTACACCTAAATCCCTATGTTTTCTGGAATCTAAGGAGCACATTAATCCCTAATTTTAGATACAAACTCATAGACAAGTAACTTTTAGCTCAAAATAGTCTATATATATATTTATTTTTCTTTCGCCAAAAGTTCATTTCTGGAATTTATTTGGTTAGTTAAAGTAAACAATGACACCAAAAGCACTATTTTTTGTCAGAGTAGGGCTACTTTTACAAACGTTCTAAATTTTATGGAGTGAAATGGTCGTATCTGTTTATGCTTACCGTCGGATATAATACAATACAATAAAGTACTCCAATATGCAGTCTATAAACAGTATCTGGCATTAACTACCCCTTGCTTATATTTATTCGAAATTTAATTCATGTAGAAGCACCTACTTAAAATAATACCGATAATTTAATTTTAAACTCAACAATTCTAATTCCTTTTGCATCGAAAGGTATTAACATTACAAATATAATTTTACGATATTCATAAACAGTTTCATTTGTTTTAGTTTCTTAATTCTATTCAAATCCATGAGATGTCTTATTTTAGGTTACTGTTACCTAACGCTGAAATGCAGGTTTCCATCTGTAAACGGTAAAGTCCAAATTAAAGTTAGAATACTCGGGGTTTTTAAATTTGCTGGTAAAAATATTTCCAAAGGGGATATCCTTTTGGCTGTACGGGATGTATACATACGTGTCCAAATTAAAGTAAAATAATCGGCATTTTCAAATTTGCTGGTAAAATTATTTCCAAAGGGGGGTGTCCTTTTTGCTGTACAGGATGTATACATACGTATCCACGTTAAATAAGGGATACGTCTAATCGTTAGCTTCGAGTAGAGAGAGTGCAATGAAATCCGCAATTAGTGAACCCTATCAATAAACCGTTGAGGTATCCGGAGGTCGCCTCCGGCAAGACTAAAGTTCTTATCAATCCAAAAAAGGGGGACGATTCCAAAGATATATCCAAACAAACTATTAGCAAGTGGCAGTCCAAATTTCCGTTTTTATCTCACTTCACTCCGATTGACCGATTACAGGAACATTATATCCCTATTGTATTAATTGTTTAGTTCTCTCCCCGAACTTTGCTGAAATATTTGCCGCTGGACTGATGACAAACAACAATCAATCAATTTCCTGAGGTGCTTTTAAATCTAAATATCATATTATTTTTAATCTAACCAATTAAGTGTGGTCGGTAAATTATGTGCGTATATCAATTGCGCCAATTTTGAAAATATCGAAATATCATAGTTTATTTTTCATTTGCGCCAATTATCAATTTTTTATTTGCGCCAAATTAATTCAAACAGTTTAGATCTGATACATTTTAGATAATTACATTCACTTAGGTTAACCAAACGCAGCAGTTCAATGAGTACATGTCTATGTTATAGATACATGTATATAGATACATGTTAAGCTCATTGATTTAATTATAAAACACTTCTGTTACCCGAACATTTACTTTAATTTATGGATGTCATAAAGAAAATCCAGGCATTAATTTAATATATGTAAACATGATAATCAGATCTCTCAACGTGGCAGCAACCGTAACATAACATGAAAAGGGAAAAGAATGACTTTTTTTAATAAAAAGTATATGATATATTGTAGAGAAGATATCACAAGGGAAGACTTGTAAATATGCTTTGATGTCAAACTGTTACTATCTTATTTTATAAATTGCTTTTTTAAGTGTGATGTATACAGTTTTAGAACTTTTGCAATAAATTTATCCTGCTCAAAATTCCACTTCCTCTTCCCCGTTTCGGGTTAACAAGGGGCAGATGGCAGAAGGCCAGTAGGGATATTTTTGTTATTTTATCAATAAATTCTATACATCTTCTATGTCTCATGACTTGTGTTTACCTGTTAATTGGTGCAAATGAAATGAAGAAAAACAAATGGCACAAAGAAAAAAAGGCGCAAATGAAGTGCAGAGTGGACGCGGTTATCAAATATCAAACAAATTTAGATCATTTTTGAAAATGTAATTAAAAAAAATATTTTTCTTAAAACATAAATATATTTATTGTTTAAACATTCCGCTGATATGTCAACAGTTGCATAAGCATTTATTATGTATTTTGATTTTCGTTGCAAACGACTCATGCAATTGAAAGTTGATTACTGATAAACAGTATTGTAGTATTAGCTTTCGTACATTATAAAATCGTTAACTGTATGATCCTGTATGAACCCACTTCATTTCTTTATATTAATCGTGTATAAATGTTTCACATATAGGTCTTATTTGAACATTAAACAGTATGGAAACAATGAGTACATAGTATAACCAAATATGCATGCACAAAGCACGATTTATCATGCAAAATATGCTAAGTTTCTACTGTTACTGTATTGTACATAGCTCAATTCAATTCAATTCAATTCAATTTCAATTTCAATTTCATTTTTGTTTTTTCAATTTTCATCAAAAACATGATTTCTAACAATTAAAATAAACTAATGTGCTCTGACGATGACACACAGTAATTGCAACTACTTCCGGCATTTACACTCATGTTTTTATTTACATCGATGTCAATCATCCAGTAAAGATGAATATTCATTACTACCCTCGGTGGTTAACGTCCCTCGCTGGTTAACTTTAAGTGCCGATCGGGTTACATACTGAATGTGCACTGAGGAATTGCCACAATATAAATAGCTATAAAGAGAATTCTAAATATGTATAATTGTGTTTTCAATTTATCATTGATATGTTCGATAAACAATTTTCTATTCATATAAATTTGTTCAAATTACAAATATGTATTAAAACAACGTATACGGGGCAATGACAGGAAGACAGTGCAAAGTATCAAGATGCTATATATATACACATACAACAAATAATTTGCAAATTTTATGTAAAATTTTGCAGATAACAATAACTGCAGGTAACAATAAAAAATGATGTTATTGTTAGCTACAATTTCCGTATGAAATATGGTCCCTGCCCTGCTTTTCGGCAATTAGTCTCGGAAGTAACCCAGCCCCCTATCCACTAAAAATCAAATCAGGTTGATTTGTCATGAAATGTATGTTCCTTCATAATATAATTTTCAAGCGGAAGAAATATTCTGTAATATTTGTTTTCCACTGGAACAAATATTACAGAATTTGTCCCTTACCTGGGACTATTATACTAATAATAGTAATGAAGGAACTAATATTGCTTTTTCATGGAGATTTAATTTCTATTACTTACTATTGAAAAAATGGACAAATATCTAATGCATTTATGACTTTGGTTTAATCGCATCGTTAAAAAATACTAGTGTTATGCCATAGGTATTAATATGTCCGTCCATATTGTAAATCCACAGGCACTTGTCTCAGAAATTTTTTTTCCTATATACCTTAATATAACACAAGGTACTTAACTCGCAGTTTTGAAAAATGTCAGCCGGTCGCGAAATTCCGTTATATGCCGATTTCTCGGTTGTCAACCCCACTAAAACTTGTTATGTCGTAAATCTAAATTGATTTGTCTACACAATGGTGTATAACACGCCTACTTTTGTTGTCGGAATCATCCGTAGCAATCCTACCCAAGTATGTCAATCGTAATTATTTCGTCTACCGACGCCAAATTGTATTTCATATCTGGTATTTTTAAAGAAATTGATTACTTTCAGGCTGGTGAAAAGGGATTTAATTACCTACGATTTTGCAGTAAAACCCGCCCCTTAACCTGGGACAGTGGTGTAACAGTACAACATAGGAACGAACTATAAAACTCTATTATTTTGGTTTCAGGTGTCCCATTGACGTCTTTAACAGATGGGAGTTGTCTGTTCAGTTCTGCTTCCATGGCCCTCGTGGGTGACAACAGTCTTGTGACCGAACTCCGTGTCCGTACTTGCATTGAAATGCCATTAAACAGCGACAAGTATTCTAAGATTGATAATTATAAAAACATTCTCCTAGTCTCCCCAAGTTACAATAAGTCATGTATTGACTGTTCAAAACCCGGTGGGTTTTCTTCACAATGAACATTACACGCATTGAGCAATGTCACTGGAAACAATATTAGGGTTGTGTATCTTTTGATGTCTAACATTTTATAAATCATTACCTTCAGCATAAACTGTGATCCATTATTATCTGTCTTTCAAAACAGTATTCATATATTATTGTTAAAATTGAAACATTCATACTTGTTTTTGTGCTTTATTACAAATGTCTATTATCTGAATTTGCAAAATACTTTTTTCCTTCTTCCTGGTACGGGAAAGACTCCGGTGCCGGAGTGTGGAATATCCCGGAACTGTGGCGCTATGTACATGCAAATGGATGTCGAAAATTTTGTTATAAGATAAAAATATTTTCCACAGTTCAATTACAATTTAAAATAACATTAGTTGTAGCTTAATGTTAAACATATTCACATTATGTACAGTGGCTTAAATACACTAATTAATTAGCCAGACTAGAACCTCCAAATGTTAATTAAGGTGGAGATACCACCTTTGAAGGATTCTAGGGAGGGTGACATGCAAATTGTTTCTGGGAGATCGTTCCAGACAGCAATAGTATTTGGGAAAAAAGATGATTTAAAAAAGTCTTTATTTTTATATATATGTCGAAATTTATGTAGGCCTCTAGTTCGCCTTGTCTTTATTAAAAAAAATCAATGTGCATAACTTATTTCATCGACACAAAGTTGTCTCATGCCAATACAATATCTATATATTTTCCCCGGGCGCCTTTTCTTTTCCCCGGGCGCTTTTTAGTAGGTCCCTAATTGGAACCCCCCCCCCTTTATCCTGGGTTGGGAACCCCCTTTTAAAAATGGCTGGATCCGCCCCTGTGCTCACCCTACCATAAATGGATTTTGAAGGGGTCCACCGATTATTTATGATAGGAGCGACTACAATGTTTGTGTTGTAGACAAAACGAAAGTAGAAAGTTAATATTTCCCGCCAAATATTTTAGCTGATCTCGTTGTTTGCGAGATTTCGGAGCGTGCATGCACGACGGCCTTTGCAACGTTTTGCAGACAACACTAGTAATTATGCAAAAGTGTCCTTCTTGTCCCAAGTGCTGTAACTTTTATTCAACCAAAGGTAATAAATGCATAACATGACATTGACGAAATAAGCCGATTGCCGGTGAAGACATGAAAAAGGGGGAGGGTCTTGCTGTTTATTATTGTTCAGTTACAAATGCTCAGTACTCCAGGATAAGAATAAATGATGCTTTTGTTGGTTCTTGTGAAATAGGACAAAATTTCTTCTACATAGATTTTTAAATCGTTCTTCTTATTTTATAACATTTCATTGAAAAATTCACTAATATATTTGAAAAATTATCTGTGAAACCATATCTTTTATGATCCTTGTGATATAAATATTGTAAACTCTTTTGGGATTCTGTGTCCAGAACGATTTTCTGATGTGGCCGTCCTCAGAATCCCTTATCAAGCCCTAAATTACATTCAGAGAAATTTTTGCCAACTATACCTAACCTTGAATGGTTGCATTTTACGCCTACAGCACCATCCATACAAGGGAAGCAGGTAAGAATTGAATAGAAAACATCTCGGCCATGCAGAATCCATAGCACTTTCCTGTACATTTCCTAAGTCAGTATGCTTGTGTTATTAAGGTTCATGTGGACCCTTTGGCTAAAATGGCTGCGTTTTCACCTCAAAATTTACTCTTGAGCACAGACAAACCTGTGCATCTGGAAAAGTTTTAAGGCATAGCATGCCCTAGATAAATAAAATTCAAATACATTGTATGTTTTAGAAAATTTAAAACTCAACTGGATTTTGCAGTGCACTTTTTTTCGTCCCTGCAGAAGATGATAAAATTTGAGTTTGACTTGATATGGTCCACTCAGGTACACAGTTTAAATCACCAATTATTGTCAGGTATCTATTGTCCATCTATTGTCCATGTCAATTAATACAGTTCACTTCAATTATTACAAGTGGGGAAGTTCTCAAACCTCTTTCACAACTTAGTTTATTTTGGCATCTACACATTGCTACAGGAGGATTGAAAAAAAGTGCACTGCAAAATCCTGTAAAGTTTTCAATTTTCTAAAACATAAAATATATTTGAATTTTGTTTATCTAGGGTTTATCTAGGGCATGCTATGCCTTAAAACTTTTCCAGATACACAGGTTTGTCTGTACTCAGAGTAAATTTTGAGGTGAAAATGCAGCCATTTTAGCCAAAGGGTCCACATGAACCTTAAGTCACAATAAGCTGTATCAAGAATCGATTGTTCAATGACATAATTTACCTTAAAAAAACAACTCAAGATTGGCTATTAAAATTTTTAAAATACCTTACCTGAAACAATAGTTATAGATCCATTTTGTCAAAAACATAATTTTGTAGTTCTGTAGACGACCATGCATATTGTTTTTTCTCTGACCTGTGACGTTTCTCTAATTTGAATACTAAAAACTAAATAAAAAAATCCTAAAGGACAAATCCTATTTCCAGATAGTGCCTGTCAATGGCACCAGAAAATCGAGCTGTCGAAAAACTGGAGGACAAAGCAGTGCCTAATTTTGCTTTACCATATACATTTTCCCCCCAAAACTAAAATTATTTAAACTGTAGGCTCCTTTACAATACAGTAACAAAGCATTGTAAATTTTGGCTCCACATGCCCTAATTTAACAATCCACTACAATTTCCCGATTGAAAATGTCTTTAACATATCATGTATATCTTGAATCATATGCTTGACTCAATCATTATAATTCTGTTTACGTAAGCATTTGGTCTAAGTTGTTATTGTCCCCTGTGAAAGGTGTTGTTGTTAGGACAGAGAAATAATGGATGTTCAGTTTTCTTGTTTCCTTGTGAAATTTATTTCAAAGGTTTATATCAGCAATGTCTCGGACAAGTTTGAATCATTAGTGCTGATCAACTACTTTTATATGAGTTATCATGCAGAGATGCAGTTAATAGTCAACCCTGTCCGACATAGGAGGCCTAAGATTAGAAGCTCCGGCAAATGAAGTCTTAGTGTTAGACCCAATGACCGACAAATATTTTGACTGTTTTGGGCCGTCAGAAATGAAATTTCTGTTGGTCATAGGTACCTTGGCTTCTTCGAAACATTTATTTCTGGTAATAGGAAAACATGCTGATGTAAACAGATTTTGATCTTCCCTGTGTTTTTTTTCAATAAGCTTATGTCATGTGATCATAATTATTTTTGACTTTCTCTGGATTTATCATTACATAGGCATACCTAGTATGTCATTTTAGGCTTCAAATATTTTATTTTAAGTTGTGAGAAGTGCTCCTTTAAAGGAGGGATTTTCTAGAACAGAACAGAATATAGCATGAATGAAAGAAAATGAAAGTAAATTTCTAGTCAAAATATTGACTAGAAGCTTGTTTTCAACTTCTTTTTGATAGCTGAGGGATAGTTTTGATATGAGACTCAGCTGGTGTTATCAGGATGCCTTCCATGGACGCACTGGTTCATGCAATGGCGAGTCCAGACAGAAAACCATGCATCCAGGATGTGTATAGGCACCTACACGAGAACTTTTTTAATTCTACAAGCACGAGTTTTGTCTCCAAATGACTGATCAGTGGTGCATGAAGTAAAACAGTCGGAACAATAGAAGGCCAAATCAATTATGTAGTTGAAAAGCATTGAAAACCAAACGTTCTAACAAGGGACAACTAATGACCAGATTTATGTAAATAAAATTTAAAAAAAACAAGTATTATTTTAGTGTACAAAATTTATTTTTTTTATTTTAGTTAACTTAATGTGTGAATTAACACACATATTCATTTTGACATACTGTCTTTGTTTTTGATCTAATTGTTCTTGCAATAAGACAACTATCCATTAAGTTAAGTTGTCTTATTGGTAATAAAGGTAGTACAACATTCTCATTTATTTATTTGATGTTGCAGGACAATTTAAATTAAATGTGGTCTCAGTCATGAAACCACCCCATGGTCATATCCTTGAATAGGTTGTTCAAGTCAAGGTTTTAAGGCGTATCTTAATCCGACTGGGAACTATTAATTATTTTTTTTAAAAGTAGGTCTGGCAAACAGTTGATAGGACAGGCAAAACGGTCTAACATGCAGGACCTAATGTCTGAAAAAAAATTATCTGCATCTCTGGTTATGCCCTTTGGAAATATTGGTATTATGGAAAGTTGCATTGTAAGTACTCTCAAGTGTTCAGTTCCTGCTAGCTTTTTATCAAATCTATATCAGCCATGTCTCCAACAAGTTCATTAATCAGTGCCGATCAACTATTTTTTTAAAGAGTTATGCCCTTGGAAATGTTAATGACCTGGAAAATTGCATTGTAAGTGTCTCAAACTTAAATTTTTTGAAGGGTTGTTATGAAATTTATATCGAATTTTTATATCAGCAATGTACATGATGTATGGGACAAGTAGAAAATTACAGGTATTACAGGCTCCTGACTTTGGACAGGCAAATACAGAATGTGGCGGGGTTAAACATGCTGACTCTCCACCTAACCTGGGACATTGGTGTAACAGTCTAACATAAGAACAAACTATAAAAATCAGTTGAAAAAGGTTATTATCATGTGGCTTGTACCTTCTTCAAGTTTTGAAGGTATATATGTATACATGTATATAGGAATCAATCTGTCTGTCTGAACAATCTTTAGAGTACTTTGTCCAAATTAGACCAAGCATTGTAAACTTACAGATTATGATGTGTCAACATTGCAGCTCAATGAATTTTCTTCTCCATTCAGTATTTCTAGTAACTCCTTCTACTTGCTTTAATACTAAATGTTCTTTAAACAGTATCCTTACATGTAATTCACATTTTAGTAAAGCATTCTTGACTTTTGACAATTTTTAGAGTTATGCCCCTTCAATATCATAATTTTTTATAGTTATAGTATGTACCTTTTGACTTTCTAATTCATCTTGCAAAAATAAATTTCATCCACCCAGGTAATGGAGACCACAGAAAATGTTTTAACATTTTAAAAGGAAAATTCAATTTTGCATACTCCTGTTAAAAGGACAAGATCATATTTAACAGTCAAGCAACAAACTGAACACGGCCCAAGGATTGACTGGTATAGAAATACCACATCCCTGGACTTCTTTTGTTCCATCAAGTTAAACCCTAAAGTTGGGTGTCCAACAATACAAGCATTCTTGTTAATGTTAAAATATGAAAATAAACAATGAATGTTCAATAAAATATATATTATTAGATATTTATTCGACAAAAAGTTAAAAAAGGGATATTTGTCCACAGCAGACACTACTAGCTAAATGTTTGAACAAGAATATTTCACATTTCATATAAAAGAAAAAAATTGTCTGACAATATAAATATTTTCTACATATATTTCAGATGCACCGAAATTCAATAGAAATCCAGTATTACTTCATTGTGGACACACATTTTGTGCATCATGCCTCAACAAACTAGCCAGAGAAAACAAGACAAGTATTACATGTCCTACCTGTCAGGTATGTACAATCAATTATTTGCAGTAGATTATACATGCTGTACATGGATAAAAAATAAAAAAACAATTTTGTTTTGTATCCATAGAAATTTGTCTAATCAGTATGACAGGTCCAACAAGTGTCTAACATTTCTACACTTTAAAGTAGAATTAAAACAATCCTTAGAATCCAGTTGCATGTATTTGTACTTGTACAAGATGACCTGCTGTTCTATGTACATATAATTTTTCATATACTGTGGATTCATTTATTTTTCGTTCCTACCAATTTTGTGGATTTAAGAAAATCATATTTTTCGTGGATTTCTCTGATTTCATGGTTTTACAAACATCTGCATACAAGCCTATAGAAAAATGTGTACTTTATACTTGAACATTTGAATTCATTGTTCACCTGTACCCACAAAATCCACAAAAAATGGTATCCAACGAATAATAATGAATCCACAGTAATCAAAGGGACTTCTGCTTTTGCAATAACAAACATTTGTCTTTTAACATAAAGCAATTCATCTTTTTAGAGATAACTGAACATCTGTCTTATATTCTGAGTATTTTCCAAGATACTTAGGAAGAGCGTGAACAGTGAAGTATAACTGTAACAGAAAATCTGAAGAGAAAAGAATATATATTTTACTTTGTAAAAATCTGTCTTACAAAGTTTCACCAAAACTTTATCATTAGAGACTATCATTGAATTGATTCTTTGAAGGAGAATATTTATTTTACCTGATTTGTTTTGTAGGGTCCTTCTCCTTTGAGTGTGGATGGAATTAAAAGTCTGTGGCCAGATGTATACACAACAGGCATGATAGTGTGTAACCAAAAGATCCTCTTAGATCAGTAAGTCTGATTGGTCATAAGCAATACACTAAAGTAATCAGTAATAGGAATTAAAAGTCTGTTTGCACCTGTCCTAAGTCAGGAATCTTATGTTCAGTAGTTGTCGTTTGTTGATATGGTTCATAAGTATTTCTCGTTTCTCTTTTTTTATATAGATTAGACTGTTGGTTTTCCTGTTTGAATGGTTTTACACTAGTAATTTTTGGGGCCCTTTATAGCTTACTGTTTGGTGTGAGCCAAGGCTCTGTGTTGAAGACCGTACTTTGACCTATAATGGTTTACTTTTATAAATTTTGACTTGGATGGAGAGTTGTCTCATTGGCACTCATACCACATCTTCTTATATCTAACAACAGGCATGATAGTGTGTACCCAAAAGATCCTCTCAGATCAGTAAGTCTGATTGGTCATTAGTAATACACTAAAGTAATCAGTAATAGGAATTAAAGTCTGTGGCCAGATGTATACACAACAGGCTGGATAGTGTGTAACCAAAAGATCCTCTTAGATCAGTAAGTCTGATTGGTCATAGGCAATACAACTAAAATCCTTCTAGATCAGGAAGAGTAAGCCTGACAATTAATTAGTAATACATATAAAAAAAATCGTTTTAGATCTGAAGTCATATTGTTATTAAATAAAATACATGTAACAGTGCAGTAAACTTTCATCAGAGCCTTGTTTTTTTCACTTTTAAATCAAATTTTACCATCAAAATTAACTGAAAGTATTTTATAAAATGGATTAAACATGTTAATTACATGTATAATTATTTACTTTGTACACATTGTGACTTGGATGGAAAGTTGTCTCATTGGCACTCATACCACATCTTCTTATTTATATATCATTAGAATTGTATCATTTTGTTATTCAGATTATGAATTCTTTATTGCAGGGAATTGAGTAAATTGACACCAGCTGGAATGAATACTCAATACAAAAGAGATTATTCTGATAGAAGAGGTAGAATGAATTGCTGGCTATTTACATGATTAATTGATTTTTGTTTGCTTTATGTCCAGTGTCAAATATTTCATGCATGTGCAGGATGAGACAAATTATCAATAAATACAATAGGCAGGTTCTATAAGGTAGAATTTGACTGAGGTGAAGGACATGAAATTTGGACTGCCACTGAAATTAGAAATTTTGCCGAGCAACAGGCCACCTATAGACCCCTCATAGAATTGTTGCAAGGGTTTATTTACTCACAGGTCGTGGCCCTCTCTACTACTGGAATTTGATTTAAAGTCCCTGTTCAGACAAGACATGTCTGCAAAATATATACAGTATGCATAGGTAATCAGACCCCACTTTGGCAAGGGTTTTACGACCCATGGATTTTTGTAGTATTCCACAGAGTCCCGTATTCGGACCCATTCCCAATGGCAAAACTTCTACATTTTTTCCCAATTTAGGGAGGAAAAATTTCCAAACGAAATTTTTAGGGACATTTGCCCGCCAGATTGTAAAATATGTTTTCACCTATATTATTCATGACAGTGATGTTTTTTTTGTTCAACCCCTAGCTTAATGCAGAAAATCACAAACAAGTAATGTGAAAAACTGAGTAAAAACATATCCGACTGACAAAATACAACTTCGACAAATGGCCACTGTATACCGGAAATGTAGATAAATGCAATATCTGATCAGATTCTGGCAGCAGATAAGGCTAATTCGGGGTTTGCCGATCAAATATAAAAAATATATTAAAAAAAATATGACGCAGGTGACAAATTATAAACTATTAAATATAAACTCTTGAATTGAAAACTAAAAGATATATAAAAAAGAAAGACGATGGATATATTTTTTACAGAAACTCGAAGACAAAAATAGTCCACAAATGTTCATGTCAAAATCCAATTAAAATGTTACATTCACTTTTCTTTATCACAAATAAATTTGATATTGGATGTTTTTATAATGTAAACACATTACTACAGATCTAGGATGTAATTTCTTCTCAATTTTGAAGGGACAGTAAAAATCTGGAAGGGCAAGTGATTTAGAAAAGTGTTAGCCTGCTTGTCCAGTTAAAAAAAATCTTATTTAGGCTATCCCTGACTTTATTATTTTAAACTGTTACCGTTTTTGAAGGTAAAAAAGGGGGTAAATTCTTATCACATGTGTACAAGAAGATATATGGTATTTTGATACTTAAATTATAAACTTGATTGCCTTGTTGTCGTGTTTAAAAACAAAAAGGACAGGAAAATAAAATTATAAATGGCAATCGTTTTGTTTCTTACTTTATTTTCACAAAAATATATAATTTCTAATGAACTATACACATTAAAACTCACGTCTGGTATATTTGTTGGGTTTTCCCAATTTCCTTGAAAATTGCGTGAAAAAAAACCCAAAACTGCCCAGTGTCCTTTTCCCCAAAATACCAAGAAAAACCCCTGCTGCCGGTCAAAATAAGACCCAAGATATGACCATATTTCTATAACGAAGTCTACCCTTCTATGATTGTAAGTTTTACATGAGGAACACATATCAGTGTTTAAAATTGTTTTTGCATGAAGGCTTTATAAATATATTTTTAGGTCCTCTAAGATTGAGTAATTTATTTCAGTACAATTCATTTTATAATTTATAAGTAAATACACTTTAAAGACGAGACCTGAGATGTATTTAACAATATATGATGATTTTATTTACAGCGGAGAAGTTATGTCGTGAATGCTGTAGAAGATTAGCTACCTGTAAATGTGACAGATGTGAATTCATCTTATGTAAGATCTGTTTTAATCAGGTAAGGAATCTTAATTTTCATCTAATATATTCTTCCAAGAACAGACATCTTTGTGATACCATTTATCATTCAGTTCAGATAACCTTCATCCCTTCACCCCTTTCGGAGTGAAGGTATAATAAACTTTCTAGCTTGTAAACTGAAGGAGGAGTTGGCATCATTCCCAATGAAGGGTACACTTATGTGTTTCAACTCCTACAGTTTTAAACCCACAACCCTCAGACTCTCAAGATGATATCTTGGCTGATATGGAATGAGATCAATGATAATTATGTTTTGCTCATCATTTAGATAAGATAGTTGTCAGGTCTCACTGTCTGTATATAGAGATCTCTATTATTGCATAATTTAACTTTCTTTCAGATTCATGGCTCGTCCAATACTCTCAAACAGCATCAAGCTATACCATTATCACAGGAAGAAAGGTTTGTATTTTATGAAAAAGAGTTCAAGTTTGTTGCATTAAGAAATCTTAACACAGGAATACTTTGGATGAAGTAAAATTCATTCAAGTTTAAAAGAGTAAAAGTTATTCAATTAACTATAGTCCCTGCTTTCTGAAGTGTTCAGTATATAGTGATGGGGGTGTCGGTTTGTTGGGTTTGTCCCTCCATTCCACTTTTGTATCCTTTGCTGCTCCTGAACTGCTTGACATAATTTTGTGAATTTATGTTTTTCCCCTCTGATTTTTGAAACTGGTTATATATTATGTGATATATGGATGCTTTTTCAGAATCCTCACCATAAAATGCCATTGTGATTTTTATCCAAATTATTTTTAGATTATTTTTGGGGTTTCTCCATAACTAATTGCTTTATCTGTGTGTTTACCCATTTTGTAACTGCAATTCCTCCCAAACCCTGTGTTACAATTTATTGAAACTTTCTCAAAGTCTTACTCCAATGATGTACTTTGCATCTCATATTTGTTTTTTCATCTAAATGATTTTGAGGGTTAACTTTAGTATTACATGACATACTTGCTAACTTCTCAAAATCCCCATTTGGTATTTTAAGCACAATATAACTGAATGCATCTCTTTATAATATACATGTCAGTGTCATAAATCCTGTATACTATGGTTTAAAAAAAAATATACAAACAAAAATATTGAACTCCAAGGTAAATTCAAAAAGGGGGGAGTCCATAAAAAACTGACAAAACCAAACGTTCGACTATATCAACCAATAGAGCGACAAGAAAACAACTGTCATTCTTGACTTGGTACAAGCATTTTCTGAAGAATTTGAATGAGTATATGTGTACTTGTATGCAATTTTAACTTTTTAAATGCCTGTTTGAGGTATTGAAGTTATATAATAGAGGATTTCAAGAGTCAGGTCAACATCCATCATAAACCTGGGTAATTTTGCCAGTCTACTGATGTCTTTTGAAAACAGCTTAAATAACTTAAATCTTAGATCATTGAAATAAAATCTATCAGTAAAAAGGAAATGCATGAAAATGAACAGTTTTGTTGAACATGTTGAAAACAATCATAACCAACTCCTTTTTCTGTGGAACCATATACATGTACCAAATCTAATGTTTTGCTTGATATATAAGTGGATCAATAAACTCTATCAAGGGAACATTTGTGTGAAGAACAAGATTTGTATTTTTGCAGTAGTAACACTATTTGCCAGTTAGAAGTGTCATCTACATGTGCCATACATGATGGAAAACTGATAGAATATTATTGTGAAGATGACCACACACCTGTTTGTTCACGATGTGTTATCACGGGAGAACATAAAAACCATTCTATATTGTCTATGGAGGAAAAGGTAAGGAATATGTGTGTCTCATATAAGTCACCTGTCTGTTCACGATGTATTATCACTGGAGAACATAAAAACCACTCTATACTGTCTTTGGAAGAAAAGGTAAGAAATATCAGTACCTCTTAAAACACACCTGTCTGTTGTCAATCTAAAATAGAACATCAAAACTACTATATATATTCATCTTGCAAGAATAGATACTTTTATCTCTTAGAACACATCCTTTACTTGATAATTTATTTTAAAGAGATTTTAGCATTAATTGTGGAAGTAAAAGTATAAAGATTTGCTTCACCTAGCCTTGTTATATTCCTCATATACACTCAATGGGTAGCATTAATACAATGTTATAGGCAATATCACCTCGGGTAGTAAAAGAAAAAGTTTGCATGCACTTCATCACTTAAATCAGTCCTTTCTTATATATTATTTTTATCAAAGCCATTCTTGAAGTTATTAATGTTTGTGGGTTGTTAACTTTTGTGTATTTCATCAGTCAAGGATATAACTCTATAGGGCTATCAGAGAAAAATAACATACATTTGTTATTGTGGACTGAAAAGGCAAAGAACTGTGATAACATATGTATGTTACATGTTTCAAAGGGACAATATACATCATTAGTTTTGTTAAAATGTATACAAGTTCTATTGATATTACTATTGTCTTTATGTATACTTAACTATAGAAAGATATATCAGTTCATAGTTTGCCAATCATGCATAGTACACCTATGTTATTACAGAAAAAATATTCCTGTAATAACTAAAGGGTGTTATTACAGCTTCACTACATCACTCCAAAGTATTTGCTCAGACATACATCATGCTTAATTACAATGTATTTTAATTTATTGTAAGAAATAATGATCAGAGCATGTAATGAGGTTCTGCACAAGCTTCCCAGTAATTCCCAAGTGTCTCATATAATATGTTACATGCCTTTAATAACTAAGCCTTGTTATAACAGCCAAGTTTATCCCTAAAAAGCCTTGTCTTATTGATTGAGGTTAATGAAAAATGTATTGATTTAATTCAAAAATTAGTTATCAAGGCTATGCATTTAGTTTCTGTGCAAAGTTTCAAGAGTTCCCTAGAGCCCTATAAAAATTAAAATATTTATGATTTATTTTACAAATAACAAACATATGTTATTACAGATTTAGAAAATTTAAGGATTAAAGAGTAGACAACTCATGAAAGTATCTGTAATAACACATGCAAGTTATTTTCTGTAATAACCCTATAGAGTTATATCCCTGACTGTTCATGGTTCCTTAACTCCATATCACAAATGAGATACCCAATGCAATATTCACAAATTTAAAAATCCACAAACCAAAGATGTTTCACAAACCACTCAATTTTATACCTAAGAATATCACTTGCACAGTAAGTGATTATTTTTATCAAACCAGTAAAAAAATTCAGTAATTTTGCATTTTCAGAATAAAGTGGTCTTCTCAGAAATGGAACCAGCTATGCAGACTGCTAATAGAGTTATTAAAAAGTTGAAAAAGGCAGAGAAGGTAATTATATCATGTATAGGTTGAAATGTGTGGATTTGGTAAAAAAGAAATTTAAAAGTTATCCTGCATGTAAGTGGTAACTACCAAAAAATATGGTTTGAGGACAAAGTAATGAGGTTTTTGTAGTAATTTTTTTACGACCGCAAAAATTGAAAATTTTTTGGTCGTATATTGGTATGACGTTGGCGTATTCGTCGTCGTTGTCGTTGTTGGCGTCGTCCGAAGACACATTGGTTTTCGCACTCTAACTTTAGTTTAAGTGAATGGATCTCCATGAAATTTTACCATAAGGTTCAATACCACGAAAGGAAGGTTGGGATTGATTTTGGGGGTTATGGTACCAACAGTTAAGGAATTAGGGGCCAAAAAGAGGCCAAAAATAAGCATTTTTGTAACTTCCAGACAATAACTTGTGTGTAAGTGTATGGATCTCTCTGATATTGTACCACAAGGTTCCATATCACAAATGGAAGGCTGTAATTGATTTTGGGGGTAATTGCCTCAAAATTTTAGGAATTAGGGGCCAAAAAAGGGGCAAAAAACAAGCATTTTTCTAGTTTCATGACAATAACTTGTGTGTAAGTGTTTGGATATTTCTGAAATTGTACTACAAGGTTCCATATCACAAAGGGAAAGCTGGAATTGAGTTTGGGGGTAATTGCCCTAAACGTTTAGGAATTGGGGGCCAAAAAGGGGCCAAAAATAAGCATTTTTCTAGTTTCCAGACTATAACTTGTGTTCAAGTGTATGGATCTCTCTGAAATTGTACTGCAAGGTACCATACCACAAAGGGAAGGCTGGGTTTGAGTTTGGGGGTGATGAATCATAATGGGGTTCAAAAAATTTGGGGGGGGGGGGGGGATTTTTTTTTTCTTTTTTTCCCTTTTTTTTTTCTTTTAAAATTTTCCATTTTAAGTTGGTTATTTCTGATTTATATTTAAAAGCAAATAATAATGATATGGTAGGAGATACACACCAAACAGGATGTGTAAATTATTATATAATAAGTATTGTGCAATAGCAAGAAATTTTCAATTCCACAGTATTGCACAATAGCAAGAAATCTTCAATTGCACAGTATTGCGCAATAGCAAGAAATCTTCAATTGCACAGTATTGCGCAATAGCAAGAAATATCCAATAGCACAATATTGCGCAATAGCAAGAAATTGTCAATTGTACAGTATTGCGCAATAGCAAGAAATATTCAATTGCACAGTATTGTGCAAAAGAAGATACTTCGTATAAATTGCTTATTTCTTGATCAATTTCAATGGGGTTTTATTCTTGAATTCTTGGGGTTCTTTAATATCCTGAATCTAACCGTGTATTAAGTTTTTGGATTTTGGGCCCTGTTTTTAAATTGGTCCACATTGAGGTCCAAAGGGTCCAAAATTTAACTTTGTTTGATTTCATCAAAAATTGAATTATTGGGGTTCTTTGATATGCCGAATCTAACCGTGTATTTAGATTCTTAATTTTTGGTTCCGTTTTCAAATTGGTCTACATTAAGGTCCAAAGGGTCCAAAATTAAACTTAGTTTGATTTTAACAAAAATTGAATATATGGGGTTCTTTGATATGCTGAATCTGACCATGTATTTAGATTTTTGATTTTTGGGCCCCGTTATCATTTTTGTCCACATTGAGGTCAAAAGGGTCTAAAATAAAACTTTGTTTGATTTCATCAAAAATTGAATTCTTGGGGTTCTTTGATATGCTGAATATAACCATGTATTTAGATTTTGGATATTGGACCATAATAGGTGAATGTCCAATTTAAAATTTTAAAGTTCTTAGACCACATTCATTCTGTGTCAGAAACCTATGCTGTGTCAAATATTTAATCACAATCCAAATTCAGAGCTGTATCAAGCTTGAATGTTGTGTCCATACTTGCCCCAACTGTTCAGGGTTCGACCTCTGCGGTCGTATCAAGCTGCGCCCTGCGGAGCATTTTATTCAGATTTCATTGAGCTTAGTTATTTAACCGCTGTCTTTGTGTTCAAACATTTAAGAGTTTGTTGTTATATACACATAAGAACTTGTATAAAAAACAAATGATAGGTTTTACTCATAAAATGTTAGAGAGGTATTTGAAAATAAGGAAAGGAAATATGATATGTTTTCTATAAATATGTTCCTATCACTAAATTCGTCATACTTAAAAACTTTGATATCAAGTTGCTATACATTTCTTGCCCATCACCCTAGTCTCCATGTACTATTTTTCTGATTTTCTCTGTCACAATGTATTATTTTCAGTCTCTATCAGGGTTATTACCTGATATGAAGGGAGAAACCACAGACGTCATACAAGAGATCAATACCTACTACACAGGTCTACATGGAGTCTTACAAGCAAGGGAGAAACAGCTCATACAGCAAGTATATGATGCATTTAAAGCAGGAGTGGAACCATTGTATGACCTGGTATGTATACATGATAATATATTTCACCATCATTTGATGGTTTTATGGTAGTGTGGATTTATTATTCTTGGAATACCAATCTTCATTTGAATATGTAAAGGAAGAAAATTGTTAAATGTACATATTCTCTGTAGGCTTGTATGCAGACTTATCAATACGACAATGAAAGTACGATTTTCCTGAAGCTACGAAAAAATAAAAGAATCCACAGAAATTTTAATTCAATGAAGAAATACAAGCTGGTGATGGATTAATATTTTTTTTTTAGATTTGACTACAAATTTTAATACAAGTTATTTGGTATGATGTATATAAATTATCTCTTATTTAGGGTAATGTCACAGTCATTATCTTTATACTCCCTGATAAAACAAAATTATAATTAAGCTGTGGTACATAGGTATCACTATCTATTTGCCTGTCTTTCCATGTGCCTTGTAAGCTCCAAAATGGCCAATAATTGTTGTCTTACATGCTAAAGGGGAGATAATCAAACTTACTTATTTCACAATTACAATGTGTGGTATCTCATAAGCTATCTAACAAGCATATGATATATGAGGTATGATTGAAAACCTAAGAATATACACTGTATTCTGGATTGTTTTCTTGTTATCAGTAAACACCTACTTTTTTTTCAGAAACAAGAAATGCAGGACAATTTAAAGCAGTTAGAAAATGCAGTTAAAGGTAAAGGTCGTCATATATGGTAGAACCTGATTTAACGTGTATATCCTCAAAATGGGTTCCTGTTTATGACAGATTGTGAGATAAGTTTTGAAAAATTGTTCTTCCTTGTAGCTATTGCTGTTCAATTTATCTGGTTTACATATACACAAGTATAACTGTATTCAAACATAATTTTAAAACAGTAAATTTAGTTATTCTCAGGATGAAATATGAGAAACAGACAGCTCCTTCAATGTTCAGGTGCTCTTTTTAATTTCTGTAATGGAAAAACAAAATGATAATGTATATTAATTCATGACAATAAATTCCTGCATGCACCTGGCAAAACCAAAAGCTGAAGAACTGTGCTTTCATTATGGTTCTTCAAGTTAAAGTCACAGTCATGCCCTCAATAGAGCTAAAAGCTTGTTTCAGATGGCTCCTGGTACCCTTTGAGCAAAGTTATTTACTAGATCTATTTGAAATTCAATTAAGGTTATTATTATTATTATTACAGGCATTTTTAAAGTACATTATACATGTACAACAATACAATTTCTCTGAGCACTTTACATGTTAAATTATACACACAAATTCATACATACACGAAACTACAAAGTAAAAAAAAATTATACATTAAAAAGCATACAAAATCAAATCAAATATAAAAAAAATTAGACTCTGAAAACTTCACCAAATTGAATGAAAAATGGATTAAAAATTATCAATGAATTAGTAAAAATCTCAAAATTTATTTATCTCAAAATTTATTGTATAAACTAAATGATATAAATGAACTTAGAATTTGATTAGTATTAGACTTATCTTTCGAAATTGCTGAAAGCTACTACTTCGTATTCATAAAATATGTTACCAAAAGATGACTCATAGTAAAAAGTTATATACAAAAACACAAGAAATCAAATTAAAAAGTATAAAATATTATTGCAATTTGCATTTACTTTAATTAAGAAAGTGGCCGCAAATAATTTTTATTACTAATTATATATGTTGTTTTATCTAATAGCTGGCCATCGAGTTCTGAGTAACAGTGATGAGGTGGTATTAAATGCCAAAGACATTCTACAACAACTACAACGGTCGAGAGAAATTCCCTGTATAGTGGAACCTAAACAACAAGAATCTTCTGAAAGAATAAGGTTAACTAATATATCTTTTTACACAAATGCAGAGTTGTTAGAAAAATTTGTTTGATGTAGTAGCATTGTTAAGATTTATAATTTCTATTTGAAATATACATGGAATAAAGGCATTTTTGTCGAGCCTGCGACTTTTGTCGCAGAAAGCTCAACATAGGGATAGTGATCCGGGGGCGGCGTTAGCTAACTTAAAAAAAGCTTTATATTTTAGAAGCTAGAAGACCTGGATGCTTCATACTTTGTATATAGATGCCTTATGTTACGAAGTTTCCGTCTGTCATATGTCCATTGTCCTTGACCTCATTTTCATGGTTCAGTGACTACTTGGAAAAAAAAGTCAACATTTTTTGTAATGTTAATTTCTTATTATGAGTAATAGGATAACTATATTTAGTATGTGTGTACCTTGCAAGGTCCTCATGCCCGTCAGACAATTTTCATTTGACCTCGTCCTCATTTCATGGATCAGTGAACAAGGTTAAGTTTTCGTGGTCAAGTCCATATATCAGATACTATAAGCAGTAGGTCTACTATATTTGGTATATGGAATGATTGTAAGGTGTACATGTCCAACTGGTAGGTGTCATCTTACCTTGACCTCATTTTCATGGTTCAGTGGTCAAAGTTAAGTTTTTGAGTTTTGGTCTTTTTAGCTCACCGGGGCCCAAAGGGCCCCATGTGAGCTTATGCCATTAGTTGGCGTCTGTCATCGTCTGTCTCTGTCGTCGTTGTCTGTCGTCGTAAACTATTTCAAAAATCTTCTCCTCTGAAACTACTGGGCCAAATACCTTCAAACTTTAACTAAATGTTCCTGATGGTATCTAGTTTATAAATTGTATCCGAAGTTTTGATCCATCGACAAATCTGCCATGTGGTAAAATTGTTCAATTGGTCAAGATCTATCAGCTCTGAAATTTTCAGACGAATCGAACAACCCTTTGTTGGGTTGCTGCCACCGAATTGGTAGTTTTAACAAAATTTTGCAGTTTTTTGTTATTATTTTGAATATTACTATAGATATATGTAAACTGTAAGCAGCAATAATGTTCAGCAAAGTAAGATCTACAAAAAAGTTAATATGACCAAAATTGTCAATTGACCCCTTAAGGAGTTATTGCCTTTTAAAGACAATTTTACACAATTTGTTCATCAAGTTTGCTAACATTTAAAAGTCTTCTCCTCTTAAATACAGGTGAGCGATTCAGGCTCTTGAGAGCCTCTTGTTTTCTAATACTATATGCAATAGGTCAACTATAAATGGTGTATGGAAATATTTTATGATGTACATGTCAGTCTCACAGGTTTTATTTGACCTTGACCTCATTTTCACGGTTCATTTCTCAGTGTTAAGTTTTTGTGTATGGTCAGTTTTTCTTCAACTATAAGCAATAGATCAACTATATTTGATGTATGGAAGGATTGTAAGGTGTATATGTCTGTCTGGCAGGTATCATCTGACCTTGACCTCATTTTCATGGTTCATTGGTCAATGTTAAGTTTTCATGGTTAAGTTTGTTTCTTAGATACTATAAGCAATAGGTCAACTATATTTAATGCCTAAATTGATTGTAAGGTGTACATGTCTGTCTGGCATGGTTCATCTGACCTTGACCTCATTTTCATGGTTCATTGGTCAATGTTAAGTTTTCTTGTTTAAGACTGTATCTTAGAAACAATAAGCAATAGGTCAACTATGTTTGGTTTATCTGACCTTGACCTCATTTTTTTGGATCATGTTAAGTTTTATGTGTTACTTGTAGTAAAGCTTTGTATTTAGGACTATCAACATAAAATCAATGGTTAGTAAAGAAGGCGAAACATTTCAGCGTGTGCACTCTTGTTGTTTTTGATACTGACTCCATCTGCAAGAATATCAAGCAGACCCACAAGGACGAGCTGATGGAGCCAGTATCAAGAACCAAAATGCCATTTGAAGATACTTCTAAATTAATATGTATATACCAGACTGTCCATCTGCAGCTGAATCAAGAAAGGTATCACTTCCATGCAATCTAAAGTAAATTAGTTATCCATTCCATTTATTAAATGGCTCACAGGTTAGAAGGAGCGATTGTTATTGGTGTCTATAGATCAATGCACAGTGTTGATATGTCTCGTATTGGCACCAACACTTCAGTGAATTGAAACTCTGTACATTTAATGCAAGAAAAACAATATGAAAAATTACTTGTTATTTACAAATTGAAGAATATGAAAAGAAGAATCTGTCATCACATGGTCATGTTGTTTGCAACTTTTATGTGTTACTTCATTTTAATTAGATTTTCCCTTAATATTTGTTGTAGATTTGAAAAAGATCACAAACTGATGGAAGAAATTATTGGACATGGTCTCATCACTGGTACAGTCCCTTCAAAGTAAGTCAGTCAAAAGTTTATTTTAGCTCTAACAGTCAAATTGATTCCAGGTAGTTGGGAGGGATATTTGCTTATCAGTAAGGCTTGAATCAAAACATTTTGGAGTGCCAAATGAAATATGAAGTTGAAGAGCATTGAAAATCAAAAATGTTTGGACTGGTTATACATGTACCATCGAGTACGAAATATCAACTTAGCAGTGGCATTGACCAAGTTTTTAAAAAAACATAAAAGATACCAGGTTTATAATTTGTTACACCAGACACATGTTTCATTATAAGACTCATCATTGGCACAGGAATCAAAACAGCTTGGAGTTCAAATTAAATCTGTTAGATATAGGGTAGATACTTACCGTTCAAAGCTAGGAAAACTGCTAGAAAATTGTGTAAAAGGGAGCCAATATATGGTGTTATTTTAAGAAACTTTTAATTGACAAAAACTATTTTACATTTAGCATTAATTAATTAAGACATCTATATATACATTTGATTAAACCTGATCTGTATTTTTTTCAGAGCTGCCTGTTTTACTCTGTCAGATAAGCCTGAATGTCTTGTGTTTGATGATACAGATAGTACTGGTACTCAGACACCTTCTGATTCAGTCAGTGTGGTATCCAGAGTATCAGAAGATGTTATTGTAGAGGGTATGTATGACTAATGTACCCACTGATTCTGTCAGTGTGGTATCAAGAGTATTAGAGGATGTTATTGTAGAGGGTATGTATGACTAATGTACACAGTGATTCAGTCAGTGTGGTATCCAGAATATCAGAGGATGTTATTGTAGAGGGTATGTATGACTAATGTACCCACTGATTCAGTCAGTGTGGTATCCAGAGTATCAGAGGATGTTATTGTAGAGGGTATGTATGACTAATGTACCCACTGATTCAGTCAGTGTGGTATCCAGAATATCAGAGGATGTTATTGTAGAGGGTATGTATGACTAATGTACCCACTGATTCAGTCAGTGTGGTATCCAGAGTATCAGAGGATGTTATTGTAGAGGGTATGTATGACTAATGTACCCACTGATTCAGTCAGTGTGGTATCCAAAGTATCAGAGGATGTTATTGTAGAGGGTATGTATGACTAATGTACACAGTGATTCAGTCAGTGTGGTATTCAGAATATCAGAGGATGTTATTGTAGAGGGTATGTATGACTAATGTACCCACTGATTCAGTCAGTGTGGTATCCAGAGTATCAGAGGATGTTATTGTAGAGGGTATGTATGACTAATGTACACAGTGATTCAGTCAGTGTGGTATCCAGAATATCAGAGGATGTTATTGTAGAGGGTATGTATGACTAAGGTACACAGTGATTCAGTCAGTGTGGTAACCAGAGTATCAGAGGATGTTATTGTAGAGGGTATGTATGACTAATGTACCCACTGATTCAGTCAGTGTGGTATCTGAGGATATTATTGTAGAGGGTATGTATGACTAATGTACACAGTGATTCAGTCAGTGTGGTATCCAGAATATCAGAGGATGTTATTGTAGAGGGTATGTATGACTAAGGTACACAGTGATTCAGTCAGTGTGGAAACCAGAGTATCAGAGGATGTTATTGTAGAGGGTATGTATGACTAATGTACCCACTGATTCAGTCAGTGTGGTATCTGAGGATATTATTGTAGAGGGTATGTATGACTAATGTACACAGTGATTCAGTCAGTGTGGTAACCAGAGTATCAGAGGATGTTATTGTAGAGGGTATGTATGACTTATGTACCCACTGATTCAGTCAGTGTGGTATCTGAGGATGTTATTGTAGAGGGTATGTATGACTAATGTACACACTGATTCAGTCAATGTGGTATCCAGAGTATCAGTGGTTGTTATTGTAGAGGGTATGTATGACTTATGTACCCACTGATTCAGTCAGTGTGGTATCTGAGGATGTTATTGTAGAATGTATGTATGAATAATGTACCCACTGATTCAGTCAGTGTGGTATCCAGAGTATCAGTGTATGTTATTGTAGAGGGTATGTATGACTTATGTACCCACTGATTCAGTCAGTGTGGTATCTGAGGATGTTATTGTAGAATGTATGTATGAATAATGTACCCACTGATTCAGTCAGTGTGGTATCCAGAGTATCAGTGTATGTTATTGTAGAGGGTATGTATGACTTATGTACCCACTGATTCAGTCAGTGTGGTATCAGTGGTTGTTATTGTAGAGGGTATGTATGACTTATGTACCCACTGATTCAGTCAGTGTGGTATCTGATGATGTTATTGTAGAGGGTATGTATGACTAATGTACCCACTGATTCAGTCAATGTGGTATCCAGAGTATCTGAGGATGTTATTGTAGAGGGTATGTATGACTAATGTACCCACTGATTCAGTCAATGTGGTATCCAGAGTATCTGAGGATGTTATTGTAGAGGGTATGTATGACTAAGGTGTGATTTGTCAGTGTTTCTTTCTAGAGGGTTGGAGGATGTTATTGTAGAGGGTATGTACAACTAAGGTGTGATTTGTCAGTGTTTTGTTTCTAGAGGGTTGGAGGATGTTATTGTAGAGGGTATGTTCAACTAAGGTGTGATTTGTCAATGTTTGTTTCTAGAGGTTTGGAGGATGTTATTGTAGAGGGTATGTACAACTAAGGTGTGATTTGTCAGTGTTTCTTTCTAGAGGGTTGGAGGATGTTATTGTAGAGGGTATGTACAACTAAGGTGTGATTTGTCAGTGTTTGTTTCTAGAGGGTTGGAGGATGCTATTGTAGAGGGTATGTACAACTAAGGTGTGATTTGTCAGTGTTTGTTTCTAGAGGGTTGGAGGATGCTATTGTAGAGGGTATGTACAACTAAGGTATGATTTGTAGGTGTTTGTTTCTAGAGGGTTGGAGGATGTTATTGCAAAAGTTTTGACTCGAGGTATATTTTTCACATTGACCTTTTTTTCAAATCTGCAAACAGTACCACTTGATATTGATTGGGTGGCTAACATGATGACATTGGTGGCATCTCATTAGAAACCCTATGGAGAACCATATTTTCATCATCTTGAAAATACATCACCAATTTTAACCAAACTTTACTGGAATAATGTTTGAAATCACATTAAGAAATATTCCACATTTCATTCTGATTGCATTAAAGGCATTTGCTGGCAGAGGTAATATTTGATTCTGATTTGCATGTGTTAAAAAATCCCTTAATCCATATAGAGAGCAAATTATTTGAAACTTAAGGGTATTGATGATTTCAAAACCATTTACAAAAGATCATCTTATAGCATTGGTGGCAAACATAGTGGTGTAGGTGGCACAGAATTCCTACTGAAACCCTATGGAAATTAAGTTATCATCTTCTCTAAATCCACTTGCCCAGTTGTAAGTATTGATTGCAGGATTTATACATGAAAGGTCCTCTACAAATTGTTGAATTGGAGATTCTGATCAGACGAAAAGCATGGCCACCAGAAGCAATCTGATTCTAAGTGACCTTGTTATACCCCACCTACGATAGTAGAGGGGCATTATGTTTTTTGGTCTGTGCATCTGGTGTTTCGTTCCTTTGTCCGTTCGTTCGTTAGTTCGTCCATCCATTCGTCCGTCTGTCCCACCTCAGGTTAAAGTTTTTGGTCAAGGTAATTTTTGATGAAGTTGAAGCCCAATCAACTTGAAACTTAGTACACATGTTCCCTATGATATGATCTTTCTAATTTTAATGCCAAATTAGAGTTTTGACCCCAACTTCATGGTCCACTGAACATGGAAAATGATAGTGCGAGCAGGGCATCCGTGTACTATGGACACATTCTTGTTCATAATATATTCTTATTAGAAACTACATTTGGATGTTTTGTTACTTTAGCTGATTAATATGCAGTAAGAAATGTAATGAATTATCTTGCTTATTTAAAAATAATCTCTTATGATTACTGTTTGCTTATGTAATTTCTTGTTACAATGCCTAGTTATGTGTATTAAATTTTCGTGGGGGTTTATTCACTTTTTTTTGCCATTTCAACTTGGTGCAAAAATTCTGTCACACAGTTATAAAGTATGTGAGTTTAACTGTCCTACAATTCTTCTAATCAGAGCAAGGCTAATAGCTTGCACCAAATATAGTATAAGTTCGTAACTTTAAAATCTTTATTACAGTCTTACCAAACTGATGGTCCATATGCATATTGTAACATTTAAAATTGTATAAATATAGTATAGAAAATAATCTCTGAAATATTGATAATAGAGTTTAAATTTTTATTAAGAACCTGCTTAACTTATGACCTTTTACTGTTTTAGGAGAACAATCTGTAGATAATTCTCAAGGAAGTACCAGGAGTATGACCCCTGACCTTGATATTATTCCATCAAAGGAGAAGATCAGAGGTAAACACTTTTTATGTATTCTCCCATCAAAGGATGAAATTATCTCATCTAAATATTACCTTTAAAAAAGAAAGTCAGTTTTTACTCAGAAAGATGGATCGTACTTTTCATATAAATATGATCACATCAAAGAAAGATAGAGGTAGATGGAATTGTCCTAGGAAGAATGATATAAATACCTTTCTCTAATTCTTCGTCAATTTATCCCCTTCTGCACCCATTGTATAAAAAAAAATTAATCAACGTGTGGTTCGTTTGATCTCAGTTCTTCATTGGTTAAAATCTGATTATGACGTCGAATTTTCTTGCTTTCCTCTGAATTTCTTATTGTGACGGCATGAAAAAAGGCGACCATGCCTGATGACGTCACATAGAAAGAACACATCTTTTTGCAGATCATGCAAAAAGAAGGAATAAGTTTGCCTGCATATTGTTTGAAAATCATTAGAGAAACAGATTCCACCACCAAATCTCGTGTAATACGATATTTATCCACTCTCGACAGTTAAATTTTAATAAATATTTAAAACGCTCATCGAGCCTCGCGTTTTAAATTTGAAAATTTAACTGTCTCGAGTGGATAAATATCGTATCACACTATAGAATCTATATTTATCTACATATTGTTCATAACATATGATATTGATATTGTCCTTTCAAGCATGGAAAGGAACAAATACCTGATTGACATAGTGAGGAAAAGAGAAAACTTGTCCAGATATCGTCCTGTCAAAACTATGTTTGATACATCAGTGTATAATGATGACTTGTTGTCAGATTGAGTTTGCCTTTTATTTTGGTTGATAGACTTTTAGCAGACTTATAGACCCTGGACTTACAAAAATATCAAGAAAATCTTACTTGACACATATGTTAATTTTGGGAGTAATGGCACAAATTACAGTGAGATATTCTACTTAACAAATTTCAGGGTCATCAACACCAGTAATTGTCACTCATGTTAGAAATCCATGTCTATTTATGGTACAGAAATGTTCAGATCAGAGTACTCTGAAAAAATTGTCTAGAGCCATCAATTCCTATGCCCGGAGTCCTGTGGCACCTATACCCAAAAAGCTGGCCAGAGGTGAGTATTAGATGCCATTTATTCTCAATTAAACCTCAGTTATAGTTTTGAGTTTTTGTATCAATTGTTTAGTATAGTCAAGGCTACAAAAATCAATGATTTTGGACATTTATCTTTTCAAGTAACTTTCTTGCTTTATGATACAGTAGCTTGCCCAACATCTTTTATCATTAAACCATTACAAGAATTCATTTATTGTCTTAAGAGTCTCTAAAATATTCCCAGTTTCCATTCTCTATTCTATCTTAACTTGGTAAAAATATTTCAATTTAAAACAATTTGTGAAATTGATTTGCAGGCGACATGGTATTATCCAAATTCAAAGATGAACAGTGGTATAGAGCCAGAGTAAGGGACGTAACTGAAGGAAACACTAACAAAAACACATTTGTAGAAGTTCTTTATATAGATTACGGGAATTCACAGAAAGTCCCATTGGATAGGTAAGATGAACAGTGGTATAGAGCTAGAGTAAGGGATGTTCCTAAAGGAAACACTAACCCAACAAAATTGTATTAGTTATTTATTATGGGAATTCACAGAAAATCCCATTGGATAGGTAAGATGAATAGTGTATAGAGCTAGAGTAAGGGATGTTACTGAAGGAGGAAACACTAACACAAACAATATTGTAAAAGCTCTTTATATAGATTATGGGAATTCCCAGACAATTGAAATAAGAAAGAAGTACTGTATCATTTTGTAACTTCATAGTACTACTTACAGAGGTACAAAACTAGTACTTCAAATTTGTAGTACAAATCTAGTCCTGTAAAATTATGATACTTAAAAAGTGCAATATTTTTGAGGTACTACATCAGTTCTATATTATTAAGACACATTTTCAGTACTGTTGAGTTATATAACAAAAATAGCACGTATGCAAAATTAGCTGTTACTTTCATAATCCGACAGGAATTTAGATGGTTACTTGGTTGTTTTATTCATGTCAAAATTTCAGTCATGGCTGGCAGTTATAAAGATTTCTCAAGACTCTTTGCTTAAACTTGAAATTGTGCAGGTATGCTGTATTCCAATTTCATTTATTTCTTAACACTGAAGACTTTTTTTTATGCTCCGCCAATAGGTGAAGGGGGTATTAAGTGTTACCCTTGTCCATCCCGTCCATCCGTCGCATAAGTCCCCAAAATTGGTTTCCGTTCTCTAACTATTTTTTGCCTCAACCAAATGTTATAAAACTTATACACAATGCTTATTACCACAAAACACAGATCAAGTTCGAAATTGCGTGGCGTCACTTTTACTGTTCAGGAATTGTGCTCCTTTATAAACCAAAAAATTGCTGAATTTTTTGTTTACGTTTCTTAACTTTAGTTTGTCTCAACCAAATGTTATGAAACTTATACACAATGCTTATTACCTCAAAACACAGATCAAGTTTGAAATTGGGTGGCGTCACTTTTACCGTTCTTGAGTTATGCCCCTTTATGACTGGAAAAATTGCTAAATCTGTCGTTTCTGTTCTCTTACTTAGGTTTGCCTCAATCAAATGTTATGAAACTTATACACAATGCTTATAACAACGAAACCCAGATCAAGTCCGATTTTGGGTGGCGTTAACATTATATGCAAGTGGGGGTATCATCTGTGTCCCATGGTCACATTCTCCATTTATTTTATTACAGAATAAGAACTATACAGCCAAAGCATTCTAAACAACCTGAGTTATTGATAGAATGCTGTCTTCATGACATAAGACCAGCTAATGAGGTATGTAAAATTATAACAAAATGTTTTTAACAATGTCATATTATTGACTCAAAACAATGATCTACGATATCTTGACCAGTGGATGTATTAATAGAGGTAAGCACATCATTTAACTCTTTTTTGACCACAATTACAAAGTTGTATTGGTAATAAAGATTGATAATAACATTAACGTTGAAAGTGTTTTTATTGTGTTGTCTGACAGGGAGGCTGTTACAACATCTTCTGTCATCTTGCATCGTCCATGTTACACCTTATGTTAATCTGCAACTTCTGGATAAGGGCTTGACAGAATTCCCCCACAGATTCTTCTTCACAACATTAAGTTGGCCACTTGTTATTTTAATATTTCATCTGATTTATTTCTGGATTCAATACCAATACTTGATCTTGCCTATTTTTGCTACTATTATATGGAGATGTGATTCAACACATGTCTGACTTAGAAGAATCTTGCATTATTTAAATCACTGTTATGCCACATGAATGGTTATCAGTAACTACAACACAATGTAAACTGTTCAAAACAATGTCAAAAAGATGTGACCTCAATTGCATGGGTAGATTATTACAAATGTTCTTTAACATTGAGATTAATATGTTAGTGCAATCATATTTAAACTTACTAATACACATATAAGTTTCTGAATTACATGTATTTAGAATTATGTCAAAATAAATCTACTAGGTCTGTATCAGAATATCATAATAGATTCGTCACGGCTCAGGTGAAAATAAAATTCTGTTTATGAAAGCATCACCACAACAAATAAACAACAGTGGGAAGTAGGATTTCACATTAAAATATATAACATTTATGTATGTTGCTTATGTTGGAGGTGGCCGCTCCTTTTATTAAAAACATTTCATGTACATTATCTCCAAAAGACACCAATATTTCTATATATTCATCAATGGGAAATTGTAATCATAGATGGTAATTGCTTTTAGATAGAGATCTAGATATAATAAAAACTTCTCTCTATAATTTATTTTAGACTGGTGCCTGGTCTGAAGAGTCTATATCAACATTTGTTAAAATGACAGAAAATCACACATTAAATCTAGTGGTAGTGAGAGAAGTCAACAATGTCCTACATGTTGACCTTAGTAAACCACCAAATGAAGACATAAAAGATGACAGACCCATATCAGTCAGAGACAGTCTTGTATTCTTAGAATTGGCCAAATTTATCTCTCCAGATGCTGGCAATGTTGTAGGTGAGTATGGCATATAAGTTACAACAAACAAGATAAACATCAAATGCTAGAATTCTTGTTCTTATTGAAAACAGACTATTGTTCATTTTCTGTAAACTTTTGGAGCATATGGAATCAAAGGTTAGAGATTTGGTCCAATGGAAATTCTATGGGATGAAAAGTTTGAGATTTAGTGCAATAGCAATTCTATGGAACAAAAGTTTAAGATTTGTTCCAACAGCAATTCTATTGGATCAACAGTTTTATCTTTGGTCCAATTGTAATTCTATGGGTTCAAAAATTTGAGATCTGGTCCAATGGCAATTCTATTGAATCAAAAGTTTGAGATTTAATCCAATTGTAATTCAATTTGTATTTTGTTCAAAGCAACCATACCCTTCAGCTACCAAACACTAATACATGGTGGTTGCCACTCCTGACCATAGGTTTACTGAGAAGCGTTGAAAAATATACTGAAAGTGCTCTAAATAACTTTCTGGAAATAGAAATTGTTAAAGAAGTCTGATGTATATAGTTATTATCCATTTACAATGAAGTTGATTTTGAATTGATCCACATAACTATGTTTTGATCATTGATTTGACTGTTTTAATTATAGGTCAGACTGCTATAACTATGATTTGATCATTGATTTGACATTTTTAATTATAGGTCAGACTGCTACGAGACGTACATTTATTAAACCAGAACCAAAGAGCAGAGGTTGTACATTTACAGGGTTAGTTACCTGTGCTGGAGATCCATCAGCATTCTATGTTCAAGAGGTAAAAATATCAAAGGTTATTCTGTGGAGAAAGAAGTTGATACTTATTAATTCATGAGTGTAAAATCCAAGAACTTGACAAGCCAAAGTTTATAGTTTGTTAAAAAGGACCAAATTAGCCAGTATATAAATCAAAGAATTGTATTTGTAAACCAGACAAATAGTTTCCAAAAGAAACAAATTAAAGCCAGGCAGACATTTTTCAGTCCCATTTGAACACTAGATATTCAAGGCAACAATTTTCAAGTTTGTTACTGAAAGGAAATAGTTGTTCATTGATAGAGTTTTGTAAACTGGTATTACATACTTTGAAAACATATACTGAAGTTTGTGATAAATTTAAATTTTTTTGTTATAAAACATTATTTCTTTTATGCATTTTTGTCTCGCCTTGACGGAGTCAAAAAGCGAGACATAGGTATGCTGTTTCCGGTGTCGGCGGCGGCAGTGTCAACAATGTATTAGTTTGTGATTAGGTCTAGTTCATGGTGAACCACTAGTGGTAGGTCAATGATATTTGGTATGCAGTTGTATTAGCATTGGCACATCTCATTACCATGGAGATTATTTGGCCCCGCCCCCTCAGTCAAGGTCTATTGACTTGGAAACTTTTCATAGTTAACATGTATTAGTTTGTGATTAGGTCAATTTATGGGGAACCACTAGTGGTAGGTCAATGATATTTGGTATGCAGTTGTATAAGCATTGGCATATCTCATTTCCATGGAGATTATTTGGCTCCGCCCCCTTAGTCATGGTCTATAGACTTTGAAAATTTTGCTAAGTTTACATGTATTAGTTTATGATTAGGTCAGTGCAAGGGGAACCATTAGTGGTAGGCCAATGTTAATTGGTGTTCAGTTGTATAAGCATTAGCACATCTCATTTCCATGGAGAATATTTGGCCCCGCCCCCTCAGTCATGGTCTATTTACTTTGAAACTTTTGCTTAGTTTACATGTATTAGTTTATGATTAGATCAGTTTAAGATGAACTGCTAATGTTAAGTCATTGGTATTTGGTATGCAAATTTATTGGCATTTGCAAGTATCGTTTCCATGGAGAATATATAGCCCCACCCCTGATCATGGTTCATTGACTTTGAAACTTTTACATAGTTTACAAGTTAATGTTTGTGTTTAGGTTTTTTTAAAGGGAACGACTTATAATAAGTCAATGGTATTTGGTATGCAGTTGTATTAGCATTGGCACATCTCATTCCATGGAGATTGTACATGTTTAGCCATGTACCTTCAGTCATGGTTCATCGACTTTGAATATTTGCATTACTTACATGTTAAAGTATTGCAATTTTAATTTCAACATTTGCATTATTAAAATTACAAAAAGGCGAGACATATCTCTGTGATAACAGTTAATTAGTTGTATTATGTTGTTGCTGTCTCCTTGACATATACCCTGCATCTTTTCATGGGTACCAAACGTTTTTTTGTTGATGTTTGATTTCACGGATTTAGACAGATTCTGTATACAAGAAGTTTCTTTTTCTTTGAACACTTGTATTTGTGTTTGACCTTGACCAACGAAATAAACAAAAACTTGTCATCCACAAATAATAATAATTCCACAGTAAATGGAAAATTAAGGAATGAAGTGTAACTCGTGAATAAATCAATTTTATGTGGAATACCAAGTACATGTTAATAACTCGTGAATAAATTAATTTTAGAATACCAAGTATATGTTAATAACTCATGAATAAATCAATTTTATGTGGAATACCAAGTACATGTTAATAACTTGTGAATAAATTAATTTTAGAATACCAAGTATATGTTAATAACTCATGAATAAATCAATTTTATGTGGAAGACCAAGTACATGTTAATAACTCGTGAATAAATCAGTTTTATGTGGAATACCAAGTACATGTTAATAACTCATGAATAAATCAATTTTATGTGGAATACCAAGTACATGTTAATAACTCATGAATAAATAAATTTTATGTGGAATACCAAGTACATGTTAATAACTCATGAATAAATCAATTTTATGTGGAAGACCAAGTACATGTTAATAACTCGTGAATAAATCAGTTTTATGTGGAATACCAAGTACATGTTAATAATGCGTGAATAAATCAATTTCATGTGGAATACCAAGTACATGTTAATAACGCGTGAATAAATCAATTTTATGTGGAGTACCAAGTACATGTTAATAACTCATGAATAAATCAATTTTATGTGGAATAGCAAGTACATGTTAATAACTCATGAATAAATCAATTTTATGTGGAATACCAAGTACATGTTAATAACTCATGAATAAATCAATTTTATGTGGAATACCAAGTACATGTTAATAACTCGTGAATAAATCAATTTTATGTGGAGTACCAAGTACATGTTAATAACTCATTGAACTTCTTTAAATTTAATAATTGCTTTGATGCAATGTGGTACATGATTTTACAATGTATATATGAAAATAAGAAGATATCATATGATTGTCAATGAGACAACTATCTTTAAAGACTAAAGGACAAATATGTAAACAAACTTCACTTTCTTCCCCATTAGATAACAGAAGATTCCACCTATTTTGCCCAGCTGATGGGACAAATGCAGGACAGATACAACAGAGATATGGGAGATTTATGGTTTATATATTGTCCACAGCTTGGTAAGTGATTGAAATTCAGATATGGTACAGCATATCTTCACAATTCTCTGATTATTTAGAATTAATGTTATGGTCAGTTATGCCCCATAGTGTTTCTTCCCCAAGATATTCCAACACTTTTTACCAAGCATTATGTACAAACATTAAAAAGACACTCTGTCCGAAGATCGTTTGGAATCAGAGAAATGTAATTTCTTTTCGGATAAAACGTACATAAGATACAATGTTCTTGCTATTCTAGGTATACCTTATCATATAGCAGACAAATATATATACTACAGTGATCATTTCTGATATATATACTACAGTGATCATTTCTGATATATTTACTACAGTGATCATTTCTGATATATATACTACAGTGATCATTTCTGATATATATACTACAGTGATCATTTCTGATATATAATATTGTTAGATCATTTAGATATAAAGCATTTCAAATGCAAACTAAGATGAACATTCTGGTTCATGTATGAAAACACATGAAGTGTAATGGACAATCATAAAAATTGTTTATTCCTATTTGGTAAAGTTGTCAGATGGATTTAACAATTTAACTGGTAATGATATATCTTTGAGAAATATCTGTTGTAGATATGCCATGTGTTTGTAAATACTCTGGAGATGACATGTGGTATAGGGCAAAGGTCATTGGTATCCCAGGTCAAAAACAAGTGGATGTCCAGTATGTAGATTTTGGAAATACAGAAAGAGTACCTTATTGGAGACTTAGAAAACTACTGGACCATTTCATTATGATGCCTGTACAGGTCAGTTATTTATAGATCTAATGTAATTAACTTCTTTAGTAAATTAGTCACTGCAGCTCAAACATAGATCATGTCATATACTAAATCACTATCCAGAACCTTGAAAATTTTCAGTTAAACCTAAAGTTTTAGTAATTCAACTTTTTCTATAGAGATATATTTTCCAAAAATATGAGATTGGCGATTTTTAGCTTTAAGGCACTTTTATAATCTAAAGATTATAGGTAGGTTTACTTGCTTGGTTACAAACAAGATAATGCATTCAGTGAAAGTGAAATATTCAAATAAAATAAGGAAATGTTATTAAGGATACCATGAACCTATCTAAACTTGACCCATTTGTGACTTATGATTTTAATCTGATAGGGCAGGTGTTTGTGTTGAAATGGGTTATGGTTTAAGGAAAACAAATATCTTTTATGTCCTAGTGCAAAATAATTACTAAAATGAGTATTAGGTCTACACAGGATACACTGTATGTCTTCATAGTTTCAAGTAAACATGAAACATTTTATTTATGGGCCAGCTGAAGCCCGCCTCCGGGTGCGGGATTTTCTCGCTGTGTTGAAGACCCATTGGTGGCCGTCTGCTGTTTGGTCGGGTTGTTGTCTCTTTGACACATTCCCCATTTCCATTCTCAATTTTATAATCAAATATATCTTTGTTGATTGTTATATATGTTTTTGTTTTCAGGCTTTACCATGCAGATTAACAGATATCACTCCAGCTAGTACAGACTGGTCATCAGAGGTCAGTTTTGATCTTGACCCACTGAACTTGAAATTTCTATTGATTCGCTGAACTAAAAACAAACGATCTTCAATTGACCCACTGAAGTTAAAGTTTTCATTGAGCCAATGAATTTATAGGTTCAATTGACCCTCTGAACTTTTATTAGTTTCTATTGATACTAAACTTAAAGTCTCAGGTGGATAGTCGTCTCATTGGCAATCGTACCATATTTCCTTATTTTATATTAAAGCAAACAATTTTCGACTGATTTGCTGAACTTGAAGTTTTTATTGATCCACTGAAATAAAAGCAATACACTGACACAAACAATTTGTTGTCTTAAACAGCAATTTAATCACTTATATATGTTATAATAGTTATAAAAAAAACAGACTTTGATTATAGCATGATGTAGGGTCATATTAGAAAAAAAAAATTCCAAAGAGCCTATTTTTATAGAAGTTAATACCAATACATTTGTTTAAGATTGTTTATAGAGTATTTTGATTTGTTTTTCAGTGTAATAGTTGGTGGATAAGGAAAGTGACTATGAAGGTATTCTCTGTACATGTTACAGGTATGTTGTAATCCTTTAATAGTAACTTGTTCCAACTACATCCTCATTCAATTGATTGGTCATCCATGAATTGCATGAAGCAGTAGCCACTGTAGATTTTACAACAACAGTCTATCTTTTGATTTGATGTCTTGAGTCAGTTGTTTTCAATACTGTACATGTAAAAAGAACTTGTGCATTTATTTAAAATTGTTTCTATATGTGGCATTGTGTAAGCAGTGATTAACAGTCTTCCTGTTATCAGACTCAAACTTAGTCTTATAAGATACAATTTTCTATTTAAAAATTATGAAGTCTTGAATTGCATGTCCTAAGTTCTAACTTTTTTCAATGCGCCATTGTTTTTGAGTGGTTGTCAAAATTTTATAGGTGTCACAAAAATACCAGAATTTTAAATGACAAAACATATTCTCCTGAGATATTAAGGAAAACACAAAAATTGTATGTATAGAAGGTTAAATTATTATTCAACTACAATTACAAATTGTTATATTCAGATTATAAATTTTCTATTATCTATTCTATAGCAATAGTTGTTTGTATGTTACCTTTATTTCAGTAAAATGTATGTGATTAATGCTTTATAACTGAAATATTGAATTTATTGAATCCGAAAGATATGGTAGTACACTTTATCAATGTAATAATGAATTTAAATCAATTATATTTTCAGATGTAGAGGGACCTGAACTGTATGTGATATTACAAGATGACTCGGGTACTTGTACCATTAATGGTGAATTGGTTGGAGCAGGACATGCTTTTAGTACGGGTAAAGGGTCAGTAGTCATTATACATTTATTCAGCTAAGTAAACTTTTACAATCATGTGGAATTTGTTTTTAAGTGTCCTATTGAACATTTTTAAAACTTTCTCTTCTTAAACCACTTGAGCAATAAGAAACAAACTTGACCTGCCTTGTCTTTAGGGTGTCGTACAGTTATGTTCGATGACCCTTAAATCAAACTAATGTGTCCACCATGGCTTAAAAAAGTACATTATCGTAAAACGCATATAATTGTTAAATAACTTGAAAGCCATAATACAATGTGCAAGTAAAGGATGAAATCTGACTGTGGTAAAAATGCTCAATATGTTAAGATGTATCTACTGTTTGTTTCCCTTATAGTTGTTGACTACTAGTCCTGATTGTTTTTAACAAGTTCAGTCATTATTCTGTGTTTTATAGATAACAAGTTGTATCCCCTAGTTATACATGTAACACTCCCAAATGTGTCCATCCCCCCAAACATGTCTATTTCGCCCAAACGTGTCCTTAAAATCCCAAATCGCCCATACGTGTCCAATTTCGCATCCCCAAACGTGTCCGATAATTGTTATTCGCCAAAACGTGTCCACTCTGGGACGCCTGAATGTCTCAAAACTTTTAGCGCTATTATGTTCTCAGTGACGTTAATAACATCTACGACAATTAATTTCTCGGGGACACGATTTAAGATTAGATCCTATAAAAAAAGATTAAAGCCGTATTCAAAAGACATAAATGCTGAAGTATTTTGGCACAATTACTGGAAATTGAAAAAAGGAACAGAGTTTAAAGAAGAACATCCTAAATTTGTTAGCATTTGTTTGTTCAACGCCGGCTGTTTATATTAGTATAATTGCAAGTTTGATTTGCAACATATGAATTTACTCTTCATTGTTGATTGTTTATAGTCCAGTTACAAATATTTCATGCATATTCAGAACGACAACATAAATAAATCTATCTCTTCCTACACGAGGGACATGACTGCGTACTTTTACATCCCACACAGTCAAATGGACGCCCAACTTTGGCAAGGATTTAACTGTCGGTTGGAAGAAGACCTAATTAACCATGTTTCTATTCTCCATTCACGCTTGGAGGTAGGACAATAGATGAAAGAGTAAATTAAAAGGAATATACGTCAATAGAAGAACAATAACCAAAATTTGTTATTAAACAAAATTATAAATTTTAACATTGGTGGACATGACTTGTAATTGTTACTTGAAGGTCAAAAATTAAATTAATTGCATGGGCATTTGAAAATATGGACAAGATTGAGCGTTCATAAAAGGAAACGTTTTGACTTGATATGGACACGTTTGGGGGAATGGACACGTTTGTTCGTTCATAATACTGACACGTTTCGGCACCCTCTTGCAACTGGACATGTTTTGAATTCAGCAACGTCATATGGACACGTTTGGGGGAATCGGACACGTTTGGGGGGATGGACACGTTTCTGAGTGTTACATATATATACAATTATTTATTATTGTTGTGTTTTGCAGGTCTTCGGCTGTACCTCCTCAGTATTTACAACCAGTCATAGACAGCTCAGATGAAAGTGTGGTAAGGTCATGAAAGATACTTATTAGGTTCAGTCCTTGTGGAAGGGACTGATAAAAGATGTTTAACAGATATTTATAAGTTGGAGTCCTTGTGAAGGGGACATACAACAGATATTTGTAACCTTCAGCCCTTGTGAAGGGTAGTACGTATTAAAGATATTTATAAGCTTCAGTCCTTGTGAAGGGTAGGACGTATAATAGATATTCATAAGCTTCAGTCCTTGTGAAGGGGAGGATGTATATTTATAAGCTAAAATCCTTGTGAAGGGGACTGATAACAGATATTTATAAGCATCTGGTTTTTATTACTTCCAAGAATATTTGTTTTATTCACCTGAGATATCAATGGACTGTTCTATAAGTCTGGTTAAAAGCAAATTTGTCCACAGATCTGGTTTGGTCTGCAGAAGTAATACCTGGTTGATAAGATTTCTTAGATTAACTTATAGAGCAATGTTTTCTAAGTTATTTCTTAGGTTAACTTATAGAGCAATGTTTTCTAAGTTATTTCTTAGGTTAACTTATAGAGCAATGTTTTCTAAGTTATTTCTTAGGTTAACTTATAGAGCAATGTTTTCTAAGTTATTTCATAGGTTAACTTATAGAGCAATGTTTTCTAAGTTATTTCTTAGGTTAACTTATAGAACAATGTTTTTCTAAGTTATTTCTTAGGTTAACTTATAGAGCAATGTTTTCTAAGTTATTTCTTAAGTTAACTTATAGAGCAATGTTTTTTTAAGTTATTTCTTAGGTTAACTTATAGAGCAATGTTTTCTAAGTTATTTCTTAGGTTAACTTATAGAGCAATGTTTTCTAAGTTATTTCTTAGGTTAACTTATAGAGCAATGTTATCTCAGTTATTTCTTAGGTTAACTTATAGAGCAATGTTTTCTAAGTTATTTCTTAGGTTAACTTATAGAGCTATGTTTTCTAAGTTAACTTTTGTACAGATTATATGTTTACCTATTATTATTTATTGACGGACAGTTCTGTTAATTTTCAGTCTGTGCAAAGTGAATCATTATTATCAAGGTCAACAGGATCTTACGTTACACCTATCAGTTCTCCACGGAAGCTGGAAACATCACCACTCAGACAACAACAATCACCTGCCAGACGGGATATGGGTCTGTCACCTAAACAACTACAGTCTAGAATATCACCTGGGAGACCTCAGCCATCCAGACAGCAACAATCACCTGCCAGACTTGATATTGGTCTGTCACCTAAACAACCACAGTTAAGATTATCACCTGGGAGAGATGTGGCATCAAGCTCTCCAGTGAAAACATTGTCTCCTCAGAAAGAAAAGTCAGATTCTCCAGAAAAGTATCATAAAAGTACAAGTAGTTCTGGTGAGGATTCATCAAAATCATGTAAGTAAAACCAGTGATAATTAGTATAATCAAATAATAGATCGAACTCCTTTTCAAGTTCAGTGTAAATAAGACATGACACTAGTAGTCACCCAGTGGAGGGTTGATTTGGTAAATTCAATGGAATATTTTAATGCCTTGTTAAAATTACATAAATAAATACATTTGTTTGTTATAATGGATGGTATACTGCAATCCCCTTGTCTTGACCATATGTTCTCCTACATTACTTTCTTTACAATTTACTCGCCTTTTGTATTAAGAAATAATTTGATTATGTCTGTACTAAGTCAGGAAAATGGCCATTGTTATATTATAGTTCGTTTCTGTGTGTGTTACATTTTAATGTTGTGTTTCTGTTGTGTCATAGTTCTCCTCTTATATTTAATGTGTTTCCCTCAGTTTTAGTTTGTAACCCGAATTTGTTTTTTCTCAATCGATTTATGAATTTCGAACAGCGGTATACTACTGTTGCCTTTATTTACCCTTGTATTGTTAAGTTGTACATTGTCAGCTATTAGCAGATCTGCTATGTCCAGTTTTAGGTCACTTTGAATTTTTATTTTGCTAAATAAGCGTGGAAGTTTTCTCAGTGGCTAAGAATGGGTGGGGGTTATATCTCACAAGACTTCATATGCAACTTGATGGAAGATATATCCTTATAAATGCCAACAGAACACTATTTTAGGGCTTATGTAGGTTTATAATACCAATAGAGCATTTGAATGTCCAAATTTAAAGTACTTATTAGCTATTGAGAAGTTCTCATCAAAAAGCAAAGCTTAACGTCATTTTTGTATTGGACAAATTGGAACGTCAGCTTTTCTCTGTAATGGCAGAAATCAATCAATAAGACATTTGGTATATCTAGTCATGTTCCATTGATTGCTTTTTAGGAGTAATGGCCTTAGGATATAAAAAAAATGCTGGAAAACATAAATTTTTACATTTATTTCTGTGATGCCTTATTCAGTTTATTGATATTCAGTAAATAGACATTTAAGAATTAAATTTAAAAAGTTTTGTTCCAGTTCTACACTCTATGGGGTAAAGATGGAGTGAAATGCAAATCAGGATGCTTTTTTGAGAAGAAACTGGTCTTGACTAACTCAGGCTGAAACACTAGACTAGAATGCCAAACATTCTAGCATAATTCAATTAATTGTGAAAGTCAGGAGTAATACATCTTTCTTAGGTTCATGTGTTTTTATGTATATTTGAAATTGTGAAGTTTTAACATATTGTAATACTTACATTTTACAAACTTGATTCTATTATAGCTGCATAGTCTTAATTTGTTTTATGGCTCAACATACTTTTAATTGATACAGGTTATAAACATCTGAGATACATTATATATTTTTATACCCCACGCAACGAGTTGCAGAGGGTATAATGTTTTTGACCCGTCCATCTGTCCGTCCATCAGTCCGTCAGTCCTGTTTCTTGTCATTGCAACTCCTCTCAAACCACACAACAGAATTTCACGAAACCTATTTAGATAATAAGGACATACTATGTAGTAGTGCATATCGACAGGAAATTGCGATTCAATTTTTTTTCTAGGAGTTACGCCCCTTTGAGCTTATTTACTTTAATGTACTACTGCAACAGTTTGTCATCGCAACTCCTCTGATACCACACAACAGAATTTCATGAAACCTTTTTAGATAATAAGGACATACTATGTAGATGTGCATATCGACAGGAAATTACGGTTCAATTTTTATTTCTCCAATGACAATGTGGGGACGTGGGGTATGTGAGTGCACTCACTAAGGTTCTTTAATTGTTGCAGCTTTGCGACTTGATGTGGAAAAAGCCAAGCAGCACACCCCTATCCCCTCTCCTGGTAAAGCTAGTGACACATCTGATCCTGAATCACCAGCTGTGGAGCTAGAAGTTATCATCAGTCAATTCACATCACCCACAGATTTTTATGTACAACTGGCTACTGCAGGAGAAAATGGTCTCAATAGGTAAATATATATTGTAAATATACGTACTTTAAAAACTCTTGTGGCATGATGTTTTGTACCTTTTCATAAACTTATTAGATGATAAACTGAAGAAATTATATTTGATGAAAAATGTTGTATCAGATTGGTATTGATTATGATGATTTTCTTCAAAATTTTGCTACCTTAATGGGTGTTTAACAGATAGTCTCCCTTTGTTAAGTTTACTGTAACTGTTGTTTCTTGACAATGTTTTAATCATTTCTTAATTATTATACCCCACGCAACGAGTTGCTGAGGGTATAATGTTTTTGACCTGTCCGTCCGTCAGTCCGTCAGTCCTGTTTCTTGTCATCGCAACTCCTCTCAAACCACACAACAGAATTTCACGAAACCTTTTTAGATAATAAGGACATACTATGTAGTTGTGCATATCGACAGGAAATTGCGATTCAATTTTTTTTCTAGGAGTTACGCGCCTTTGAACTTATTTGCTTCAATGTACTATGCAACAGTTTGTCATCGCAACTCCTCTGATACCACACAACAGAATTTCATGAAACCTTTTTAGATAATAAGGACATACTATGTAGATGTGCATATCGACAGGAAATTATGATTCAATTTTTTTTCTAGGAGTTACGCCCCTTTGAACTTATTTGCATCAATGTACTACTGCAACAGTTTGTCATCGCAACTCCTCTGAAACCACACAACAGAATTTCATGAAACTTTGTAGATAATAAGGACATACTATGTAGATGTGCATATCGACAGGAAATTATGATTCAATTATTTTTTTTCTAGGAGTTACGCCCCTTTGAACTTATTTGCTTCAATGTACTTCTGCAACAGTTTGTCATCGCAACTCCTCTGATACCACACAACAGAATTTCATGAAACTTTGTAGATAATAAGGACATACTATGTAGATGTGCATATTGACAGGAAATAATGATTCAATTTTTTTTTCTTATACAATTTTTTTTTTTCTTACACATATTTTATTTCTCCAATGACAATGTGGGGACGTGGGGTATGTGAGCGCGCTCACTAAGGTTCTTTAATTTATTTTGTTCTGTTAACCATTTATGTTATAAAAATAACTCAGGCTTATGATTTGATACTTGAATAAGACTCATCAGTGATGCTTGAATAAAAAATGTTTTAAAAAAACCAAATACAGTATAGAGTGGAAGAGTATTGAGGACCCAACATTCAGAGAGGTTTTAACAAATACAGCTATTGTAATCTATTCTTGGGGTAGAAAATCATTAGTATTTGGAACAAGTTTTTTGTATATTTTTTGGATTACATTGAGTTTCAAACATTTAGCAAAATTATGCCATATACATGTAAATGTTGTAGTTTAATGGAAGATGTAGGAAATGAGTATCGTCTGAGTGAGGATCAGTGGGTAACATGGGAGGTTGGAAACTTTTGTGCAGCGAGGCATCCTGAAGATAAAAGATGGTACAGAGCTAAAATACTGAGTATGCCTCATAAAAGTATAGCAGAGGTACTAAATAATAATTATTTATGTGTATTACCTCTCTACTGTATAACCACATACAGGTACTAAATATCAGCTATTTATGTGTATTCTCTATCTATGGTACAGGCACTAAATAACATTTAATGTACTTTCCCTCTTTGGACTGTATAATCAGATATTAGAGAGTTAATAACAGGAATATTCATCTAACTGTGAATTTGTATGATGAGAGATTACAACATTCTTCCCCTTTTTTATAAGGAATTATATATTTTATTGTTAAAGGCCATGTGAAGACATTTGGTGTTAATACAAACAAAGAAATTTCTCTTCACTTTATATATTAAGAAAGGACACAGTTTTGTGTCATAAGAACAAATTTTTGTAAAAATTGTGGCTAGTTTTTGTCTCACCTTGACGGAGTCAAAAAGCGAGACATAGGTATGCTGTTTCGAGCGTCGGCGGAAACAACGGCGGCGGCGGCGTCAACAATGTAATAGTTTGTGATTAGGTCTAGTTCATGGTGAACAACTAGTGGTAGGTCAATGATATTTGGTATGCAGTTGTATTAGCATTGGCACATCTCATTACCATGGAGATTATTTGGCCCCACCCACCTCAGTCAAGGTCTATTGACTTTGAAACTTTGCTTAGTTTACATGTATTAGTTTGTGATTAGGTCAGTTTATGGGGAACCACTAGATGTAGGTCAATGATATTTGGTATGCAGTTGTATAAGCATTGGTATATCTCATTTCCATGGAGATTATTTGTCCCCGCACCCTCATTCATGGTCTATTGACTTTGAAACTTTTGCTTAGTTTTCATGTATTAGTTTGTGATTAGGTCAGTTTAAGGGGAACCGTTAGTGGTAGGTCAATGATAATTTGTATGCAGTTGTATAAGCATTAGCACATCTCATTTCCATGGAGAATATTTGGTCCCTACCCCTCAGTCATGGTCTATTGACTGAAACTTTTGCTTAGTTTACATGTATTAGTTTGTGATTAGTTCAGTTTTAGATGAACCACTAATGTTAAGTCAATGATATTCGGTATGCAAATGTATTGGCATTTGCAAGTTTCATTTCCATGGAGATTATATAACCCCACCCCCTAATTATGGTTCATTGACTTTGAAACTTTTACATAGTTTACAAGTTAATGTTTTCGTTTAGGTTTGTTTAAAGGGAACGACTTATGAGAGGTCAATGGTATTTGGTTTGCAGTTGTATTAGTATTGGCACATCTCATTTCCATGGAGATTGTTTAGCCCTGTACCTTCAGTCATGGTTCATTGACTTTGAATATTTGCATAACTTACATGTTAAAGTATTGCTATTTTAATTTCAACATTTGCATTATCAAAATAACAAATAGGCGAGACATATCTCTGTGTTAACAGTTTATTATTTCTTTACAACTAATTGAACAGTGAATTATGGTATGGATATTTTTTGATGTTCCTCCTGAACCTGTATAAGATTGTTGTTTGTTGTAGGTGTTTATGGTTGTATAAGATTGTTGTTTGTTGTAGGTGTTTATGGTTGTATAAGATTGTTGTTTGTTGTAGGTCTTTATGGTTGTATAAGATTGTTGTTTGTTGTAGGTGTTTATGGTTGATTATGGTTACATTTCTCAAGTTGGTGTATCAGAGATCAGACCATTACAGAAACCATTCTTAAAACAGATGTGCTTCGCCTTTTCTTGTCATTTGGCAGATATTGTGTCAGCTGGAGACATGAAAAAATGGTCCAAAACAGCTTGTGAATTCATGGCAGAAGAAGTCAAAAATATGAAAATGTATATCCAGAAAAAGGTATTGTGAGAATTGTTATATTTTGTTGTTATAAATTTTGAGTTACGAATATCTGATCTGATTGACCACAGAAAAGGTTAAAGAAAAGAGTATGTGGGCAAAACAGATTTATCTTCATGTCATAGATATTATATAATGTGGATTTATTTATTGTGTAGGAACCAATTTTCTTGGATCAAGGAAAATTGTATTTTCATGTATATTTGATTTCATGGTTTTAACAAAATTCTGCATACAAGCCTGTAGACAATGTTTACTTTGATGAACATTTAAATTCATGGTTCACCTGTAGTCATGAAATCCACGAAAATTTGTTTCCCAGGACTAATAATGAATCCACAGTACGAATAATAAGCTGATGTTTTATAGGGGAATACACAGAATGATTCATTACCTATTGATCTTTTGATGGAGGAAGACATTGCAGAGACAGCATTAGAACCTTCCAGGAAACATTACTACAGCCTCACAGACAAACTGATAGAGAAAGGACTAGCTATTCCTATCAACAGGTCAGTTATCCATAAAATACTGTCAGATAGTTAACCTTCCAGGAAACATTATTACAGCCTCACAGACAAACTGATAGAAAAAGGTCTTGCTATTCCTATCAATAGGTTAGTTATCCTTAAAATACTGTCAGATAGTTAACCTTCCAGGAAACATTATTACAGCCTCACAGACAAGCTGATAGAAAAAGGTCTTGCTATTCCAATCAACAGGTCAGTTATCCTTAAAATACTGTCAGATAGTTAACCTTCCAGGAAACATTATTACAGCCTCACAGACAAGCTGATAGAAAAAGGTCTTGCTATTCCAATCAACAGGTCAGTTATCCTTAAAATACTGTCAGATAGTTAACCTTCCAGGAAACATTATTACAGCCTCACAGACAAGCTGATAGAAAAAGGTCTTGCTATTCCAATCAACAGGTCAGTTATCCTTAAAATACTGTCAGATAGTTAACCTTCCAGGAAACATTATTACAGCCTCACAGACAAGCTGATAGAAAAAGGTCTTGCTATTCCAATCAACAGGTCAGTTATCCTTAAAATACTGTCAGATAGTTAACCTTCCAGGAAACATTATTACAGCCTCACAGACAAGCTGATAGAAAAAGGTCTTGCTATTCCAATCAACAGGTCAGTTATCCTTAAAATACTGTCAGATAGTTAACCTTCCAGGAAACATTATTACAGCCTCACAGACAAGCTGATAGAAAAAGGTCTTGCTATTCCAATCAACAGGTCAGTTATCCTTAAAATACTGTCAGATAGTTAACCTTCCAGGAAACATTATTACAGCCTCACAGACAAGCTGATAGAAAAAGGTCTTGCTATTCCAATCAACAGGTCAGTTATCCTTAAAATACTGTCAGATAGTTAACCTTCCAGGAAACATTATTACAGCCTCACAGACAAGCTGATAGAAAAAGGTCTTGCTATTCCAATCAACAGGTCAGTTATCCTTAAAATACTGTCAGATAGTTAACCTTCCAGGAAACATTATTACAGCCTCACAGACAAGCTGATAGAAAAAGGTCTTGCTATTCCAATCAATAGGTTAGTTATCCATAAAATAATGTCAGATAGTTAACCTTCCAGGAAACATTATTACAGCCTCACAGACAAGCTGATAGAAAAAGGTCTTGCTATTCCAATCAACAGGTCAGTTATCCATAAAATAATGTCAGATAGTTAACCTTCCAGGAAACATTATTATAGCCTCACAGACAAGCTGATAGAAAAAGGTCTTGCTATTCCAATCAACAGGTCAGTTATCCTTAAAATACTGTCAGATAGTTAACCTTCCAGGAAACATTATTACAGCCTCACAGACAAGCTGATAGAAAAAGGTCTTGCTATTCCAATCAATAGGTTAGTTATCCATAAAATAATGTCAGATAGTTAACCTTCCAGGAAACATTATTACAGCCTCACAGACAAGCTGATAGAAAAAGGTCTTGCTATTCCAATCAACAGGTCAGTTATCCATAAAATAATGTCAGATAGTTAACCTTCCAGGAAACATTATTATAGCCTCACAGACAAGCTGATAGAAAAAGGTCTTGCTATTCCAATCAACAGGTCAGTTATCCTTAAAATACTGTCAGATAGTTAACCTTCCAGGAAACATTATTACAGCCTCACAGACAAGCTGATAGAAAAAGGTCTTGCTATTCCAATCAATAGGTTAGTTATCCATAAAATAATGTCAGATAGTTAACCTTCCAGGAAACATTATTACAGCCTCACAGACAAGCTGATAGAAAAAGGTCTTGCTATTCCAATCAACAGGTCAGTTATCCATAAAATAATGTCAGATAGTTAACCTTCCAGGAAACATTATTATAGCCTCACAGACAAGCTGATAGAAAAAGGTCTTGCTATTCCAATCAACAGGTCAGTTATCCTTAAAATACTGTCAGATAGTTAACCTTCCAGGAAACATTATTACAGCCTCACAGACAAGCTGATAGAAAAAGGTCTTGCTATTCCAATCAATAGGTTAGTTATCCATAAAATAATGTCAGATAGTTAACCTTCCAGGAAACATTATTACAGCCTCACAGACAAGCTGATAGAAAAAGGTCTTGCTATTCCAATCAACAGGTCAGTTATCCATAAAATAATGTCAGATAGTTAACCTTCCAGGAAACATTATTACAGCCTCACAGACAAGCTGATAGAAAAAGGTCTTGCTATTCCAATCAACAGGTCAGTTATCCATAAAATAATGTCAGATAGTTAACCTTCCAGGAAACATTATTACAGCCTCACAGACAAGCTGATAGAAAAAGGTCTTGCTATTCCAATCAATAGGTTAGTTATCCATAAAATAATGTCAGATAGTTAACCTTCCAGGAAACATTATTACAGCCTCACAGACAAGCTGATAGAAAAAGGTCTTGCTATTCCAATCAATAGGTTAGTTATCCATAAAATACTGTCAGATAGTTAACCTTCCAGGAAACATTATTACAGCCTCACAGACAAGCTGATAGAAAAAGGTCTTGCTATTCCAATCAATAGGTTAGTTATCCATAAAATACTGTCAGATAGTTAACCTTCCAGGAAACATTATTACAGCCTCACAGACAAGCTGATAGAAAAAGGTCTTGCTATTCCAATCAATAGGTTAGTTATCCATAAAATACTGTCAGATAGTTAACCTTCCAGGAAACATTATTACAGCCTCACAGACAAGCTGATAGAAAAAGGTCTTGCTATTCCAATCAATAGGTTAGTTATCCTTAAAATACTGTCAGATAGTTAACCTTCCAGGAAACATTACTACAGCCTCACAGACAAGCTGATAGAAAAAGGTCTTGCTATTCCTATCAACAGGTTAGTTATCCTTAAAATACTGTCAGATATTTAACCTTCCAGGAAACATTACTACAGCCTCACAGACAAGCTGATAGAGAAAGGTCTTGCTATTCCTATCAACAGGTCAGTTATCCTTAAAATACTGTCAGATATTTAACCTTCCAGGAAACATTATTATAGCCTCACAGACAAGCTGATAGAAAAAGGTCTTGCTATTCCAATCAACAGGTTAGTTATCCTTAAAATACTGTCAGATAGTTAACCTTCCAGGAAACATTATTACAGCCTCACAGACAAACTGATAGAAAAAGGTCTTGCTATTCCTATCAATAGGTTAGTTATCCTTAAAATACTGTCAGATAGTTAACCCTCCAGGAAACATTATTACAGCCTCACAGACAAGCTGATAGAAAAAGGTCTTGCTATTCCAATCAATAGGTTAGTTATCCTTAAAATACTGCCAGATAGTTAACCTTCCAGGAAACATTATTATAGCCTCACAGACAAGCTGATAGAGAAAGGACTTGCTATTCCTATCAACAGGTCAGTTATCCTTAAAATACTGCCAGATAGTTAACCTTCCAGGAAACATTATTATAGCCTCACAGACAAGCTGATAGAGAAAGGACTTGCTATTCCTATCAACAGGTTAGTTATCCTTAAAATACTGTCAGATATTTAACCTTCCAGGAAACATTACTACAGCCTCACAGACAAGCTGATAGAGAAAGGACTTGCTATTCCAATCAATAGGTAAGTTATCCTTAAAATACTGTCAGATAGTTAACCTTCCAGGAAACATTACTACAGCCTCACAGACAAGCTGATAGAAAAAGGTCTTGCTATTCCAATCAATAGGTAAGTTATCCATAAAATACTGCCAGATAGTTAACCTTCCAGGAAACATTATTATAGCCTCACAGACAAACTGATAGAAAAAGGTCTTGCTATTCCAATCAATAGGTAAGTTATCCTTAAAATACTGCCAGATAGTTAACCTTCCAGGAAACATTATTATAGCCTCACAGACAAGCTGATAGAGAAAGGTCTTGCTATTCCAATCAATAGGTAAGTTATCCTTAAAATACTGTCAGATAGTTAACCTTCCAGGAAACATTACTACAGCCTCACAGACAAGCTGATAGAAAAAGGTCTTGCTATTCCAATCAATAGGTAAGTTATCCATAAAATACTGCCAGATAGTTAACCTTCCAGGAAACATTATTATAGCCTCACAGACAAACTGATAGAAAAAGGTCTTGCTATTCCAATCAATAGGTAAGTTATCCTTAAAATACTGCCAGATAGTTAACCTTCCAGGAAACATTATTATAGCCTCACAGACAAACTGATAGAAAAAGGTCTTGCTATTCCAATCAATAGGTAAGTTATCCTTAAAATACTGCCAGATAGTTAACCTTCCAGGAAACATTACTACAGCCTCACAGACAAGCTGATAGAAAAAGGTCTTGCTATTCCAATCAATAGGTAAGTTATCCTTAAAATACTGCCAGATAGTTAACCTTCCAGGAAACATTATTATAGCCTCACAGACAAACTGATAGAAAAAGGTCTTGCTATTCCAATCAATAGGTAAGTTATCCTTAAAATACTGCCAGATAGTTAACCTTCCAGGAAACATTACTACAGCCTCACAGACAAGCTGATAGAAAAAGGTCTTGCTATTCCAATCAACAGGTCAGTTATCCTTAAAATACTGTCAGATAGTTAACCTTCCAGGAAACATTACTACAGCCTCACAGACAAGCTGATAGAGAAAGGTCTTGCTATTCCAATCAATAGGTAAGTTATCCTTAAAATACTGTCAGATAGTTAACCTTCCAGGAAACATTACTACAGCCTCACAGACAAGCTGATAGAAAAAGGTCTTGCTATTCCAATCAATAGGTAAGTTATCCATAAAATACTGCCAGATAGTTAACCTTCCAGGAAACATTATTATAGCCTCACAGACAAACTGATAGAAAAAGGTCTTGCTATTCCAATCAATAGGTAAGTTATCCTTAAAATACTGCCAAATAGTTAACCTTCCAGGAAACATTATTATAGCCTCACAGACAAACTGATAGAAAAAGGTCTTGCTATTCCAATCAATAGGTAAGTTATCCTTAAAATACTGCCAGATAGTTAACCTTCCAAGAAACATTATTATAGCCTCACAGACAAACTGATAGAAAAAGGTCTTGCTATTCCAATCAATAGGTTAGTTATCCTTAAAATACTGCCAGATTGTTAACCTTCCAGGAAACATTATTATAGCCTCACAGACAAACTGATAGAAAAAGGTCTTGCTATTCCAATCAATAGGTAAGTTATCCTTAAAATACTGCCAGATAGTTAACCTTCCAGGAAACATTATTATAGCCTCACAGACAAACTGATAGAAAAAGGTCTTGCTATTCCAATCAATAGGTAAGTTATCCTTAAAATACTGCCAGATAGTTAACCTTCCAGGAAACATTATTATAGCCTCACAGACAAGCTGATAGAAAAAGGTCTTGCTATTCCTATCAATAGGTAAGTTATCCTTAAAATACTGCCAGATAGTTAACCTTCCAGGAAACATTATTATAGCCTCACAGACAAGCTGATAGAAAAAGGTCTTGCTATTCCTATCAATAGGTAAGTTATCCTTAAAATACTGCCAGATAGTTAACCTTCCAGGAAACATTATTATAGCCTCACAGACAAGCTGATAGAAAAAGGTCTTGCTATTCCTATCAATAGGTAAGTTATCTGTAAAATACTGTCAGATTTTTAACCTTCAAGGAAACATTCATAGCCTTACATACAAGCTGATACAAAATGGACTTGCTATTCCTGTCAAAAGATCAGATATCTTCAAACTACTGAAGATAGTCCTGTGTGATAAATGTATTTGTTGGATATTCATTAGAATTATTCAGCAGACCCTTGTTGGCATTTGAATGTGTAAGCTGAAGCAAAGGTTAAGAAGTCTATTGATTTTGGAATAATGTCAGGCTCACTGTTACTAAGAAAAGAAAATTTTCCTCTAAAACAGATTTAGGTCTAAAGCTACTTTGTATTAATATAAGGAAAGCTTTTCTTTTCTTTTTCTATACATACATTTCTTCATGCTACTTATTGAAAAGAAAAACATTGACTTCAATTATAGAAGGAAAAAGAAAATTTTAGTCGATACAGAAGCTGCTAAAGTAAAGAAAATCCAGCCTGTATGTTACTGGAAGCCAGCAGTAAAGCCAATGAGTTCCTCCATATTGGGCATGCCAGCTTATGTTGATTTTGAAGGAATCATTTGGGTACAGGAGCTGAAGGAAAATGGTATGTTCATTATATCATTCTTACACTTTACCCTGTTAGTTATTATAATTGTTGGATTTTTGATTTTTTGAATGCAAGACAAGCCTTGCATTTTAAGTTTGGAAAATTTGAATATCGTGGCAAGAGTGGAAAATATTATAATCAAAGGAGTATTGTAGTTTTTTTTTGTGCAAAAAAGGAGAAATAAGGGCAAGCCAAAAAGGTTCATAATGAGTTGAATAACAGATTTTTTACACTATCTTTATGCTGAAAAACTGATAATCTGTTTCTTCTACTGATTCTTTTTAATGTCACAAAACTGTAACATGAATATTAATGAAGAGTTAAGCAGATGTAGAGAAATGCTATTGAGTTTATGATTTATTTCCCCCCTCTAGAAGATACACTATGCATTATGGTTAACAGACTGCAAGAGAAGTTTATGGATTCTGAACCACAAGCTAGAGATGAGATCAGGTGGCAGGAAGGACAAGCCTGCATTGCCATGTTTCATCTAGAAGAAAAGTGGCATAGAGCTAAAATATTGAAAGTGGAGCCACATAGAATACAGGTAATGATTTTTAAGATAAGGTAAGAAAATTCAAAAATTTATTTATTGTATTACGAAAGGCCTTAGTTCAAATAAACCTTATGCCTTGAGTGTTGATGTTATGGGTAATAGATGAAATATATTTTGTGTATTGAATCAATGTAATAAAAGTGAGGTTTATTTGACCTTGACCTCAATTTTAAGGTTCATTCATGATGTTAAGTTTAAGATGTGATACTTGTAGTAATATCTTGATCTCAGAGTCAAGATAAAAATCAGTTGAGCAGGCAAGACATTTTGGTGTTTTCACACTTGTTTAGGTTAGAGCATGTAGACTTTGGTAATGTTAAAATGCTTTATTTTTTTTCAGAGGTGTATGTAGACCTTAATCCATGTTATAATTGTATTTTATTAAGAATACACCGGACTTTTTAAAGAGGGAGTATAATGTGATGGGAAAGTCATTCTGTTTGTTCTTTTGTCAACTGTCCATCCATTCACCCTTTATTCCACTATAGTATGCACAACTTCTCCCAAGCCACTTGACAGAATTTTGTGAAACTCTCACATAGTCCTCCCCACATGAAATACTTTTACAGCATCATCTAAATCCATTTTTGGGCTTACTTTGGGGGATGACATGGAAATGATCTTCATCATATCTGCATTCTATAGTACAAATTTGTATCCACTTCTTCTCTTAAACCACTTGTCATAATTTAATGACACTTTCTCAGAATCTTGATCATATAATGCAGTGCATCTATTTTGTTTTTTGGTCCAAAATATTTTTGGTGCATCCTTTAGCAGTTCATAGACTTTGCAAGGGGCAACAGTATCATTTTGTGAGCTTTGCCTGACTACCTCTAGTTTTGAATTGTGTTTTTTAAAGTGAAGTTTGTAGACTTTAGAAGTGTTTAAGAAAGAGTTTGTAGATTTATTTTATGACCACTAAAAATTTTATACTAGTTTTAACTTTTGTGTCCAAAAAATAGAGCCAGAGAGCTATATGAATATTTTACCTAGCATTACCTAATATTTGGCTAGAGAAGGGTGTATTTTAAATTTAATTCTTCCAAATTTCCTTTTTAAAGAATGTGAAGAAATTTTTCAACATAACTATTGCATTTTAAAAATGTTTTTTTTTAAATTTTATTTGAATGGAGTGATAATCCAGAAAGTGTTCAGGAATGGCAGTTAATTGTTTTTTAGGTTTCCAAAATTTTGGAGCTAGCGAATTAGAAGAATTATTAATCAATTTGAATTGTATTTGTTTTTCCAGGTTGAGTTTGTAGACTTTGGTAATGTTGAGTATATAAGATATGACAACATTAGAGCTGATGTTTTAGAATTTATAGAGATACCTATACAATGTATGGCCTGTATGTTACATAATGTTATACCTGTAAGTATACTGTAACGTGCTGGAGTTTATAGAGATACCTATACAATGTATGGCCTGTATGTTACACAATGTTATACCTGTAAGTATACTGTAACATGCTGGAGTTTATAGAGATATCTATACAATGTATGGCCTGTATGTTACATAATGTTATACCTGTAAGTATACTGTAACGTGCTGGAGTTTATAGAGATACCTATACAATGTATGGCCTGTGTGTTACATAATGTTATACCTGTAAGTATACTGTAACGTGCTGGAGTTTATAGAGATACCTATACAATGTATGGCCTGTATGTTACATAATGTTATACCTGTAAGTATACTGTAACATGCTGGAGTTTATAGAGATACCTATACAATGTATGGCCTGTGTGTTACATAATGTTATACCTGTAAGTATACTGTAACGTGCTGGAGTTTATAGAGATACCTATACAATGTATGGCCTGTATGTTACATAATGTTATACCTGTAAGTATACTGTAACGTGCTGGAGTTTATAGAGATACCTATACAATGTATGGCCTGTATGTTACATAATGTTATACCTGTAAGTATATTGTAACGTGCTGGAGTTTATAGAGATACCTATACAATGTATGGCCTGTATGTTACATAATGTTATACCTGTAAGTATACTGTAACGTGCTGGAGTTTATAGAGATATCTATACAATGTATGGCCTGTATGTTACACAATGTTATACCTGTAAGTATACTGTAACGTGCTGGAGTTTATAGAGATACCTATACAATGTATGGCCTGTATGTTACATAATGTTATACCTGTAAGTATACTGTAACGTGCTGGAGTTTATAGAGATACCTATACAATGTATGGCCTGTATGTTACACAATGTTATACCTGTAAGTATACTGTAACGTGCTGGAGTTTATAGAGATATCTATACAATGTATGGCCTGTATGTTACATAATGTTATACCTGTAAGTATACTGTAACGTGCTGGAGTTTATAGAGATATCTATACAATGTATGGCCTGTATGTTACACAATGTTATACCTGTAAGTATACTGTAACATGCTGGAGTTTATAGAGATACCTATCCAATGTATGGCCTGTATGTTACACAATGTTATACCTGTAAGTATACTGTAACGTGCTGGAGTTTATAGAGATATCTATACAATGTATGGCCTGTATGTTATATAATGTTATACCTGTAAGTATACTGTAACGTGCTGGAGTTTATAGAGATACCTATACAATGTATGGCCTGTATGTTACATAATGTTATACCTGTAAGTATACTGTAACGTGCTGGAGTTTATAGAGATATCTATACAATGTATGGCCTGTATGTTACATAATGTTATACCTGTAAGTATACTGTAACGTGCTGGAGTTTATAGAGATACCTATACAATGTATGGCCTGTATGTTACACAATGTTATACCTGTAAGTATACTGTAACATGCTGGAGTTTATAGAGATATCTATACAATGTATGGCCTGTATGTTATATAATGTTATACCTGTAAGTATACTGTAACGTGCTGGAGTTTATAGAGATACCTATACAATGTATGGCCTGTATGTTATATAATGTTATACCTGTAAGTATACTGTAACGTGCTGGAGTTTATAGAGATACCTTTACCTGTATATTGCATAATGTTATACCTATAGTATATTGTAACATGTGCATTGTGGGAATTTTTTGAAAATTTATTGGATTGAGTTGTCTTGGCAGTTACATATTAGACAAAAATAACATTTAGATCCTTGTAAAATTGGAGATTGTATATGGTGGATTTCACAACAAAATATTTTTTAATGTTTTGAGTATGAAATAAACTTGTTATTTTAAAGTGAAGACATCAAATATTAGGATCATTGCACTAACAGTGTTTGAATATTACACTGAATTGGATTAAAATTGCCAATGGACAATTTTCTCATTATCATAACAACAAAAGGGAATTAACTTTGAACTAACTCTCTTGCAACATGTGCAATAGAACAATTCTAATCAGCTTGTTACAAGAGGTATTTTAACATCAGTAGAACCAAAATAGCTTCTATAACAATCCATAAACAGTAAGCTACAGGTCATACATAGAATTGGTTAAACTAGCAATGAGAAGCTCTTTGTTCTGATCCAATGATAGTTAACATGTTGACAAGTATCAGTTTGGGGTAAATTCACCCATGATTAAGCTTTCCTTAATTGTTTCTCTATTTACAGGTAACAACAACAGGTAAATGGCCTGTACCAACTCTAGATAAGATGCACACAATGGTGGTTAACAAACCGTGTGTCATAGATATACAGGTAATACAGTCAAAAAATTGAAATATTTATGTAGAAAAACTTTCTGTTCTGTAAAAAAAGGGTTTTAATTCAAGTGACAGTGCAAATGAAATGTGTGTATTTTGTGGCAATTGCATGTCTTAAGATGACTAGTTAGGGTCATGCTTAATTTACAGTAACAAACCTGGTGACTATTGGAGTAACCTAGATTTCCATGTGCTGTCATTGGCTTTTAGTTCAAAGTTCAATTAATTTCTGATGTACACATAGTTAAAAAACAAGAAACAAATAACTTTTATTGTATTAAAAGGATTTCAGTTCAATTTTCAGAGATATCTTAAAATTATATCCTTGTTCTGAACGAGGGGTTTAGTTTACCCCTGTGTCTGCCAGGGTTTTAGTTCCATGAAATTTTTGTCTCATTTTTCCCTGGAACTAAAAATATTCACTTGAAATTTTGAATTAACCCTCATGTGAGAATACTATACTGTGTAATATATTTTCATATCTATGGCTTCAAACTTCATGTTAACCGATCATATAACTACTTATAGCTGATTTATGTATTATTAGTGAACAGTAGCTTATTACAAAATGATTTTCTATACATGTAAATTATATGGTCATATAAGCACATCGCCTTTAATTTTAATGTAGGCCAAATGTTTTCATTATAGAGCAGAGAAGTTGACCGTCCATTAGAAGTTAATATAACCCTGCCAGACAAGAAAGATCTCAGTACAATACTCTACAAAAAAGGCTTATGTTACAGGAAAAATGATGTCACTTATACAGTAGAAACCAGCAATAAGATTGGCAGAATTTTGTCATCTGTAAGATTGTAGTATTGACTAGAAATATGAGTAAACTTTCATAAATTGTGCAGTTTGTTTGAATAAACTTTTGTTAGTTATGGAATATTGAATGTTTCTTCGAAAAATAGCTTTAGTTATTGAATCAATTTTAAAACAGTGTCTTATCAACATTTTGCCAACATAAAAGTCAAATTCTGATGCTGAAGATCAAGTTAATTTTTGGCATTCTACTAAATATGACCTAAATGAGAAAATCAATTGTAGAAAATATCATAGTTATTGTGGTATTTTAGGAAATATCTTTCACTTTGTTACTATATTTTGTTAGATAAAGACAACAGGAACTGTTCTAGCTGTAGTATAAATGAATTTACATTACCATTAAGCATTGGTGATGATGTCAATAATAAAATTGTTACAGTCGACTCCACTTAATTGCATACCGGATAATTCCATAATTCGGTTAATTGCATACTTTTTTCCTGCACCAAACCATTCCCTATACATCTAGTGTTAAATTATCCTGTTATTTGCATGGGCTAGAAGTAACATTTCGGTTTATTGCATAGGAAAAAAAATTAATCTAGATATGGTATATTAAATTTTGACACCTGTACTCGATAAAAATGACCGGAAACGGAAAGGTAGGTATATTTTTTTCAGTACATGTATTTTTCAACCTTATCGTAACTGTTCTCAAGTTTAATTGCATATTTTCTTATCTGTGCATGTTTAAATATTTTCTCTCTGTGTTGTTGAAATAAAGATTTAAAAAGTGTTTGTGTCGTTTTTATCCTTTAAATGACGCCATGTTGATTTATTTATGTGTACAGGTAAACTGGTTTCCCTTGTTCTATATTAAGCCTTGAGGTCATAAAGATGTCAAATATTAAATTGTTGTTAAAACTTGATCATTAAAAAATCCCAGGTGTTAATTATGAATTGCAATTCCAAAAAGAAGATTAAAGTGTAAAACAAACACAACAATAAACCATAATTAAATGACAAACATCATCCGATTGTGAACACTTGTAATCAAGCGTGGGGTTCAGCTTGGGTAATTTATTTTCATGTTAATCATGATCAGAGATTAATGAATGATTAAAGTCCACAAAGAATTTTAATTAAAATGCCACTGTTCTAATTCTGAGTGAACAATTTTTTTAAAGAGCTTGGGCTACTCAAATCTGGTCATAAATACCGATTCGAGTTCAAACTTCTTCATTCACACAGTAAAAATGTCTTAAGCGTAAACGTAACGACCTAACTTTAGCTGACAAGTATGAGGTTATTAAACTTCTTGACCAGAAATTCTCTCAAACAGAAATTTCAAAGAAACTGGGATGTTCCCAATCTCAGATCTCACGTATATCTTCAAAAAAAGAATTAATACGAGACCAGTATCACTCAAACACCGACCTAGAGAGAAAACGCCAGAGGAGTGGCAAATCTGCTGATGTTGAAGCAGCACTTACAACTTGGTTTAATAACGCAAGGTCAAGAGACATTCCACTCAGTGGTCCAATATTGGAAGGAAAAGTAAAAGACCTTGCTGTTGAATTAGGCAATGCCGACTTCAATCCAACATCAGGCTGGCTATCACGTTGGAAAAACCGCAACATGATCATTCATAAAAAGTTGCATGGTGAAAAGAAAGATTCAGATGTTAAAGCTGCAGAAAAGTACCTAGAGCACGTCCTACCAAACCTACTAGAACAGTTCAACCCAAATGATGTCTACAATGCTGACGAGACGGGGCTGTACTACAGGGCACTACCTGAGAACACACTTACCCGAAAAGATGATGATGTTGCTGGTGGTAAAAAGCTAAAAGATAGAATAACTACCATGGTTGCTTGCAACATGACCGGTACTGATAAGCGTCAACTACTCATAATTGGTAAAAGTAAAGACCCAAGGTGCTTCAGGGGTAAAAAGAGTCTACCCGTGATCTACAAAAACAACAAAAACTCCTGGATGACATCAGAGATATTCAAAGAGTGGTTGAAAGACTTAAACAAAGATATGCGCCGTCAGAACCGGAAAATATTAATGCTTGTCGACAATTGTAGCGCACACCCAAAAGAAGCCGCTGATAGACTTGAGCATGTTGTTCTAGAATTTCTACCACCAAATACAACTGCAATAATTCAGCCATGTGACCCAGGGAAAATCCATAATCTTAAAGGACATTACCGAAGTCAGTTAGTACAGAAAACATTGACTGAGATAGATACAACAACTGCTACTGCTGCCGAAATAGCCAAGAAAGTCACACTCCTTGACGCCGTACATATGGCAACCAATGCGTAGAAGAAAGTAAAAACAACAACAATTGTGAACTGCTTCAGAAAGGCTGGCTTCAAAGACACCCATGAAGAAGAATTTATCCCAGAGATAAATGACATTGAAAATCCACCCAACATGACAGAAGAAGAGTTCATTGAGTACGTCGATCACGATAACAACACTGAATGTTATGGAGAGCTAACAGACGCCGACATCGCCACATCTATTCTACAAGACGAACCTATGAGGAATTCCGACCCAATAGATGATACCGATAGCGAAGACGAATTAGAAGAAAGCATCATTCCCGTGAATTTCTCCCAGGCAAACACACATCTCGCTGGTTTATACCGTGTTATGGAGGAACACCAATGTACTGACTTCTCAACATACTACAAGATGGAAGCAGAAATTCTAAAGATGTTTGCACAGTCAAGACGGCAATGTAAGATTACCGAGTTTGTTAACTGGATACCGTAGTGACATTTATTTTGTAACTCTGTAGAGACTAGTGCTGTATAAATATTTTGTGCTTTATGAAAATTAAACTTAATTAATTGTATGCAATTTAAAAAAAATAGTGCTGTGTCAATTAAACTGTGCTATTGTATGACAGAAAATATTGTTTTGTAATGATTATTTGCTTTAAATATTTTAAATGTCAGTCAATAAATTATTTTATATGTTGAACTGTTACTCTCTATACTTATTTCATCTGTATGATTGATTAAAGATACAATTAACTTCTCATTCTTATTTGAATTAATTATTACCCTGAAGGAGCCCCTTTCAAACTTTACACAAGGAAAACGTAACAAGTTCACTGATCGAGATACACAAAAATCGATTCTCGATAGAACAGCACTTTAAATTAACATGGATACACTTGTTTCATAACTTCCTTGGATATTGGTAATTGTCTTCTTAAAAAATCAGGACTGGTGATATATTTAACATACGATCACAGATATCATGCAATCATACTTGATCTATTTATAGATCATTAACTGACAACAACACATGGTTCTATTTTTATTTCACCGGTAAAGAAAATTACACAACATCAATATTGTATACATTCTTTATTGAAATATATAAAACAAGATCATATAACATCAATAGTACAATTTATAATGAACAGTTTATGGGATATGTTTGGATCCAAGTTTATTCTCGTATTTTCCTTTACTTCCAGTCTGACGTCAACCCCAAATCATGAATTCGGTTATAAGCATACTCTGCTTAATTGCATAAATTTGTCTGACAAATAGGCTATGCAAATAACCGGAATGCACTGTATTTTTTTTGCAGAAAAAGTTGGCCTATCCTAAAGTGAAGTTGGCACCTAAGAATGAATATTTTAATGTGTGTATCACTAATGTAGAAGCTCCTGATGTGGTAAGTATGGTTTAAACTTATCCCTATCTTACAGTAAATATCTGACACATCAGCTGTGACCTAGTAAAATGCTTAGATCGGTTTTCTAATGAATTCAGTCTCTTGGCATGGTGCCTAAAGTGAAAATAACCATAAAAAGTTTTCAGTATGCTTCTTTAATATTAAAAAAGTATTATCTTGATTTATGTTTTCATTATTTGATGATAGTTTGAAATAATATATGAAAAGTGTTTAAGGACATGGTATTTTAATTATCTTTTCCTCTGCATCATGTGGCAATGATATATTGCATTTAATTGAATTGATAGATTAAGCAATTAATTAATTCAATATTGTATAGATTTTGTGCAAAATTTCATGCATATTCAAATCTATTTGATTTAAGATGGATTGCATATGATTGCAATATTAAAGCATGTTCATAAGTTTCTCTTTTACTGTTTGTCTGTGTTCTATTAATACTCAGAAATAAATGTTTTAAATACAAAAGAAAGAGTGCTTGAAATGTTGTGTAGACTATTTATTTGTTGTTGAAGATGTTGAATACCATGTTTTGATCTCTGAATGTCTTCTTGTTTTGCTGATTAGTTGTTGTATACCATGACAATTCCTTTTTTCAGATTTTAGAGTATTTTGACAGACCAGAAAGCAATCAAATAAAGACAGAAATTTATATTTTAATAAGGGAAAGCAACATTTTGATTTTTCCATTCTAAATTTAAATGAAAGTTTGAAGTCTCTATTTAACATATTTTATTGTAGATATATTTCCAACACTGTAAACAAGAGGAGAACAATGATGAGAGGACTGACGAAATTAACGAACAACTGACGAGACTACAACTATTATCTGTAGAACTGAATGGAGTGGCTCATAAGTTTAACACTTTACCTATACCAAAACCAGGTAACTATTATCTGTAGAACTGAATGGAATAGCTCATAAGTTTAACACTTTACCTATACCCAAACCAGGTAACTATTATCTGTAGAACTGAATGGAGTGGCTCATAAGTTTAACACATTACCTATACCCAAACCAGGTAACTATTATCTGTAGAACTGAATGGAGTGGCTCATAAGTTTAACACTTTACCTATACCCAAACCAGGTAACTATTATCTGTAGAACTGAATGGAATAGCTCATAAGTTCAACACTTTACCTATACCAAAACCAGGTAACTATTATCTGTAGAACTGAATGGAGTGGCTCATAAGTTTAACACATTACCTATACCCAAACCAGGTAACTATTATCTGTAGAACTGAATGGAGTGGCTCATAAGTTTAACACATTACCTATACCCAAACCAGGTAACTATTATCTGTAGAACTGAATGGAGTGGCTCATAAGTTTAACACTTTACCTATACCCAAACCAGGTAACTATTATCTGTAGAACTGAATGGAGTGGCTCATAAGTTTAACACATTACCTATACCCAAACCAGGTAACTATTATCTGTAGAACTGAATGGAGTGGCTCATAAGTTTAACACATTACCTATACCCAAACCAGGTAACTATTATCTGTAGAACTGAATGGAATAGCTCATAAGTTTAACACTTTACCTATACCAAAACCAGGTAACTATTATCTGTAGAACTGAATGGAGTGGCTCATAAGTTTAACACATTACCTATACCCAAACCAGGTAACTATTATCTGTAGAACTGAATGGAGTGGCTCATAAGTTTAACACTTTACCTATACCAAAACCAGGTAACTATTATCTGTAGAACTGAATGGAGTGGCTCATAAGTTTAACACATTACCTATACCAAAACCAGGTAACTATTATCTGTAGAACTGAATGGAGTGGCTCATAAGTTTAACACATTACCTATACCAAAACCAGGTAACTATTATCTGTAGAACTGAATGGAATAGCTCATAAGTTTAACACTTTACCTATACCAAAACCAGGTAACTATTATCTGTAGAACTGAATGGAGTGGCTCATAAGTTTAACACTTTACCTATACCCAAACCAGGTAACTATTATCTGTAGAACTGAATGGAGTGGCTCATAAGTTTAACACATTACCTATACCCAAACCAGGTAACTATTATCTGTAGAACTGAATGGAGTGGCTCATAAGTTTAACACTTTACCTATACCAAAACCAGGTAACTATTATCTGTAGAACTGAATGGAATAGCTCATAAGTTTAACACTTTACCTATACCAAAACCAGGTAACTATTATCTGTAGAACTGAATGGAATAGCTCATAAGTTTAACACATTACCTATACCCAAACCAGGTAACTATTATCTGTAGAACTGAATGGAGTGGCTCATAAGTTTAACACTTTACCTATACCAAAACCAGGTAACTATTATCTGTAGAACTGAATGGAATAGCTCATAAGTTTAACACATTACCTATACCCAAACCAGGTAACTATTATCTGTAGAACTGAATGGAGTGGCTCATAAGTTTAACACATTACCTATACCCAAACCAGGTAACTATTATCTGTAGAACTGAATGGAGTGGCTCATAAGTTTAACACTTTACCTATACCAAAACCAGGTAACTATTATCTGTAGAACTGAATGGAATAGCTCATAAGTTTAACACATTACCTATACCCAAACCAGGTAACTATTATCTGTAGAACTGAATGGAGTGGCTCATAAGTTTAACACTTTACCTATACCAAAACCAGGTAAGAATGCACTCTAAAGTCTTTATATTTCACTGTACCTTTTATAATGATATAATGTGATACATATTACATACCTGAGTTGAGGTTTGATTTTGTTCTTATGCAAAAGAGAGGCAAAAAATACCAAAGGGACATGCAAATTCATTAGTTGAAAACAAACTGACAAAGCCATGGCAAGAAATGTAAAACAATCAAAAGACAATCAATAGTATACAAAACAACATGGAAAAGCCAAAACCGAGCAACGAGAACCCCCACCAAAAATTGAATGTGATCTTAGATGATATACTGTAAATTCAGAAATTATTGCATGCATTTTTTCTTGCGATTTTTGAAGAATGGACAAAAATGCAAAATTAATTATTGTGATTTAAGGAAAATCTGTGTACTGACATGTGTATCAGATATCAGAATGCGAGTTCTTTTTATTGCGATACTCACCCAGTCGCATTAATAAAAACCTCGCAATAATTTCTGAATTTGCATTATAATAGTTCAGGCTAAAATCACACCTATATGGGAAATGATAAGGTCAGAATGCAGTTCAAATGATAAACTCCTTTACTGTAGACTTCATTACCTTTATATAAGAGTAAAAGAAATCCAAATAATTTATAAGGACCCACTACCCAACATTCTCAAAAATTATATGACCAGCCTGAGTTATAAGCATTAAAAATTGCAAATATATAGGCCAAAAACTTTTGTCAAATCTGATTCACTTACAGGTAATCAATGGATATAAAAATTAAAACTTAATCAGTAAGGTTTATACATGACTGGAATAAGTCATCAAATCTTGTACAGTAAATAATCAGTCGTAAGAATATATCTGTGATCAGTAAAAAATGGTAATGTGGATACATCATATAATATACAATTTGAATCATTGAAGTCCTAAAAACAAACAAAAATGTTTACAACCACTGAGCTATAAAAATACTATTGACAACAGTTGATATTGTAAACTCTGTTTATAGGCTTGCCATGTTTAGGACAGTACACAATGGATAACAGCTGGTATAGGGGACTTATAATTCAAGTTGATGCTGAGATCCATCAAGCCAGAGTTCTATATGTTGACTATGGAAACTCAGAGATTCTAAAATTTGACAGGTTAGTGAAGATAGGAAACTAAAGACTTTTTTCCATCTAAACACAGGCCCACCTTTCAGGTGACAAGAAGAGTATTCACTCTTTTACAGCCTATAAAATAACAAAAACGAAGCACTAAGTTCTGATTATTACATTTTAATGCTACAACCATTAAATAGTGAGTTAAGGTAGCTGGGGTGTCTAAATGTTCGACGAAAGATTTTTCTTAAACTTTTGTAAAAGACTCCTGGGTCATTGTGCTTTCAAATTTCAATATAAAAACTGTGGGTTAAGGACCTTGTTTTTTGTTAAAATACATTGTAATTAGCGATATCAGTTATTTTATATGGGTTTTATAGGGGAAACTTAATTTTTTCTAATTGAGGGAATATTAAACGATTGGATTGGTTAAAATTCAATGAGAGAATTGGTTTTCATAAATACTTACAAAATGTCAATTGAAAAAAGGGGGTCCTAGGCCTTATTTTTTTCTTGAAAAATATAAAAAACACAAATTGTCCTATCAAATTCAGTTTGATTGTCTGCCCTTGATTTCAAAAGGACTTTTTCTGAAAATTTTGAAGTTTTTAATGTTTTTGTTGTATAATAAATGATACTTGGTAAATATTTAAAAAAAAAAAAAGGATTTTTTCAAAATACCAAGAAGGGATGCTCAGAAAAAAACACCTGATCTACCTTAAATCAAGTATTTTGTTTGTTTTCTATGTATTGTTTTAACATTGTCACTGAAACCATGTGCAGTCATAGATGTTGCATTTTATACAAAGCAATAAACTTAGCCAATCAAAATAATTTAATCTTATCAAACTTCTATGCAGTGTAATTATTAAAATACTTGTATAAAATAAAATGAAAAGATAATGCAGGGAATGACAAATTTTGCAAACTCATTGGACACTTCGAGAATATCAAAGTGGATAAATTTAAATCTAAAAATAAATTAAAAGTTGTTTTTAATTTTTTGCTTCAGTTTGTTTTAAGTGTGGTTGTCTTTTGTTGCCGTCTGCCATACATTGGTCTATTGTTTTGAGCATAGAAGAGACTTGGTTTTCTCTTTTTAATTGGTTTACATTTTGTCAATGGGTCCTTTTATTGCTTACTATATTGTATTGGTTTTGTTCATTATTGAAGGTTGTATATTTTCTATGGTGACCTATAGTTGTTTACATCTATGTCCTTTTGTCTCTAATGGATATTTGTATCAGCAGCAATCATACCACATCTTATTTTTCTTTTGACTCATCTGTTTATCAGTTACTTTGGGTTTCCAGATGCTAGATTAAAAAAATAATAGCAGATTACAACCTTACTTGATATATGATTACATATTATAATGGGACAATTTATATCACCACATCAAAGGTTAAGGTCATCTATGTGGTTACAAAAAAATTGAGAAAAATTTGAGTACAAAAGTGGTCATGGTCAATTTCTTAAGGGCAAGTTGTTAAAATGTTAATGACAAACCTTGTCTGCATCTGAAGTCAGATACAACTGTTGTCAATAAATGCTGTATAAAGATATCAGTGATATTCACAGTTGTGGTATGAGTCAAAACATCATATCTAGCACCCTGTTATGTTCATTTTGTACAATTTTGCTTTGTCAGAACCTCTATTCTCTTTATAAGATCCTAAATAGATTACGGTGAATAGTCCTTCTGTTGTTAAAGCTGGAGAACATGGGAATGATAAACCTTCAGTGTGGGCAGACCTTGGGTAAAAAAATTAATTACAATTTTGAAAGTAATTCAATGTAATGTGTAATTGAGCATATTAAAGTAATGAATTACATTGTCTTTTTGCCATGTAATTATGAATTACTTTTCAATTACTTTGAATTACATTTAAATAATTGCTTGGAAATTTTTAACCTTTTTGGCTTTTCTGATGTAACTTGTAAATTTTATTTTTTTACGATATTTAGAATGTACTTGGTACTTTGATTTTTTTTTATGCTTTTTAAACATTTATCATGATATAAAAAATATAAAATTCCTTGATATTTCATTATTCATTATAGGATGTATGATAACCTTTATTTATATTTAATTCCTTAATTTTTTTCACATGTTTACTTAAAAATCTAAAAATTAAAAACAATACCAATTTATTTACATACAATTTGCAAATATGTTGTTCTAACAATTAACAATAATCTTAGCCGCAGGTTATTCCTTTCACTATACCCGATAATTATGAAGTATAAGTTTGTCCCTTGATTAAAATGCAAAAGGCAATTTTTTAAACCATAATATGTATGTGTTAAAATCTGAATAGATGGATATTATTTCAACACTTTCTACAAAATTTTAAATACAGCATTCAAAACATACAAGAATGGAGTCCAATATAATTGACAAAAGACAAGTCTGGAAAATGCTATCATTACTTCTTCTGTAATAAATGGAAGCTTTTAAGTTACTTCAAATTTCACATGAGGTACATAAGAAAACCTTTAAATCTAAATTTACATTTTAGTACAAACTTGAAGTTGTAAGAAAATTATTTTAAGAGTACCCTTTTTTTTTATGCCCCCGCCGTAGCGGAGAGGGCATTAAGTTTTTCCCTTGTCCGTCTGTATGTACGAACGTATGTATGTCCCAAAATTGGTTTCCGTTCTGTTACTTTAGTCTGCCTTAACCAAATGTTATGAAAGTTATACACAATGTGTATTACCACAACACACAGATCAAGTTTGAATTTTGGTGGTGTCACTTTTACGGTTCTAGAGTTGTACCCCTTTACAAATGGAAAAATTGCTGAATTTTTCGTTTCCGTTCTCTAACTTTAGTTTACCTCAACCAAATGATATGAAACTGTTACACAATGCTTATTACCACAACACACAGATCAAGTTTGAATTTTGGTGGTGTCACTTTTATATTCTTCTTGAGTAATTAGATATAAGAAGATGTGGTATGAGTGCCAATGAGACAACTCTCCATCCAAGTCAAAATTTATAAAAGTAAACCATTATAGGTCAAAGTACGGTCTTCAACACGGAGCCTTGGCTCACACCGAACAGCAAGCTATAAAGGGCCCCAAAAATAACTAGTGTAAAACCATTCAAATGGAAGAACCAACGGTCTAATCTATATAAAAAACGAGAAACGAGGAAACACTTACGAACCACATCAACAAACGACATCTACTGAACATCAGATTCCTGACTAAGGACAAGGTGCAAACAATTGCAGCGGGTTTAAACATTTTAATGGTACCAAACCTTCACCCTTATCTGAAACAATAGTGTAACATCACAACATAGAAAGACACACTATAAAATATCAATTGAAATGGTTTAACTCAATCAAAAGACATATTAACACCAGTGAACATACACTGAACAAATAAATTTGATCTATGATACAATGTAAATACAAAATAAATAAACTAAGGGAAGAATAATAAAAGTAACATGTTATACCGCTGTGAAATGTTTAACAATTTAAGAAAAACAATATGCTTGAACAAAAATATCAGCCATTTGCAATTACTTTAAACACAGGTAAATGAAAATAATTTTGTAGTAAGGTATACGTGTACAGTTCAAATGGAGAAATGAAATATTTTTACAAAATAAATAATTTTGATGTTCATAATACAAAGAAGTGAAAATTTATAGTTATACAAAACACTTATCAAAGCTGGTATATAGACCAGATATAACCCTGAACAAGTAAACATTAAATAACAAAAAAGCATTACAATTAGTATCAACAGGTCAAATAGACAAGAAAGTAAAATTTGAGAGTACTCACAGTTACTGACAGCTAGTTAAAAGCCAAAAACAATTGATAATAAAAAATCATGCATATGCCCCTTTACAAATGAAAAAAATTGCTAAATTTTTCTTTTCTGTTCTCTAACTTTAGTTTGCCTCAACCAAATGTTATGAAACTTATACACAATGCTTATTACCACAAAACACAGATCGAGTTTGAATTTTGGTGGCGTCACTTTTATTGTTCTAGAGTTATGCCCCTTTACAAATGGAAAAAGTTGCTGAATTTTTTGTTTTCGTTCTCTAACTTAAGTTTGCCTCAACTAAATGTTATGAAACTTATAAACAATGCTTATTACCACAAAACTCAGATCAAGTACAAATTTTGGTAGCGTCACTTTTACAGTTCTTGAGTTATGTCCCTTTATAACATTATGTGCAAGCGGGGGCATCATCTGTGTCCCATGGACACATTCCCATTTATTTTTAATGGATCTATTTTTTCCCCCATAAAAATAAGAAATGCAATCAAATAATCAGCATTGAAAATCTGATTGTGATTTAATGTAATAATGATGTTAGAAATGTGAAACTTTTTTTTTAAACAAATCTTGTACAAATGTTTTCAATGTTAAAAGGTACATGTATATATATAAATGTTTCTATCTATTCTAGCCTGATGTTATTACTATGATTTCATTCTAAATGATATAGCTCTTGTATGTCTTTGGACAAAAGTAATTGAAATGTAATTAATACATTTGAAAATCAATGTAATTGTGATGTAATTAATTACATTTAAAAAGCAATGTAATTAAAATGTAATTAATTACTTTGGCATGTACTTGACCCCAGGTCTGAGTGTGGGTATTGTAGATGGTAAATAGATGTGCAGTGTATAAGATTTGTGTTTATAAAAAAAATTGTTGCTCCAGTTTAACATTATAGAATAAACATACAGAATGATTGACACTGATTCAAATTATATATGTATTAAATCTACAAGAGATAATTTCTGAGTAGCCTTTTGAAAGTTCATATTACAAGAGACCAATATGTGGCCATATCAGAACTTTTATTGCAAAGGAAATATAACCTTCCCAGATACAGTACCTGTTTAATTAGGTATTTTAACTTTTGCAACATGTTCTTTCCCATTGAATAAATACAAGAGCAATTATTCTCTTTCAATGATAAAAGATGTTAACTTTTAAAAAAACAATCATTCAATGTTTTAAAATTTTGGCTGTACAAAAAATAAACTTCTTCAATGTGTGATAAGATATAGTGAGGGAATGATATGTTTGCTATACCATGGTTCACTAAGACACACGTTTAATATGACAATATCACTGAACTAATCAAATGACTTTTTTTGCAGCATTTCAATAGATGATGTTACTATGCCAAGTTGCTCACCACCATGGGATGTGCTGCAACTAAAGTTGCAATATTTGTCTGCATGGCCAAGGTTAAAACTGCATTATAGATAGAAAATAGGGTTTATAGGATGTGACCTTTCTTGGCACACTTATAGATACCAGCAGTCAAATATTTTAATTGGACAAGAATGACTTAAACTTAAAGTGAATGAATACTCAAAAAAATGTACACTCATTTCAGACTAAGAGCTTTACCTATTCATTTCCTTGATCTGCCAGCACAAGGTGTGAGAATGAAATTGAATGAGGTCAGGCTACCACCAGGTCAGAAATACTGGACTGAAGATATCCTCAAAGCCATGGTGGCTGAAGTAGAAAACAGACCTTTTATGGCATGTTTGAAGGTGAGTATGTTTTAATCTTACATGTCCTAAAATGATATTCTCCTGCAAGTTCATTTAAACCTTCTTAGGCTTCTATAATATTTCATTTTATTTATACAACAATATCAGTATGCATAGGAAGATCATTACATGAGCTCCTAGTAAGACGTTTGTTTTTGTTTATTTTGTCATTATGAAAATTTGGTGTGGCTGGCAGGTGTTTGATAACTTTTCAAGACACAGGACAATTTTTAACTTGACTTATCTTTTAGAGACTTGTCTCATTGATCTTTACCACACATTAATAAAGTTAATATATTTTAAAGCATGACCTTCACAGTCATGTCATCCATGTGTTTATTTTAACCAGGTTTCAGGTTGTTGCATAACATGCGTTTTAGATAGGCATTGGTGTATTTATTAAACATCTATTAAAGTCTTAAAACTAGTCATCCATGGCCTTGTCATGAGTGGTTTAAGATTATAAAACTTTATACAGATTATTTCAAGTGAAAATTATACCTTGATTGAAGAATAAAGTATATAAATTCGTTTTTTTCAGACACATAACCCAGTGACTGGTGATTTATTGAAGATATCTGAAGCTCCAGGAGAACCACTAGAGTTGGCTTACCAGTCATTAATAAACAAGGGGTTGTTACAGGCACCAGAAGATAACCAGTTGTAAGTCAGACTATTGTATTCACTGTCATGGTGTACTCATTTATGACAGGGTTTTCGGAAAGGAAAAATACAGTTTGATGGAAGTATGGTGGGCAGGCGACCACCTTGTGCTTGCCAAGAGTTTCTTGCATTAACTAATGAACTGTTTAACCAATGCTTTTTAAATTATAACATGTTGATACTAATAACAAAATGGAGGTCAAGTTTAAAATTGACCATTTTCACCTATACTGTTCAGGAGTTATGGTCCTTTATATATTGGAAAATGGTTTTTTATGTTGTTTCCATTCAATAACCTATGAATCCTTCTATAAATGCTTTTCAAATAATAATATGCTATCACTGATGACAAAGTGGAGGTCAAATTGAAGATTGACAATTTTGACTTTTACCGTTTAGAAGTTATGGTCATTAATCTATTGGAAAATTTCACTCTATACTGTTTTTGTGCAATGACTTAAGAACAACTTGACCAATGTTTTTGATAAAAAAAAATGGAGGCCAAGTTTGATATTGACGATTTTAACTTTTGCTGTCCAAGAAATATGGTTCTTGAAAGATTGAAAAATTGCATTTTATGTCGATTTTAAAACGTTTTTCAAAGAGAGCCTTTTAATGAAGGTGGAGGATTTCATGATTTAAAAGATCTACTGATTTTATTTTTCAGATTTGATGAGGCTCTAATTGGTCAGATAGAAGATGAAGTAATAGTTGAGAGAGAAGAAGTTGTTGATTTAGATACCTCAACAAGTACGACCAAGGGAGATAACTCTTTCTTGAATGAAGATCTGACTGTTCCAGAAGAAAGAATAAGAACAAAATCATGGAGTGACCAATTTGATGATGAAGACTCACTTGATTGAAGTGTAATCATATTAGAAATTAACTATTGTGGATATTTTCATCAATGAAAATTTAGTGGAAGAGTTTTCAACACAAGATAGTTATTCTCAGCCTTATCAGCTGGTACTAGAAGATAAGACTTTATTTCACCAATGCATAATCATCTATGCTAGAGAATACATCAACTGACAGTGAAGGTCTTAGCTGATTGTGTATGTACTTTATTGAAAGTGATAAAGAGAGCCATATTTTATGATGTGCAATATCATTGTATTATATCATTAAAACAGCTTTAATGGTTACCTTTTTAGATTCCAAACATTCAGAAATGATCATATAACATTTTCTATGTTCTTATTTACTTTGAAAAATGTAAAATTTAAGCTCTTTTAAAGTCAGAGGAAAAGATTGTACTTGACTAAAACAAATTATTCAGTAGTCTGTAAACTGTTTGTTCTTTGTAATGTTAACATTCTTTGTCTAATTTAAGGTTTTTGATCAAATTTTTGTTGACAATTTCATTTTATGTTGTGTTTTAGGCTAAACTGAAAATACAAGTTTTAATAAACTTATATTACTAGATTAGTAAAATATGAAGTTTGATCATTATATTAAAGATTAATTATCATTTCAGTTGCAATATTAATTAGTTTAAGCAATTTTTTTTTATTTTTGAAAACCTTTCTGACTTATTGATCAGGACGTAGCCTTGATTGGTTGTAATAGATTTTAAACACAAATGTTGAAAAAAACTTATTGGCATTAATCCAACAATGCTGAAGGCCTACTTTTTTATTAACTGAATATGAATAGTGCTTAATTAGGAAAGGGAAAGAATGACTTACTTTAGAACCAATAGTGGGATTAAAATTTCATGTTTTTTGTCTCTAAATTTTGATTTCATGGAGATTAATTTTCATGGTTAACAGTATGTGAACATTTCTGTGGGGTTTTTATTTTGTGGATCATGTCTGTCCAAGAAATAAATTAAATATAAACTTGAAAGAGTCAACTATTATAGTTAAGTAGAGATCCAATCAAAAGTAAGGACAGTGCATAAACATCGTGAAACCAGTTAGAAATATATGTTTTCTTAATATAAATTTAAAATATAGTGTCAATTATAATCTAATTCACAAGCATGTTGTAGGTGTGCTTGATTTGTCAGTTTCATTTTAATCAAAACAGTACAATACCTTTTTTACAATAGCATGGTGAGAGGAACATCTCAAAGATTTGACCCGACTAAGTTTATTTTTACATCTTATATAGCCCCCCAATACACATCAAAATCAAAGATAATCTTATCCTTATTATTATTAATAAGGATATGAAAAGTTTTTTTTAACCGATTAATTCATAATGTTATAATATAGAATTATACATGTAAACAATCTACTAATAAATAAACAGAGGTAATTGATTGAAGTGAAATTGACAAATCAAACGCGCCTACCACCTGAACACATATTTTTGAACTAACTTATATTCTGTTCCTACTTTTGATTAGTTCCCTGCTGAGCTATTGACTCCGCCCAAAAGGAGGTAATGCCTTAGCTAATAATGATTTCATGGTTCAACTAGAAAGCAAGCTAACCAAAGATACTACCTTTACTTACACACTCAAGTCAATGTGCTGTAAGGATTTTATTTATATAATTGCTCATTTGTTTAATGTATATAATGATAACACTCGAGGAATACCTCATTATTAAGATTTACATTTATAAGATTATTTCTATTCTTTGCTCTTACTACACAAAAAGCATAATATTATATCCCATATATCCAGTATGATAATTTCTGCTAAACACTAGTCCATCATGAATGCCTGTAAATGCTACATGTTTATTTTGAGACAGATATATGCATCCTGAATTAGTTAATGTGCATTAAACTTCTGAATATTACAAATCTCATCTAGCAAGGTTAGATAAAGAATTACATGACAAGACTCTTTCAGATAATAATCTCTTAACAAAGTATTTTTGTGTCACTTGACTGCAAAGTTGTAGCAACACATAGGGATCACTTCTGTTGTTGTGGATCTTGTCAAACTTTGTACAACTTCCTTGAAACAGCTCTACAGAATTCAACAAAATTTGGTCAAACTCTTCTATGAGACATACAGTTCAATGTTCTTTGATTTTGTATGAATGCATTTGATATGAAGCAGTAATTTTATAAAAGAAATGATTTGGCTTTATTTTTCCTATGCCCATCTGAATAATGCATGTATTACAGTACTATGCTGTGTTGTCACGAGATATGTTGTATGTTAAATCCAGTTTTACACAACTGATTTAATTTTGATGTAGTCTTCAGAGTAAGGGCAGTAATGTCTCCTTTTAGATGTGTTTCAGAATTATTGAAATTTCTTTCTTAAAATAATAAAAGCTATTGTTTAAAATCTTTAATTTAAAAGAAGTATTATTTTGGTGGGTTCTGATGTTTCAGGCATTCACAAATCACTGTTTATGGCAATGGAGAGATGTAAAATTAGCCATTGAACCTTCATCATGGTATAATATGTTTTTGATTTTTTTTAAGATCAGGGGAAATAAAAAAACTGTTTTTCAAATTGTTAGAAAATATTGAATTATTTGTTGAAATGTATATTTACATTACATTTGAATTATCTTGTTTATCTAGATTGGATCTGAGCGATATAATTATGATATATATTTTGTTTTTTATCATTATTTTTTCAGTGTGTTAGAGGGAAGACTCATTTTCATGTCATCTGTTTCATTTTTATTTTTAATGATTTCAGAAAATAAAAATTTTCAAATATTTTTTTTATACTTTTTGAACAGGCCTTTATCATAACAGAAAGCCATTACTTCAATTTGGGAAGCCACAGACATGCAGCCTTAGGATATCAGCAAGGCCACCAATATTATATTAAAACAAATCTCCATGGTAATATTTACTGATAGGGAGATATGTAACTTTGGATGATTACTCCATACTATGAAATGCACATATATTATTTGATAACACGGATGGAATGACAAATATTTGTGATTAATATTTTGTTATGCCTTGCCTACAATAGCAGCGGGTGTATTAAGTTTTCTGGTCCATCTCTTTTGTCCTATTTTTGTTTTAAGACTGTTTCATGGTCACGTTGACTTGATACTTTGTTATCAAGTGTATTTTGATGTGAATTTTTAAAATAATATGCCAAATTTTGGTTTTGACCCATGTTTTGTTTTTCACTGATCATGATGAGATTAAACTTTTGGCTTTATAGGAAGTTTAACATAGTTGGGTTCTCATAAATGTAAAACTTATGAGTTTGAATGTCCACTTGGTATCTTTTGCCGCTCTTTTAGTACACTTGATGTGAACTTAAAATATAATTCCAAATTAGGGATTTCACCCATGGTTTGCTTTTCACTGATGAGGTTACAGCTTTGGTTTAAAGTATTTTATCATGAAGTTTGGTTCACATTAATTGTTAAACATAGTATACATCTTCGTTGTGATGTGAATTTAAAATATACACAAAATTAGGGCTTTAACCAAGATTTTGCAGATTCAAATGAACATGGAAATGTGATAGTGGTAACATGGAATCATGTCCGATCAGATGCGTGTTTGTTTCTTTGTCAAGTGATAGCTTATTGCTTTGCATCACAGGGCAAATCTATTAGTTTCAGTCCATACAAACGACATCTTGAAGATATTACTTAGAAAGAGGGGCAAAAGATACCAGAAGGGACATTCAAACTCATAAATCGAAAATAAACTGACAACGCCATGGCTAAAAAAGAAAAAGACAAATAGACAAACAATAGTACACAAAACACAACATAGAAAAACTAAAGACTAAGCAACACGAACCCCACCAAAAACTGGGGGCGATCTCGGGTGCTCTGGAAGGGTAAGCAGATCCTGCTCCACATGTGGCACCCGTCGTGTTGCTCATGTTAGTACAAACCCCATACATAGTCTAATACGGTAGGTCACATTCGTGAAAAGGGAATGGGATTGTAGTAACCACATTAGGAACATATCTGCTATTATCTGTGAAACGGATATTCCATAACGGTCAACCAACTCGTGATGGCGTCCGTAAAATTTCAACTTCACCATTTGGAACTCTTGGTTTAATACCTTCCTTGTGAGCAGCAATCCTCTATCAACGAAATACAAGCCGGGGAATATCGTATCAATTGGGAGATATATACTCCGTATGCAGGCGCTGCGGGGATGTTGCTACATAGAAATTGAAAGTTCACAATTGGGAAACTGAAATCATCTCTTTTGTCGTAAAGTTTTGTTTTCAACCGACAATCATTGTCAAGATATGAGGCAGACTTAACTGTATCTGTTGTATCCTTTATCTCTAGTTCGATGGGATTGATGCGTTCAACATGGTCACCAAGTTTTGAATTGTTTAGTGAGAGAACATCATCTATATAGCGGAAAGTAAAGTTAAAGGATACTGCTAACTTCTTTTCTTTCTTCCTAAGAAGTTCCTGTATGAAGTCAGCCTCATAAGAATAAAGGAACGAGTCGGCAAGAAGAGGGACACAGTTGGTTCCCATGGGAATGCCGATAGTTTGTTAAAAAAACACGTCCTCCAAACGTAACAAATATGTTGTCAATCAAGAAATCAAGCATCTTGATAATGTCAGTTTCAGAGAATTTTTTGTTTCACAGTTAACTCTGATTGGTTGCTTTTTTGAGTGGCTAATATTCTATTGGCTTGATAGTTTCTAAAATTGCGAACCCGTCAGGAAGTGGAGAAGAAATATATACGGTATCAGTATTCGAGACCCGATCAATGAATATGTTGCTATATGATCACATATTGTTGGATAAGTGCTGATATGCAAAATTGATACAATTATTATAACGCACTTCCTTTGCTGTAAACTGTATAATAGGATTAGTTTTATTCACATGTGTATGGTGTTAATATCGTATCATCAGTCATTATACCCCCGCTTTAAAAAAGTGGGGGTATTATGTTTTACCTCTGTCTGTCCATCCGTCCATCCGTCTGTCCGTCCGTCCGTCCCATGAATATTTTTCGTCGCATCTTTCTCAGGAACTACATTACAAGGATTTCTGAAATTTGGTTTCAGGGTTTATATGAGTCAGCTATACCGTGTGATGCGTTTTCAGATTCACCACTCAACAACTTCCTGTTTATCTTATACTTTTAGGGGGCGGGGGTATCATTAGTGAGCAGTAGCTCACAGATTCACTTGTTACATATAGTATAAGACATGATAGCTCTTTTAAGTTATGGGTTTACTTGTTTCTGGCTGATATGTTATTATTTGATTTGTTTTCGGTTAAAAGTAATTTGTTTAACTATCACATTATTCAATTTAGAAAGTATGGGTCAAAAACGCCTTTTTAAAACACAAAACAACCAACACACAAGTACATTATGTTAACATTGTATGTGTAACCCTTGGAACATGGTAAATTTAAAGCATCAATTTATGGGTTACTCTCGCTGTGTACTTTAGGTGATGATGCATGAATTTGAGAGTATTTATTTTCGTGCACCTGGCAGAAATAATTTAATTCCATAGACAAGAGTCAAATATAAAGGTATCACATGTCAGTCTTATCAAGGAGATCTGAATATAACCACTGTCTAAATAATAATGTTTTTGTTTTAGCCTGTGACTTTTGTCGCAGAAAGCTCGACATACTTAAAAGCTTTATATTTCAGAAGGTGGAAGACCTGGATGCTTCATACTTTGTATATAGATGCCTTATGTTATCAAGTTTCCGTCTGTCATATGTTTATTGTCCTTGACCTCATTTTCATGGTTCAGTGACTACTTGAAAAAAGTTAAGATTTTTTGTAATGTGAATTTCTCTCTTACTATGAGTAATAAATAACTTTATTTAGTATGTGAGTACCTTGCAAGGTATTCATGCCTGTCAGACAGTTTTCATTTGACCTCAACCTCATTTCATGGATCAGTGTAAGTTTTCGTCGTCAAGTCCATATATCAGATACTATAGACATTAGGTCTATTATATTTGGTTTATGGAATGATTGTAAGATGTACATGTCCAACTGGTAGGTGACATCTGACCTTGACCTCATTTTCATGGTTCAGTGGTTAAAGTTAAGTTTTTGTATTTTGGTCTTTTTTTCTAATACTGTATGCAATAGGTCAACTATATTTAGTGTATGGAAATATTTTACGATGTACATGTCAGTCTGGCAGGTTTTATTTGACCTTGACCTCATTTTCACTGTTCATTGCTCATTCCTAAACTGTAAGCAATAGGTCATCTATATTTGATGTATAGAATGATTGTAAGGTGTTTTTGTCTGTCTGGCAGGTATCATCTGACCTTGACCTCATTTTCATGGTTCATTTGTCAATGTCAAGTTTTCCTGGTTAAGTTTGTTTATATACTATAAGGCTAATAGGTCAACTATATTTGATGTATAGAATGATTGTAAGGTGTACATGTCTGTCTGGCATGGTTCATCTGACGTTGACCTCATTTTCATGGTTCATTTGTCAATGTCAAGTTTTCCTGGTTAAGTTAGTTTATATACTATAAGGCTAATAGGTGAACTATAGTTAATGCATAGATTGATTGTAAGGTGTACATGTCTGTCTGGCATGGTTCATCTGACCTTGACCTCATTTTCATGGTTCATTTGTCAATGTCAAGTTTTCCTGGTTAAGTTTGTTTATATACTATAAGGCTCACAGGTGAACTATAGTTAATGCATAGATTGATTGTAAGGTGTACATGTCTGTCTGGCATGGTTCATCTTACCTTGACCTCATTTTCTTGGATATTGTTAAGTTTATGTGGTACTTGAAGTAAATCTAAACATTTAGGACTATCAACATAAAATCAATGGTCAGTAAAGCAGGCGAGACATTTCAGCGTGTGCACTCTCGTTATTACTATTTTATGTTAAATTTTCCTTTCACAGTCCCTCAGTCGTGACCCTCAGAACAGAGCCTATTCCCTTTGAGGTTCAATTGTGTATCCTATTGCTAATATTCATAAAACAGAAACCAAATAACAGTATCTAAAAATAAAAAGAATCAATACTTTTGGACAAAGAAAAAACTAATTTTCTCTCAAAAACACAAACAAACAAACAAATATTACTAGCTGACATTAATTTATGATACTGGGAAGCACTTTATATCTTTTTGGAAAGGTTTAATTTGCATATTGCAGTAATAAGATTATTCACCGATCATTAATTAATGGGAAGGGTTGAGGTCTAAGAAAAAACTTTAACCTGCCAGATGTTTATGTGACTCCCAAGTAAGGAACTTCTTAAGTGGCATTCTACTTTTACCCTGGTGTGTTTTGTTATTTTAGGAATTTGGTTTTCATCGCAGATTGTTTGATAACCGTATTATCTGTTTATGCTATGAACAGTTGGTAGCTGCCTGGATATATTATAGACACTCGTCTATTTTTGCAGAAATGGATCTCTAGATGCCTTTTATTCGTGTCTCATTGACGTAAACATATATCTTCATTCTTTCCAATCAAAACCGGAACAGAATCGTTTCTGTAAGAATAAGCAAATCCTGATGTAGTTGTCACTCACGCATTCAAGCTGATGATTTGCTATCTTATGACGATTGAACTAATGTGAAACTCGTAAAGAAAAGTATCCCATTTGTTCATTTGTTACACAAGATTAAAATTGACCAGTTTGTGATGGCAACCATGAAACATAGTGAGAGGTTTTGCTAGCTATAAAACCAGGTTTAATACACCATTTTCTACACAAGGAAATGCCTTAACCAAGTCAGGAATATGACAGTTGTTTTCCATTCGTTTGATGTGTTTGAGCTTTTGATTTTGCCATTTGATAAGGGACTTTCCGTTTTGAATTTTCCTTGGAGTTCGGTATATTTGTTATTTTTTTTTTTTGTGGTTGTAATATCTCATTTCGAATGCAAATAACTCTGACTAAATAGAGTTTATGTGATTAATGTGACAGTGAACATGTTTGTCTATAGGTGTAGTCAGCAGTTGACAGTATCGAAAATTTGAAAAATTGAAAGTTTTATCCATACATGCTGGTTCTATGTTATCACTCCGGATTTTAAGATTGTGCAGACTTTTGAATTGAAAAGACATATCAAACAAATGATGTGTTTTATGACTTGCAGAAAGTATAATTATAATCTTTTACTGCCAACGTTTGACAAATTCTGAACTGCATGAATCAAAGGTACTTTGTTAACATCATTGGTGACAAACTTTTAGAGTCTGCAAAAACTACATTAGGTATAAATATAAATCATAACCTTAAGAGAAATAATAGAAATAAAAAGGCCAATAATAGTGGTTTAATGCAGATTGAATAAGTTCGAGAAAACACTATCGAAAGCAAAAAAGAAATTGCAAGTCAAATAAAACTAATGAAAACCTTCATGAGATGAAAACATCCGAAAAAATTATTATAAAAGAATTGAACAAAGCAATAAAAGTACACACAAAGAGAATGCATCGAGAAGTAGAAAAACTAAAATCCGAAAATCCAATCAAAGGAGTACTGGAAATTGTTTAAACGTGGAAAAGATAACAAACAGCCTGAAAATCCAATATTTAAACTTTTTGATTTTTTCAAACATTTAAACTTCGCTCCTGAGAACGAAAATGAAGGTCAGATGAACTTCCCATTGATCAGACGAATTTGGCCAACATAAATGAAAATCTGAATAGGAAATAGAAAAGGACGAAATTATAGTTTGCATTACAAAACTCAAAAATAACAAGGCTTTTGGCGGCTATTTAATTATTAATGAGTACACAAAAGCTACTTCAAATATATTCATCAGCGACGTAGCTTTCAGTGAGGCAATGAGGCAACTGCCTCACCAATTTTGTTGACCAATAAAAAATAGAGTAGGATAAAGAGAAAAAAATGTACAAAGTGAGGTGTATTCAAGTGTATAGAGTGAAGATGTTCCAAACATTTCTTTAACATTTTGAACACGTATTTCTCATTATTAGCTTAAAAGCTGTTCCGCTATATAGATTATATCCTCTCACTAAATAATTCAAAGTTTGATGACCTTGTTGAACGAATCTATTCCATCGAACTTGAAATTAAGGATGCAACAGATAATTCAAGTCTGTCACATATCTTGACTTACATCTTTAAAAAAATTGACTATGAGGGTTGGTTCAGAACAAAATTTTACAATAAAAGGGATAATTTCAGCTTTCCAATTGTGAACTTTCCAATTCTATGCAGCTACATTCTAGCAGCGCTTGCATATGAGTTATATATCTCCCAAAGCTTACGTTTCCTATCATAATTTCATTGAAAGAGGGTTGCTGCCTCCGAGGAATCTTTTAAAGCAAGAGTTCCAAGTGGTGAAGTTGATATCATTCCTTCGAAAACTTTACAAACGCCATCACAAGTAAGTTGAAAGGGTTCACAGATGACAACAGATATGATCCAATTGTCGTAACCCCACAATCGCATCATCTTTTCCTCGAATGTGACCTACCGAATTAGACTTATCACCGGGTTTGTACTTACATGAGCAACACAATGGGTGCCACATGATGAGAAGGATCTGCTCACCCTTCTGGTTTTGGTGGGGTTCGTGTTGCTCAGTCTGTAGTTTTCTATGTTATGTTTTGTATATTGTTATTTGTCTTTTGATTGTTTTTCGTTTTTATACGCCCGTTTACGGGACGTATTATGGTATACCGTTGTCCGTCCGTCCGTTGTCAACATGTCGGACAATAACTCAAAAACGCTTTAACCAATCTGCATGAAACTTTGGTGATTTGTTTATATTTATTGACGTGAGCTCCCTTTCGTTTTTTATAAATTTTAGATTTTAAGTTTCCGAGTTGTGGGATTTTATTCATTAAAAAAAGGGGATTTTCCAGTTTTCGGACAATAAATCAAAAACACTTTCACCAATTTGCAAGAAACTTTGGTGAATTGTTTATATCTATTGACATGAGCTCCCTTTCGATTTTAATACATTTTAGATTTTACGTTTTCCTTTTTGATCTTGATAATTTTATAAAACGCTGTAACGTTAACGGCCTAACCTCAATAAGCGCAGAATTTAATGAAAGATTAGAAATCTATATTCAATTATTTGCTGTTTTATACGATACTGTAATTATAACTGAAACCCCCTCTGACTTGCAATATTAGTTATATATATTCTCAAGTTATTGCGAGAAATAGAAACTAAAGGTTAATGTAGACAAAACAAAAATAGTAATATTTTCTAGAGGAGGAATTCCAAGTGAAATAGAATTTCGATATAGTGGAAACATAATAGTAAACGATTTAAACTATCAGGGAGTTTTACTAAACCGCAATGGAAACTTTAAAAAAGGAAAGGAAGAAGCCTCTCGCAAAGGCCTAAAAGTCATGTATGAGGTTTTAAAGCTAGTAAGATAACACAATTTGTCTACTAAAATACAGTTAGACCTATTTGATAAAATGGTCGTGCCCGCTCTTTTGCATGGTTGCGAAATATGGTCAACAGGTAATAACGATATCATTGAAATGGTTCACTTAAAGTTTTGTAAGATGCTTATACACCGTTTTTATGGTATATGGAGAAATTGAAGGTTTCCTCTCGAAATACAAATAAAAACAAAAATTGTATCATTTTGGACAAAATTAATTGAGGGTAAAAGTTCGAAAATGTCCTCTTCTACATACAAACTGATTTATCAATTGAACATTGTCAATACTGTAGGGTCTTCATGGTTATTGAGTATTACGAGTATACTCAATAATTGAGGATTGGGATATGTATGGAACACACAAACTTTTATTAACACTGGATGGTTGTTCAAAGTATGAAAGATCAATATGTACAAATTTGGCAAAGTGAAATGGGAAACTCGTCACAATCACTTTGTTACCGTCTATTCAAACAAAAATTTGAATTTGAGAGTTATCTTAATATTTTAGAAACTAACGAAATAATTCAACTCTGCAGGTTTAGGACACCAAATCACAAGCTACCCATTGAACAGGGAAGATGGCAAACTATCCAACGTGAAAATAGAATTTGCGATCCTGGCTGACACCTGTCTCATATATGTTGATTTGTTACTAATATTGTGTTCTCTGTACCATTCCACTGTATATGGTTTGTTAAGAAATAAAGATATATAACATGTTGTTTGCCCTTAAATTAAGAAGAGAGAGATCGAACAGCTACTTGTTTTTTTTAGATATTCACTCAAAGGTGTGAGTATTAATTGGAATCACCTCCACTAAATGCCAACATTAATTGACCACACTTATTATCTCTTTCATAACATAATTAAACAGATACTTTATGATACAGCTCAATACATAACTTAATACACAATTTGTCAATTTAAATAGTAAATTTTGGATAGTTTACGAAACCAAGCAAAAATGGAGACATATACATGTATTAAATCCATATGTTATTCATCTCTTAAAACGTTCACCCTTTTTAAAGACAACGGTGATAAATATTACATTGATGGATAGTCGGAACTAAACTGATTGAAGTTTAATTTGAAAGACAATAAAAAATATTCATTTTGCAAAAAGTTGGTTTTGAATTTCATTCTTTTAATTTTTTGTATATAATATTGTCATATATATAACCATGTGTAATTAAAATATCTTTTATTTGATAATATTAATAAGTAGATATACAATTTTATTTGTAAAAATAATCTGCTCTGAAATAAATACATTTGCTCCTATCTTTCGTAGGATTTATCAATCTTGAGCATGAGAATGACCAGTCAATGTAATGTGTACAATAGGAAAAGATTATTATACATTAATCACATTGTCCAAATCTGTGTTGTTTGATTCTGCAAACTGACAAAGACACTTTGCTTGTGACGCGTGTCTGATAGAATCGATAGGCAGGTCTAGTCTTTCATTCATATATTCCATTAAATATGCCGAGCTTAAATCCAACAAATGTTCAGTTATATTTTCCTATAAAATATTAAAAAAAACATACATGAGTATGTGCTATTTCATCCATGCAACATCAAATTACAACAACGCGTATTCGTTAAAAGAACAATTGCACATTAGTTGTCTCCTGAACGGAACTTCATACTTCGGGTTTTATCAGCTCTTCAACGTTTGTATGATGTTTTGGATTTTCAAATACATTTGCCTCGAGCATCACTGAAGAGACAATACTTGTCGAAATGTGCACCTGGTTATTATTAAAACTAGGTCGACACCTCTGCTGGTGGATTGTTAGTCCCGAAAGTAACTACCAGCCCAGTAGCCAGTACTTCGGCACTTGTATGATAATTGGAAAATGTACTTATTACTTTAAATTATTGAAACATTTCGTTATACAATTTTGGAATTCACTTTAAATTAAGTGTCCTCATGCAGAACTCAGATTTGTATACAATGCATATTGAATTAAAAAAAATTCTTGGTCCGTATGTTTTTGTTTTGATTAAAGTTTTTAAAACAATTTTCTTCCGAGAAAAAAACAAGCCCCAAAATGGTCGATGTCTAACTAATGAAAGCAACTACAACTGAATTTTAGGCTAAAGACTAAGAATATAGTTGTATTGCTTCAAATATTGTATATGGAATGCTCGCAGACATAAGAGTAATACTTGTGTATTGCATGACAGGAAATTTACATAGTTTGTCTGGCTTTAATGTAAGTCTATAGGATTACCTGAAGATCATCATTCATTGATCTTTCTGTTGTATCATCCAATAAGTGTACATCGTCCCCATCATTCATGATAAATTCCATCTCACCGCCATTCTGACGCTGTCGAATCCTTCTGTTGTGTATTTCTAAAGCTATATGATTCTGTAAGGTAACAGCAAATAGGGAGTTTCCAGGGGTCAATGTTATCACAATGATAAGAAGTTTTCAAATGTAGGGAGTTTCCAATGATCAATGCAATTATATATATGTATTATAGGGTGTTATCAAGGATAAAACGTATCACACCTATAAATAGAAGCTTAATAGCGCCAATATTGTACATTTCCCTCTTAATAGTTTAAATGCATATATATTATATAACGCGAACGATCATCACACAATTGAGGCAAATTAAAAGGAAGTTATATAGTTCATGCTTTGTCCCTTTTAAATTACGATTTGTTTGTTTATTCCATTTATTATGCAGTTAATCTGTATTATTATCTCTATTTATACTCTATTTGATGTTGACATCTTTTCCTCGAATGTGGCATTATCAAATAAGACTTAGCATTGACTTTGTACTTACACGAGCAACGCAACGGGGTTTTCTATGTTGTGTTGTGTGGACTGTTGTTTGTCTCTTCTTCGTATTTTCGTTTGTTTTTTTTTGGACATGGCGTTTGTCATTTTGTCTTTGGAATATGTGTTTAATAGTCCCTTTAATATCTTCCGTCTCTCTTTTAGTCTTGTTTCTATTATATATCATGATATTGTTTGTCTAATTGTGGCTTTATTGGTATATTTATTCGACCGTTATAGTCTATAGTTTGTAGATATTTCTGTCTCTTCCATGAATATGAGTGTTCGATGGACTGATGCGGCGTTATCAACATAGAGCAGAGAAGTCTGCTTTAATTCCGCGATTTTGTTTGATTGAAATTTGCTGTTATAAAATTTGGTGAATCGTTTTAAATTAAGGATTATATCTCTCTAATGCAAAACTCGGATTCCATGTCAGGATTTGGCTATACCATAGGTCTTTTTTTTTATCAGCTCTGCAACGTTATAAATAAAGGCAACAGTAGTATACCGTTGTTCAATAGTCATAATTCGATTAAGCGGAAACAATCCGGGTAACAAACTAAAACGGAGGGAAACACATCAACTATAAGAGGAAAACAACGGAACAACAGAAACACTGAACTACAACAAACCAAACGCCAATATACATAGAAACGGACTTTCTGATAACAACTGCCATATTCCTGACTTGGTACAGGACATTTTAAGAAAAAACGGTGGGTTGAACCTGGTTTTATGGCTAGCCAAACCTCCCGCTTATATGGCAATGTTAATAATACAGCTAAAATGACAAAACTACGTGACAGGAGTAGAGTAAAAACAAACGCAAGAACACTCATCACAGAGAAATACATACATAAATAATATAATAGTACATTACAACATGTAAACCGCAGAATAACAACAGACACCTCCCATGAATTTACGACAGCACAAAACCACAAACTAAATATATACTGCACTTCACATGAATGGATCAACGTCACAAAGAGTGACATATTTAATGTATTATAAGCAGGCTTTGGATTTTCAAATATTTAGGCTTTGAGCATCACTGAAGAGACATTTATTGTCGAATTGAAAATCTGATGCAGTAAAATTACCACCGTTAATGCTATTTAACCGATACGAATAAACGTGCTGTAAGGTGTAAGCGTTGAGACTGTTTTGAAATCTTATTTATGAATTTGCAACGAAGAACAGCAATGACACGCTATTCCTTGAATTATAGTTTTGTCGGAAACACGGAAAATCGGGTTAGCAATACTAGTTCTATAAAACCAAAGGTTATAAGATAAAACACAATTACAACCCTCCCCCGCAACCGAACAACAAAAAACAAACCAAACTGGCTGTCGAGCACCAGTGCTAGGTTTATGGCAGAAAGACCTTATGTGGTATCTTAGAATGAATGTGTTGCAAGACGCCTTTAACTTTCTATGACAAAATATATCATTTTTTTTAAAACAATTACCCTCGTGTGTGTTTTAAAAGTTACATTATGAGGACATTCTTCCCAAGTAGAATTTTAAACTTTAATATATATATAGAAAATAACAATTAAAGTAGTTGCAATGGGCCTTCTTGGACTTGTGATCAGGTATGCGCTTTTGTTCGTTGTGAAAGGTCTAATTCTACTTTTAAAACGAAAACGCAAAGAAACATTTTATAGGGTGCATCTTAAATTTTAATGCATTAATACCCCATATCATTTTTCCTATTTAAATCTAAGCGTTTAAAGGCAAAAGAAAATGCACGGATTTCATAGCGTTTAAAATCACTAAAATTCATCTTTGAAATAATATTACGTAAAATAAGTATTTGGTTGTTTGAAACAAACCAAAGGCAAATCAAAGTGGTAGATAAACAATAATTAATAGAGGGGGAGAATTTATGGATAACATTGCAAAAGCTTTTCTAACTCTTGTAAGAGCGGTGAGAAATTTTATTTGGTATAAAAAGAGGGAGAAATACCAATGGGCAATAAAAAGCATACGTTCAATACAAACAAACAACAGCACGGCAAAAAAAGACAAAAAGACGGAAAGGCAAACAATTAACAGTAAAAAAATTCTACAAGAAAAGCTAAAATTGAGTAACACGAATTCCATAAACAACTGGGATGAACTAAGGTTATGTTTCACTAGTTGCAAACAAATCGGTAGTTAGTCACATTCGGTTATTTCACATTACAGAAAAAAAGAAGGCAATTGTGACCCCGACAGATGGATCATATGAGAAGTAATGTGTGACTCAGATAGTTTATCAATGTTAACAGAATCAAAATGAAGTCGGGAAAACTTTCAGAAGTAATGACTTCAACTTGATCATTTCGAACCTTTTCAATTCTTATTTAAACATAAAAAGGGATGTATGAAAAATACAGCTTGTTTTGGGATTTTGTTTGAGGCCTTTTGTTAATAGTTTCGTTGGATTGCTGACATAAACTCCAAATTGCTGTATCGTAACAGATACATACATGTATCTATATGTTTTTTTTGTATTCTATGGGTTTGGGATCATGTTGCTCATTTGTAGTTCATACAGAATTCTTTCGGTTAGAACAATCTTATATACCTATATGGAGTTATTTTCTTTCAAAACGATAGGTCTTTCTTTTGAAGAATCAACCCGGACGATACCAAGTTTCATTGAAATATGCTTCAAGGCATAAAATAATGACCTGCGTTAGGTCATTATTTTCCTCGATTAATATGCAAGCTATAATTCATTTAAACATTTAATTAATTTGATAGTTATCGGGTGTTGCCAATTGGGGGTTTTATTTTTTTATTTTCCATCTTTGATAAAATTAAGGCAGAAACAATCCTTTCCTCCGTTTATTAGTCTGAAAAACCAAAAACGTCGTTGACGCATATTTTGACTTTTGTATCGTCCGGGTTAAAATTGGGTGGGGGTATAATATTCAATCCTGATTCTCAGTTTAAAAAAAATTGTATTGTCAGACAAAAGATTGATTGATTGTTGGTTGCTTTACGTCCAGTGGCAAATATTTCTTGCATGTTCAGGACGAGCCAGCCAAACGGGAGAAAACAATTATTCTGAATAGTTCGTTAAAATTTGTTGATGTTATCTGCTTTTCCGAAATGAAAATGTCATGGAAAAAAAACCTAGCGTCCCAATTTCATACAGTAAGTTGATACAATAAATTACTTACAAAGTGACTTGTATTTTTGATACTTCGTAATAATTCATTTGTGTATTGCCTCATGCAGTTAGTAATATTTTATTGTAATTTGATAATGATGTCCAAAGTTTTATCAAGATTAATTAATGAGTTTTATTTCACATTATAAATGAGCCGTAGGGCGTATCTAAACCTGAACGCACAAGAAAAGAATATCCCACTTTAGTGTGATCGGTAAAATAGGATGCAAATCCTACAAATCTTTGCAGAAAATAATATTTTTTGACGGTATGTAAGTCAGATAATGCATATTTTAAGGTTTATCTTGTCGTATAACAGACCTCTGGGCGTCATGATTGTCCAAAGAAAGACCTCCCTTATACGGTCGGTCTTTCGTTTGATCAATCCTGACACCCATCGGTGTGTTATACGACAAGAAAAACCTTAAAATATGCATTATCTATAACAAAATTGACACCATCATGATCGTGATTGATTTAACAATATATTTACACCAAGGTTTACTGCACATGCCGAGTAAAAACAGTATAAATCGATTTTCAAGATTTTAACATCGGTAAACTTCAACTGTCGCCTTAATTTAAGGTGTATGACATCACCATCCAACTTTGTTAAAAAACACTTACCACACACTGAGTCATATCGTAAAATAGAAAATATATCTAAGTGTGATAAGGAAGATAATAATTATTTGCTCAACAATACATATGAAAAACAATATTAGTTATTTTGATGTAATAAGAGGTGTACGGAGTTTTTAAAATCGGTGTCAAATTCCGTACATCCCTTCTAAAACCAATATGCGCCTCGAGTGTATGATTTTTCAACACCAATGTTTAAGTCTGCTCGTCGCTGATTATTCCAAAATAAGAAATTATTGGTTATGAAGTTCCCTTTAATCATTTCAAACCTTTTGGCCGACATCTTAGAAGACGTAAATGAATAAAGCAAAAACAGCGCATTGAAAAATTGAAATGACTTTTTTTATTTAGGTTTTTCAATATTTATTTTAAAAATGAATATATATTACATATTTATAATCATGAACATTTATGTCAATATTACTTTCCCTGGGTATACACAGTTAATTTGGGGTTATGTGCTACTTACACCATGACAAATAACCAATCTGATTGGAAGATCATGAAATGCAGATCCTGTGTTCACGCTCTGCTTACAAATTGCTTCATAAGAAATATTTTTGATTATAACTGATGTCTGTTTGCCTAACGTCCAGTGGCACAGATTTAATGTAGGTAAGATTGTTTTGTGAATAAATCTCGGTTGATAGCCGCTTTAGTCTACCTGAATATATCACACATAACTATTACATTATGGACAATGAATATGACTAAAACGACAAATATTTTTGTGATATTAATTAATTACCAAGTTGGGTGATTTCAGATTATTATGCTTATGTTTCATAAACAGATGTTAACGTTTCATTAATAATAAATAGATAACACGATAATACATATCATAATACAAAACTCATTACAGATACAAGACCATAGTTTAGTGTGCCCAACGCACGCTCCGTCTTTATAAAACTCACCAGTGGCCCTCAAATCAAAACAATTCAAAGACCAAATTCCGATATGAAATCATTGAAAAGTAAAAATTCCCAAATTGTTTGCCAAATCTGACTAAGGCCATCTATACCTGGGAGAAGATCATAAAGACAACAAATTCTGTTTTTATATAATCACTTTGAATATAAAATCAAATAAATGGTGCATAAAGTGATAACTCCGCAAGAGTTGAAGCAAGTTAATTAAGTAGCGGCTAAGTCTATTTATCTTGGAAAATCAATTGACACGAACTAATTGAGTAATGAGGCTGTAACGATACAAAACCTATTTAAAAGTCAAACATCTTGATCATTTTTTTATTAATAAAATCAAAACGGTTATGTTTCTTGAAGACCTATAGATCGGACACTTTATTTTTAAGCCTCAATTATATAGATAAAAAAAAATCAATATCTAATTATTAACATGGTACATCCAAACATCAAACAGGTACTGAAAACAGGAACTGACTCTTTGCGCTACATGAAGTTCATAAAAAGAGGGAGTAGATACCCAGGGAGCAAAAAAGAAACATATATCGAAAAAAAAACAGCCTGCAACACGGCTAGAAACAAATCAACGAAAAGACAAGAGTTCATAAAACACGATACAAAAAAACTACTGATTACAAATGAACAATAGTACGGCTAAGATTTAGTGATTTGATGATGACATATTTTTTATGCAAAACGTATGTTGCATAGATTATGCAGTAGTTAATGAAAGTTGAATCTGTTGATTAGAAAACTTGACATTTTAATGCAAACTTACCTGTAACAGTCCATAAAACACAGAAAATTATAGATTGAGTAACACGAATCCCATCGAATGTGCTCCGGATAGGTAAACAGTTCATAAGTTACCCTACATCAGGGACAGTCTATACGTCCCTGCCTACATCATTGACCACTTTTCATTTCCTATTCTTATTTCAAAAAGTAAATGGCCTTAACTGCGATTTATTAATGACGCATGTTAATACGTTATTATAACATTCGACAGGTGAAATATCTTCCTTCTTGATAGTTATAGCCATCTAGTTATCTTTCTTATGCAATACTTATGTTTAATTTTCTAAAGTAATTTTGTTATTATAGTATAAGAGAAGAATTCGATATTTTAAAAAAGGATACGGTAAAGTTGGCAAGAAATCTTTGTCTTCTATAGGCAACTAAAACTTTGGAGGGCAGAAGTCTTTTGTTCATCTCACGAAGATCACGATGAGTCTGACGTTTTCCCTGTTGATAGACAAATGTAATACATTTCTTCATGATTATCATAACATATAATAGTCCAAATAGCCAAATAGCCAAATAAGAAGTATGTGTTATACACTTTTAGAGAATATTCGCGAAAGACAAAAAAGAAATAGGAGAAATAGAAAAGAAAGGAAGAAAGGGAAATTTATGCATCACACCAATTGTCACGTTTGATTGGGAAAATTTTATGATATCGTATCGCATGCTTCTATAAACCTTCCTAAACCTACTTGTATCACTTTTTATTGACCAATAACATCAAATTTACGAAGTAGTGGTAAAACAAAACATTTTCTAAATTTTTGTGAAACTTTAAAAAAAATAATCTCTTCGATATTTCTTTTACGTGTCATTATATAGCAAATTAAACATATAAACGCTATTTATAATCAAGCAGCTATTTATTTAAGCCAATTAACTTATAATGCAGCCTTTCTGGGCAAAAATACAACCAATTTTATTTGCTAATTGAAAATTAAGATGAATAAAATCATTTAAGACAGCAGAGAAGATAATTCTGTATTAATTGTTTATTATTAAAACTTAAATAAAGAGTGAGCTATTTATACTGTAAATTTATGATGTCTCTAGTCTGGTCAAAGGGTCAGAGTTGTCCTACTTAATTAAACGATACATTGTTGAAATTAGATAACATGTATTCCCGTGCAGAGAAATTTCACTTATGACCAGTGCATGATTGGATTACATCTTTCTTATTAGTCAATGATCTTGCGGGGTCAGCACGAGTTCACGTGTAAGTGCGTTGTGGTCACTTCCTTTTATCATTAGCCTTTGACGTGTCAACTTGTAATTCTTATCAAACAATTTGTGGAAAATTATTTGTGAAAAATTTAAATTTTATGGATAATTTTGGACTGGAGAGATTTCCTTTCTGCAATTTGAGGTAAAATCGAACTATACTTTTATGTTTTAGCTATTTTATGCTTACATTCTGAACACACGTACAGTTACTCTTTGACCATGCTTCCATTCGGATAGATTACACAATTTTGTTTTATGTATAACACTTAGCAGTTGGTCAAATTTATCTCTTTGTGAAAGAGATATTGCGGTAAAATCAATTTTGGTGTTGGTGGTGACACTGTGCGTTTGCGATCAAAATGTATTTATTTACCATACTTATGGAAAATGATAGCTGATGATAAACCCGATGTTGAATTTTTACAAGTTACTGAATCCTTAATAGCATATGACGTTGTACATTTAAATGCAATAGGAATCCAAATTTGCAGATCGTATAAAATCCGCCTTATGTATCTGTATGAGACATGTTTCATTTTAATACAAATACAAAATTTTATTGGCATACGCTCATTAACAATAAATGGTTAAGACCTATTTCATATATTATATACATGATAGAATGAAAAGTTACATACTTATATATGATATTATTAACGATTCCATTCAATTAAACACTCTTATGTGAAAGAGGCAGACAGTTTAAGTTTTAAGGCTAAGCTATTGTTTATTGTGTTACAAACCAATTTGCCTTACTTGTTGTGGGTAAGGTGGACGATATTTCAATTGGTGCAGAGGGCGTGGTTGCTTGTACTTATGACCTCTGTGTATTTCCTTTTGCAAATATGATTTTGTGAAGTGTTCATTGTTTTATGCTATGTCACGAAACTCATGCTACTTTCGTAAATCTCGTCACGGTGCTTGGTTTGAAGCAAATAATTTTGTAAGTTAGCCTATTCGCTATAATTGTCAGTATTTTAATGTACATGTATGCACGTGTACCTTGTTTGCTTTATGTTAACGGTATAAAAAGGATATGTCTCTTACCTGTACCGCAACCCAATGCTTATTTATTACAAACCGATTTGTCTGTCTTTGCCTGTTTGGGTAATGTGAACGATATTTTAATTGTTCCAGGGAGCGTAATTGCTTGTACTTATGTCATCTGTGTATTTGTTTTTGCAGAGGTTGTGGTAGCTTGGACTTATGACATTTGTGTATTTACTTTTGCAAATATGTTATTATGTAGTGAGTATTGTTTTATGCTTCGTCATGAAACTCCTGCTACTTTTTTGCAGAGGTCGTGGTAGCTTGGACTTATGACCTCTGTGTATTTGCTTTTGTAAATATGTTATTATGTAGTGGGCACTGTTTTATGCTTCGTCATGAAATTCATGCTATTTGTTTTGCAGAGGTCGTAGTAGCTTGGACTTATGACCTCTGTGTATTTGCTTTTGCAAATATGTTATCATGTAGTGGTATTGTTTTATGCTTCGTTATGAAACTCATGCTACTTTGTTATTTCGTCATGGTGATTGGTTTGGAATAAATATTTTGTAATTAATCCTTTCGCTTCATATATAGTTGCCAGTATTTTAAAACATGTAGCATGTGTAGCTAGTTTCACATGTTTGTCAGTATTTTAATACATGTTTCTAATGTATTTACTAGTTAAATTATGTTTACTATAGTATAATTCATATAGTTTGGTTGCGATGAACTTAATTTATACTTTTTATACCAATGCTAAAGCATTGCGAGGTCGTTTGCTTTTACTTTATACTAGATTTATTATTAAAAATAACAATGTACAAGACATACGTTATCAATACACTGATAATATTTTAAAGTTCATACTCTCCATTTAATACATGATATATATGTTCAATGGTTGATTGATTGAAGAAAAAAAATGATAATCAAATTATCGCATATTATTCCTTAACATGTGTTATATTTGTTGTTCTAGAGTTAGATCGAGTTTGTTTTTAATGACAATTTAATTTTTCATTATTTTACATTCTAATTTTGTTTATTTCATGTTTTAACTATGGACGAAGAGCGCTGAGTCTGGTATTCATCTACGTAAGAACTTTCGCCCATTGAAGGAAATATGCAATAAAGCGTGATATCAACTTACATATACTTTTATATATCAGTGGTATGTTATAGTTCCGATAATACAAACATACGAATGTTGATGGGTTGCTGTTTCACTGAAATTTATGACACATACTTAATTCGAGATTAGAATTTTGATCCAGACGTGCGAGTCGTATCAACAAGAATCCTCGACTGGCCAAAGCCTACTTTGACTGTTTTATAAATACTAATTTACAAAAGACGTCTTCGATCAGCATTTGGATACACAACTGGACCCTAGTTCCAATGAAATTCTAAGGCACCATTTGCACGCTCTTATTCCACCATTCCTTTGAAGTTGACTCTGTCGTTAATTGTTTTGGACTCTCGGTACTATACAGCACCTAGTTTTAGAAAAAAGACTTCTGCTGCAGCTCATGGATGGAATTCTCGTATCCGTAATTCAAGCATTGAAGTCAAATGCGTTTATGGAATTTTACAGGATATAAAGGATTAAGTTAGTAACAGAATTTTATGCTTCAGCTGTTTCGGGCCAGTATTGCCTGACAAATCAATTATGATCTTTTTTTTCATACAATTACAACTATTATGTTTTGGGTCAGCATTGCCTGCCAAAACGTTCATGATCTTTATTTCATACAATAACAACTATATATCTTGTTTTGGGTCAGCATTGCCTGCCAAAACGTTTATATGATCTTAAGTAATAAAATGCTATGCTCCTGTTTTTGGTCAGCAATGCCTGCCAATGTATGATCTTTATTTCAAACAATTATAACTTTTTTGTTTTGGGTCAGCATTGCCTGCCAAAACGTTTATATGAGTCTTTAGTAATGAAATGCTATGCTTCTGTTTTGGGTCTGTATTGCCTGCCAAAACGTCTATGATCTTTATTTCATACAATTACAACTAGCTTGTTTTGGGTCAGCATTGCCTGCCAAAACGTTTATGATCTTTATTTTAATCGGATCAGGTCGTTATTGCCTGCCCTCCTGATGTCTTTACACATTATTAAGACTGTCAATGTGGAAATGAGATAGGCTACTATTTAATTGCTTTTGTTTAATTTTATGGCTCAGTTTAACTTCCTGTATGTATACATGAATTGTTATGTTTTTCAGCGTTGCCTATTAAATTTAAATTTGCAATTATTCAAATTATATATATATATATATATATATATATATGAAACGACGTGATGGTTTGTTCCAATTTTGTACTAAATGCTATGGTCTTTAGATGTCAATCTATCAAAAACCAAAGTTATTATATTAACCTAAACTGGTTATTATTTAAATGAATATTTCTCTTTCGAGAAACATACTAGAGTATATGTCAATAGCTTAAAATATTTACTAGGTTAAAAATTTACATCTCAAGGATTTTTAACGCACCAGGTAAAGAAAAATTATACAAGAAATCACTAAAAGCTATATTTGGATTTCAAAGATATTTTTCATTTTTCAACTTAATTACGACCATACAATATAAACCTTTTTTAAATGTATGGCATTGAAATTTCAGGTATGTTCAGAACAAGCTCTGTAGCATGCCGGGAAGAAAATAAATATGAATAGTTATTTCAATAATTTATAGGAAATCATTATGATATTTGTTATAATTCGTTTAAATCATAATTTTTTTTAAATTTTTTTATAGAAAAATCAAATTTACGATATATACATGAAGTGTATTTTAAGTGTAAATTAAAAGTCCGCAGCTTAGCTGTGCTAAGTAAGTTTGGTAGATTCCCGTTATTTTTTATAATGGTATTATTAATATGAAATATTACTTAGCATGCTTAGCTTAACTTTTTTTATCAAGTCACGAGTTAAGCAAAATATTTTTTTAAAGTCTCATATCAATTGGGAACACAACAAAAAATTAACTGAGAGTAAAAAAGTTCTAAATTAGATACTTATTTACTTATTTCAATTTAAAAACTTGTTTTCCTTAAGAAATGTATTTATCTTTATACAATTTCGATTGAAAAATGCCAAATGTAGAATAGAAAATGTCCGATATAAAACTTCATATTTAGAAAGAAGTCAGGGCTTTGTAAAAATGTACTTTTATTTTATTTGAAGATGAAAGATGAACAACATTTTATTATTAGTTGTCCAGTATTCAATGATTATGGAGAAATATTTCAGTTCTATCAAATGAGACAAACAGTTTTTAGTTAATTACTGTACTAATACTAATTGTCTGTACTTTAATATTTAGGGAATAATGTTATTAGATGTCTAGATGTAAGACGAAATATGAATACATCCACTTAATAACGATGATTATTGTAACTTTATTGATGTGGTCCTGTCCGGAATAAGATTAACATCTTTAATCATGTTTATCAGCAAGAGATAATTTGAAGTAATATATGTAGGTTTATGATTATATGAACTTTTAATATTTCACCTCAATGTGGAAACGTTTTACAAAAATATAGTGTTATTTCTTGGTGTCTGTGAATGTCATGCTTCCAAATTCTAACAAGTAATATATAAATTGTATTCATGCCGCCAGAGCCCTCGGGTGGGGGATCCACTCTTTCAAACTCAGAGTGGATTTGTGGCAGATTTTTCTCCCCACCTTTGCTATTCTTTGTCATTTATTCAATTGATATGATTTTAGTTGATGTAATTTCGTATCAATTATGTATTATAATTTCATATTAAATATGAACTTTTGGGTCAAATGTTTTATTTGCAAAATGTATTTTTTGCATTTTATGATTTTGAATAAATGACCTTTTTTCGTCAATTTAGTTTTTATATCATATAGCAGAACAAGCTCAGACCCTGGCCTGTGTATACGTAGTATGTTTATGGTATATGTCTGTCTGTCTTAAATTCCTTTATGCGAATCATTTCATCAACGTCAAAGTCAGTTCAAATCTTAGGCTGAACTGTTTATATGTTCCGGATCATATTAGTATTTGGACCATACGCGTATGGTCATGCCCATATGGGAATACACTCATATGGTCCGACCATACGCGTATAGTCCGGGTATTTAATACGATGAACGTTGCATTATGTATGACCATTCAAGTTGTTGTAAACAGTTTCTAAAATGAAATTGTGACTTATTTAATCAAATGGTAATCATTGTATGCATACTATTTTACAATTACAGTAGTTTATAACCTAATGTGATCGTAAGATCGTATAAATAGGAGCAAGAACACACCAATTAAGTGAAAATAAGTAGAAATTAGAAGAATTAAAAAATAAAAATAATCTAAAGGTCGTTGAAAGGAGATTTAGATTTACTCAGTCTAGTGAAGGCAAGATAACAGATACACCAAGATTCAACCAACAGGATTTCAGTAACTTGTGTCGATTTTGATTTGCAGAACAAGTTGTGTGTTCCCTACGAAGGGAGTTATAATTTGTTCGAAAAATACCTATATGGTCTAAATACTCATATGGTCCGGCCCATTAATAACCAAACGAGTATATACTATGAGAATACGCATCTGGTCCAAATACTATATATATCTATATATCTTGGACAAAATTTTTTTTCATTTTCTTTACCTTATATTCAGAATAACAACACACAATCGACCACATTATAGTAAACAGTCCAATGGATTGAACGACTCCTGCCACAATATATAAATAAAGTGGATGTTCCGCCGTGGTGTCAAGCTCTTTTCCCTTTGCGTGTTCTTCATCAAGCTTCTCAGCTAATATCAAATAATGAACAGATAAGATGACAAATGTCATTCCGAAACCATTCATTGTCACAAAAAGCGCAGCCCAGAAGAATGTTGTTGGCCACCACAGATTCCGACAGTGCCGACCTTTTACTAGAAGACTGGATGACAATTTTTGTATTATGTCATGGTAAAGCTGTTGGTTAATCTGCAGAAAGAAAATAACATTTCAGAGATAAAATAAAATATCTTTACCTTTAAGAAATAAAAATAAACCAAATCTTATCAACGCTATGTTATTTGTATAATTTATATAAAACATTGTACAATATTAGACTGAAAATTATTTTTTTAAGCTATTTTGGACATCTTTAAGGTGTTGTTTTAATAACAGTTTGTAACCATCTACCCTAATCTAAACATTTGAAGAATATAAGTTATTTCTCTCAGATAATTTCAAACTGAACTAAAACTATAAAATGAAAATAAAACTTTATAAATTCGGTGCGTCTGAAGAGCTTTTCTGGATTTTCCTTAATCTGGAACACTCAAACCTTAATTTTACAGCTCAGTATATATAAATATCTTAAGACTTGGAAAACCATATGCCCAAAAGGGACATAAAAAGAATAGCCAAAGCCACCTAGAACAAATATGTCTAAAGGAGTTTAAGATTAGTTTCTAAATAATTCGTATTTGTAAATGGTTAATTCAAAAAAAGGAATGTTCCAAATAATGCAAGTGTAGAGTCACTGACTACTGAGCTGACGATGCCCTCGAGAACTAGCAGTCCACCAGCAGTGGTATCGACCCAGTGCTAAAAGGTTGATATATAGGAACGAAAAATCTGTTATCAAATTAAGCCAGACAAGACTATAGTCGGACAAAAAGATCATGACAGGAACGAAAAAGCTGTTATCAAATAAAGCAAGAGAAGACTATAGTCGAACAAAAAGATCATGACAGGTACGAAAAAGATGTTATCAAAAAATGCAATACAAGACTATAGTCGGACAAAAAGATCATGACAGGAACGAAAAAGGTGTTATAAAAAAAAGCAATACAAGACTATAGTCGGACAAAAAGATCATGACAGAAACGAAAAAGATGTTATCAAAAAAAGCAATACAATTCTATAGTCGGACAAAAAGATCATGACAAGAACGAACAAGCTGTTATCAAATAAAGCAATACAAGTATATATACTTATTGTATAGTTTTAGTGTTGATATTCACCCCATATGTACCAAGTGTTAAATTAGTTTTATTGATATTAAAGAAATTTCTTGGTATTCCTAAACGGAAGATTTTATACACACAGAAGAAGAAGTATACTTAACAACAAAATTATTTTCATTTTCCTGTGTATTATATGACGCAGGTTTTTTCAAAAGTGATGATTTTCTAAATATTGTTTTAACATTTCACAGTGGTATCATACTTTAACTTTGTTTAAACCTGTTTATTTACTTTTGACCTTAATTATTTATCCCTTATAATTTTTATTAACTATGTATTTGCATTCAGGTATCACAGATCAAATTTATTCGTTCATTGTGTGTTAATTTACGTTTTTTGATTGAGTTAAGCCTTCCAATTGATATTTTATAGTGTGTCTTTCTATGTTGTGATGTTATACTATTGTTTCAGAAAAGGGAGATTGGTTGGAACCATTAAAACGTTTAATCCCGCTGCAAATGTTTGCACCTGTCCTAAGTCAGGAATCTGATGTACAGTAGTTGTCGTCTGTTTATGTAGTTCATACGTGTTTCTCGTTTCTCGTTTTTATATAGATTAGACCGTTGGTTTTTCTGTTTGAATGGTTTTACACTAATAATTTTTGGCCGTACCTTGACCTATAATGGTTTACTTTTATAAATTGTTACTTGGATGGAGAGTTGTCTCATTGGCACTCAACCACATCCTCCTATATTTATCTATAGTCGGACAAAAAGAGAATGACAGTAACGAAAAAGCTGTTAACAAATAAAGCAATACAAGACTATAGTCGGACAAAAAGATTATGACAAGAACGAAAAAGCTGTTATCAAATAAAGCAATACAAGTCTATAGTCGGACAAAAAGAGAATGACAGGAACGAAAAAGCTGTTATCAAATAAAGCAATACAAGACTATAGTCGGACAAAAAAAGGATAAACTGACAAAAAACTGATATTGCGTGAAATCGTCTTACATTAACAACGACTACAAGATGTTTTGGGTATTTCGAAATTATCCTGTTTTTCTATGGGTGCTTACCACAAATGTAAAATGCTATCAAAAGGGGATGACCAGAAAAAAGGTAGACCATGGCATTAAGAAATAAAAAGAAAGCGATGACAGTCCACACAAAACTTCACATAAAACACAAGTTTTCGCAATACTTACCATCATGATAACTGAAATTGACACTAAGGATTTTCTACCCCAGGAAAAGATTACTAGTAACTTAGCTATATTTGGCAAAGCCTTTCGGAATTTAGGGTCATCAATACTCTTCAACTTGGAACTGTATTTGGTATCTATGATGGGTTTATGTTCGACAAAAGAGTGGATTTCGATTTGCCCTATTGTGGACTTTTTTCTCTGTGTAGCAACATTCCTGAAGTGCCTGTATATGTGGTATGTATGTCCTAGTTGATACGATATTCGACGGCGTACGTTTCCATTCACAATAACCGTGATAAAGGGGTTATGATAACATTACGAGAACGCTATTGCATCAAGGGACCAAATCATTCCCATGATAGTTTCACAGATCCATTATGATTTGGTTGATCCGTACCGGTTATGGAATATCTTTGTCACAGTTGACCATGGATATGTTCATCTTGTCGTAAACAAAATCATGTCCTATCTTCCTCGATTGTGACATTACTGAATGACTTGTCATCGTATTTGTACTTGCAATGAGTAACTCGATGGATTCCACTAGAGAAGCAGGAGCTGCTTACCCTTCCGGAGCACCATAGTTCACAGCTTATTTCATGTAGGGTTCGTGTTGTTCCTTGTACTGTTTTGTTACTGTTGTCTGTCTTTTTGTTTGTTTTTCCTCTTTGTATCTTCTGTCCTAACTTTTTACAATATTGAATAATTATTTTGATGCGCTTTTGAGATACAAGTGTATGCTGAAGGAGAAATATTTCGTTCTACAAGGGATATTTAACTGCTTTATTTCACTGATAATTACTTATCATAATAGCTTACATATGGAATGAATAATTTAATATATAAATTTCATCAAATAATTAAGATAATTTTGATTTAAATTACCGTTTGTAAAAAAATGACAGCGGCTAGGTTCGGGAGTTCGTCTATCTAAAGGAATATCTGACAAAATTCGCAACCGGTTTAATCAATTATCATTGATGTATTTATTTTCAGAAGTTAACTTTTAATAAAAAATTTTGAATTATTCCAACCGCTAAAGGTGTTTCTCATTCAGGCATAACTTTACCTTAGCCGTATTTGACACACCATTTCAAAATTTTCGGTTTATAATGCTCTTCACTTCGGATATAATTTAAACTTCCAATTGTTTCGATTAGAGCGCCACTGATGGGTCTAACGAAGGTAGACGAAAAGCATGTCTGGCTTTGATGAGTTTTATCATGTCCAACAAATACATTTTTCTTAGGAGTTTACATTGTTGTACACAAGTATCATGTGGAAAAAGGGAAAATAGACAGACAATCCTTTAGCTGCACAAACGTCTTATGAAAATGTCAGCGGGACAATTCTAAAAAATAACTCTTAATTGAAAGATATATTTTGATGTCAAAGCATTAAACAATCGATAAAGAATACGAGGCATTCTAAGACCCAAAATAATTCTCCGATTTCATTGGTATGTCTGTTATAGCATGTGCGTCTTTAGCAGTCATCTGTTACCCTTTGACAGCGCTAAGGATATATTAGTCCAAATAAATTTTGAAGTCTTAGAATGCTATTTAAATTTTTCTTTGATGCCTTTCGGCGATGGATCTCTAAAAATTGAAATAAAAAAATACCCTCAGCAGATTTCATGATTATCTGGATTAGTGACATATATGTCGCTTATAAAAACTATAGGGTGACGTGGTATGATTTCCAATGGAAACATCATCAAACAGAAACCAAATGCTGTGGATATAATCACAATTAATTATAGGTCATTGTAAGGCCTTCATGAGAAAAAAAACCATACCGTATAGTAAGCTATTAAAGGTCCCTACATGGCAAAAATTGAAGCAATTTAAAAGAGAAAACAACGACCTGAAATATGCCCTGCAAAAAGCAACCAACGAAAACCACCGAATAACAGGCTCCTGACTTAGAACAACAATTAATCAAAACTACTTTTAACAAATGGCGAACAAATAAACGTTCCAACGACCTACCGTGCTAGAGACATACATTTCCCTTACTAGACATTACAAAGGAAAGTTTTTGGTTAACTAAAGAATAATTTACCTATAGCTACTTGTTCAAATAAATACACCTGAATACTTATTATAGCATACATTCTAAGACATTTTAGATTAAAATGAATAACTATATAACGCTATAAAGTCAAATCTTAGGTAAGAAAATGCAGTTTTACGTTGTTTTCTGAATTATTTTGAACATTCGTCATTTAGGGACGTCGCAGCAGAATGGTAAATAGTTCAAATAGTTGTGGACGTATGCCCATATTTTATAATCTTTTGATGACATGTCTTGGTAAACCTTTCGATGTATGTTGCTTGCCGCTTCATTGGCGTTTATTCCTACACTTACTTTTATTCATAGATCTACTTCAAAATGCAAAACCCGTTAATTGAAAAAGAGAGACGAAAGACACAAAAGAGACACTCAACTCAAGTCGAAAACAAACTGACAACGCCATGGCCAAAAAAGAAAAAGTGTGAAATTGTGCATACGGTTGAAAAATTTCTCTTAAACTGCAAATACGTTACGTTTACAGGATCTTTACTCAATGATGTAGGCACGTATTTTGATTTGAAGACAGGATCGCTGCAGCTAAATTGACTTTTCTCCTTGTACAGTATCTCAAGATTACGGTGTCGATTTACTGTAAACATATCAAATGTGTTTATTTTCAATCAAATTCACCTTTCCTCCATTTAATTACTATGAGCGGTAAAATATAAATCCAATATCGGAAACATTTAAATGTTAAATATATACAATATGCATTAACTTTTATATTGACTGTGTAAACAAACTTTTTCTTCAATAATTATGGAACATTTATTGGTTCACCAATTATTAATTGTAGTTATGTTTACTTGCAGTTCCAAATTAGGAGCCTGTTATTCAGCGGTTATCGTTTGTGGTGCTTGCATTATTTGTTTCTCGTTTATTGTTTTGAGGACACACCAGGTCGTAGTTTTTTTTTCTTTTAAATTGTTTCACGTTTTGTCATACAGAGAACTTTAATAGATTAACATACGGTATGGCATGTGTTCATTACTGAAAGTCTTACGGTGACTTATAGTTGTTCACATCCTCGTCCTTTAAACACTGGTGGTATGTAAGCCGACCCTTATAATATAAACTCCTGATGCCGGTTTGTACGACGCGTGTTTCGTGAATCTACCACTAGTTACTTCTAGAGTTCATAAGAAGTTGGTTTTCTCAATTGAATTGTTTCATATTTTTCATGTCGGGGCCTTTTCTAGCCGACTATACGGTATGGGTTTTCTCATTGTTGAAGACCGTACGGTTGCCTATAATTGCTTACATCCACTTAATTTGAGCTTTGTTGAATAGTTGTCTCATTGGCAACCATAACACATCTCTTTACTTTTATATAATATAGTAAAACGTTTTACCACAAGTGCTAATCTACTAAAAAGTAAAATAACAAAGATACCGAACTCCAAGGAAAATTCAAAACGGAAAGTCCCTTATCACATGGCAAAATCAAAAGCTCAAACACATCAAACGAATTGAAAACAACTGTCATATTCCTGACTTGGTAAGTGTCTACTGTTAAGAAGAAAATTTCACATAGAAGTGCGAGTGGAATTGGTAAAAATTAAAAATTGAACAGCACGCAATTACTATAATCATATAAATCATCTAAAATGGCGTTACTATGTTTAAATCAAGAGTTCGTAATATAGTATAGAGCTATACAACTATTCTACGAAACGTCTTTTGTTTAGAAGACAATTTCGGTCAGGCGTGCGAGTGCAACTGGAATGTTTTGGTTGATTGTTGTTTGCTTTACGTCCAAAGTCAATTGTTTCAGGACTATAGTTGGTATTGTCAGATTTCCTTTTACTGCGTAGCAGGAATTAAACAGAATGCATTTATTATAACGATCTACATCATATTTAATGGTGCTACTATGTTCAAATATAAAACCATGATTTTCACATGAAATGGTCATACAGGAGATTCTTGTCCGCTAAATATTATTTTTCTAAAATGAGTATTGAGCTCCTCTCAACACTTTTTAACAGTGATTCTAACGTAATATAAATTGAAAATAATATTTGAAAATGTTATACAAAATTCGGGTGGTGTCCATAGCTAACATTAGGCATTTTAACCAGGCGAACATAAAAGGTCAGCCTAAACCGTTTCTACGTTTCTGCAAATCGTATGAAAAAATTACCTGCATCTTTTACCCTGGTTAAATCAACGTCATGATTATACTGCACGCCTGAAAATATTGAAAATGTAAAACATATTTTTTTTATTATTCCTTATTTCATCTCTTTTCTTTTCTATTTTTCTTATGCAATGGAATCGTATTAAATTGTCGATGTTAAATCACAATTCCTATCCATTACCAAATGAACGATTTTTCACGATTCAAATGATATAATGATGTCCTTAATTATCCGGTTCAAAAAATTGTATGATTATGCTTTAGATAAGATTGCAACTCCTTCATCGAAATTGACCTATGACTATTTTAGGCTCAGGTTTCATTAGAAAATTTGAGTTCAGACTATCTGATTTACTTTCGTGCTCTTTTCATTTTTGTACTCTCCGATATTATATATTTTTGTGACTCAAGACCAAAGGTTAGCGAAACTGATAATGCGAATGTAATTCAAGAAGCACTGGCTTTTTGAGAGAAAAAATTATCTGTACGACTTGTGTCATTTTTAGCTCACCTGGCCTAAAAGGCCAAGTGAGCTTTTCTCATCACTTGGCGTCCGTCGTCCGTCGTCGTAACTTTTACAAAAATCTTCTTCTCTGAAACAACTTCGACAAATTTAACCAAACTTGGCCACAATCATCATTTGGGTATCTAGTTTAAAAAATGTGTCCGATGACACCGCCTGCAAACCAACATGGCCGACATGGCTAAAAATAGAACATAGGGTATTATATCTCTGAAACTAAAGCATTTAGAGCAAATCTGACAATGGGTAAAAATGTTCATCAGGTTGAGATCTATCAGCTCTGAAATTTTCAGACGAATCAGACAACCCGTTGTTGGGTTACTGCCCCTGAATTGGTAATTTTAAGGAAATTTTGCAGTTTTTGGTTATTATCTTGAATATTATTATAGATAGAGATAAACTGTAAACAGCAATAATGTTCAGCAAAGTAAGATCTACAAATAAGTCGTCATAACCAAAATTGTCAATTGACCCCTTAAGGAATTATTGCCCTTTAAAGTCAATTTTTAACAATTTTTTGTAATCTATTACAAAAATCTTCTCAGAAACTACTGAGACAAATTAAACCAAACTTGGCCACAATCATCATAAGGGTATTTAGTTTAAAAAATGTGTCCGATGACCCCGCCTGCCAACCAACATTGCCGACATGGCTAAAAATAGAACATAGGGTAAAATGCAGTTTTTGGCTTATATCTCTGAAACTAAAGCAAAAGTATAATGATTGCATTATTTCATGCATCAATTGTAAACAAAAATATCAGGTGAGCGACACAGGCTCCTTGGAGCCTCTAGTTCAGTGTTATTATATTGTTCTTTACATGTTTGTTTTTGTGAGAAGTAGTGTAACCTTAAAACTAATAATAATAAGCGGAAGGCTCCACGGGTTGTATAAATTACCAGTCACGACTGGACATTCAACACAAGTGGAAGTTTTCCAAGGATCTCTGCAAGTAATTTAAAAAGCCGCTTTGTCGCACTTGTATGCCCGTGCTTAATGATTGGGCAAATTCACAATCGGACTGATTACAGTCATCAAATATATTGCATGTGTGAAAGTAGAATTCCCTACTAGTACAAGCTTTTTAGAGTTTTTACATCTTTCACTGAATTTCGCCCGTTGTTCTTTTTATGATGTAACTTCCAATAGGATTACTAGGGGGATAATAGTTAATAGGCGGAGCTAAAACAAAAGAGTATGTTATAGAAATTTGGATGGAAGGTTAGAGAGCTATAAAATCCTATTAATCACGCCAATTTAATTTTCCAAATGCAAGGAATATCAGTGAATTGTCAATTGTTTCATCTGAAATCATTTTCCCTTGAATTGTTCAGTATAGTTATATAGGTAATGTTGTTGGATATGCATTTGTACATTTGGCTATCTATTCCAACTATATATTATATAAATGGTAATGCGGTATTCAAAATAAAATTCGTGAATACTGACTCAAGGGAGTTACACACTCAGGTAGAAACAGGTGAACAAACATCAAGGAACAATGCAAAAATTATCAAAAAAGTGTACAAAGATGTATGTTTGCACGTTAATTTCTATATTTACCTTCTGCTTCCATAGCTGAAACAAGTCTTGGAAGCCAGACGTTTATATCCCCTGTGGCGTTCACATAAGTGAATGGTCTAAGATAGCCTGGTATCTCACAGTCTTCCTTTAAAACTGGAATGATGACATTTTCTTTCATTTCAGCTAACAACTTTATTATAGCGAATTCCACTTCATATTGACACCAATAACTCTTATAATACTCCTCCGTTAAAATAAACATTGTTTTCACGGAGTTGGACATAGCATATTCTATGTTTTCCGTTATTTTCTTTCCTGGTATAAAATCTGCAGAATGCTCAAAACACTTAAAGTTGTAGTCGTTTTGTAAGTGTTGTATTACTGTTCCAACCCAGGATCTGTCACTTTCACTGTAGGATATAAACACGTGGAATTTCTTGCCATTAGGAAGTGGTTTTGTGTGTTGTGAATTGTCGTTATTCTGATGTATTAGTTCGCCATTAAATGGTGAAGCCATCTGTTTGAATGGTACTGAAAACAAAATAATCAAACAAATTATACAAATAAATGTCTTTATTAGTGTATGCATATTTGTCAATCCCCATAGAAATATCCAGCCCATTGACAAGTATTTTGACATTTTTTAAATGATACAATTTTGTATGGAAATCCTGCAGTCGATACAAAGTACATGTACTTCAATTTTGGTTGCAACTCCCTCATATTAAAATATTACCTTTGACGATTTTTGATTTTTCTATGCCCTTTTCAGGGCCACCAATACGTTTTCAAAGAGTTTACATTAAATTTTGTTGCATATAAGCGCCAAGCAAAATTAAAAGTAAAACAGTTATATTCCTTCCATGTAGAAATGGCAAAGACATTAAGTTTGCTCCTAGAAACAACCAAAGTCATTCTGCTTACAACATAAAATGTTGTTGGTTGTGGCAAAGAGTTTCTAGCCTTAAAAATATCTATGAAAAAAGTAAAATATAAAAAATACCGAACTCCAAGGAAAATTCAAAACTGAAAGTCCCTTATCAAATGGCAAAATCAATTATTATTAATTATTATTATTATTATTATATGACATTTCGTTTAATCAAATGAGTTTAAAAGAGGTTCTGTTTACTATCCTTATATACAAGAATACGGATAAATCTGTTTTGCTGTCGACTTTAAAGCAAATTAAGACTATTAAACAAATAAAATAGGAGATACATAGCAGTTACTGACATTATAAAGAAACATGGAGGGTTTTGAATCATATAAACATGATTAATATAACAAGGGGTTGTATGTTCTAGGGCAGTGCGTTACTTAGATAGCACCACTCAACGCAAAATATATATATATGCTCATTTTACTGGTGGCAAAAAAAAAAACAGTTTATCGTTCAAAAGCGAAAGTAGATTGTATATACTGATCGCTTTCGTCTCATTGTTGGCAATGGTAACTTTGATGTGTTTGTTACACTTTAAAATTATCCATATTTACTGAGTGAAATATGGCAATTTAAGAAAACATACTGTAATGTCTTTAAAAATATTCAAACATCCAAATGATACGTACTTAAATACATTATAACAAAATATATTAAAACATGAAATGAATATAAAATACTCACATCGCTTTTATAGATCATAAATAAAGTCATGCATGAAACATGTCGACTATGATAATAACGATCTATGGTTATTGATTTTTACACTCAAACTAAACAGTCACTCTACGATGCAGTACTGAATAAAGGCGAACAATGCATTATAGAGTTTTAAAATGTAGGTATTGAAACGTTTATGTATTAAAATTATGTTACGTTTATGTGATTGAATGAAATTAAAAAGATCATATGAATTAATCTACTGCAAATATAAAAATGCTATTTAGAAAAGGGAAATGAAATTTACGTTTTAACGTTTTAATAAAGGAAAAGCCATGTCAAAATATGTGACAACATCTTTAAAAGGAAACATACTGTAATGTTTATCCATCAGAACTAATGAAAAATGTATTCATGGATTGGTTGATATTTTCTTAACGTGCATTTGCATGTTACATATAAAAAAGAAGATGTGGTATGATTGCCAATGAGACAACTCTCCACAAGAGACCAAATGACACAGAAATTAACAACTATAGGTCACCGTACGGCCAACAATGAGCAAAGCCCATACCGCACAGTCAGCTATAAAAGGCCCCGAAATGACAATGCAAAACAATTCAAACGAGAAAACTAACGGCCTAATTTATGTACAAAAAATGAACGAATAACAACTATGTAACACATAAACAAACGACAACCACTGAATAACAGGCTACTGACTTGGGACAGGCACATACATACAGAATGTGGCGGGGTTAAACATGTTAGCGGGATCCCAACCCTCCCCTAACCTGTAGTTAGGAATATGACAGTTGTTTTCCATTCGATTGGTGTGTTTGTGCTTATGATTTTACCATTTGATAAGGTACTTTCCGTTTTGAATTTTCCTTGGAGTTCGATATTTTTGTCATTTTACTTTTTCCTGTATATTAAGGACGAGGACACATTAACAATTAACTGTAGACTAATAGGTTAAATGTGTCGCCCGGGATAAAGGGATCTTGCCAGCCATTGAAAAATGTAAGCATAATGGATAGGGGCAGAAATTTTACCTTGCAACGAGCGACCTATGGATCCCTCAAAAGAATTATTGCAATGGTTCCTGAACATGCAGAGAGCGTAGAACTCTCCCATTCTGAACCGACTGGATGTCTATTTATACATATCGCACGGACAAACGGACAACTTTGAGGTTGACATTACAGTGTGAACACTATTGAATTAACGAATTTTGTGTTAGGGGTAAGGCAAATATTCTATACTAGAACCGGTTTATGTTAACAATTTTTTTTAACTAAAATTGAATGCCATCATACGTGTGAAAGCTTCATGCTTTGTGTGACCTTTATTGTGTATACATGTATCTGAAAAAATTGCAATCCTGGTGGATTTTGACAAAACAAAAAAACGAATAACATTTGGTTGAGATAGGTCAATGATGATTTAAATTCTGTTAATTAAACGAAGATGGGAAATTCAAACTAAATAATCATACCACATTTGCTCATTTTTTATATTATTTTTGACAAGGTTAAGGTAACAGTAGTTTACCGATGTTCAATCTCATAAATCCATTAAGATGATAATTATGTGAATAAAATAACTGAGGGTATCACATGAACACCAAAAGGAGCGAGACCGAGTGCTTCGAGATGATAACAGTCTCCTATCGAAATGCATGCATCACCCCCCCCCCCCCCCCATAACGGGAATCCACACCCAAGCAAAATGTCACAATCGGGAGTAGTTAAATTTACGGATGAGGAAACATGTCCCTAGTGAGTCGAAACACATCATCGTCTCTTTGTATTGATAATGTGTCTTTCTAATATCCTGTTCTCATGTTTCTTTTAATCAAATTAAAACAGACAGCACAAGGTTAAAAAAACGTATCATTATTTCACTAAAAACATTACCAGATTTATTTTCCTTTCTAAAATCATTCCTTTCAGCCTATGGAATTCTGAGAAAAAAGTGTACTTCTGATGTACTTCTGATAATTGAAGTGTTCCAATCACTGATGAAAGGGCTGAAAGGATTGAGTGCATAATTTAAAATCTTATTCTCAATTAAAGTGGTGAGGAAACAAACTTGATATATCATAATTGTATTTAGTTCAGAAAGATAATCTTTTGTAAGATGATAAAACAAGCTTGTCTCTCTAAATTCACTTGTAAATTGTTGCTTTTGGAGGATTCTTAACATAGGCATATTATTTTTCTAACTCATCTTATGAGCGTTTATTGGTTTCTGACAAAAATTATAGGACACTGAAGATGGTTATTTTCTTTTCTATAATTTTACTGTTTTTTTATATATTGCCTAAAGATTTTGATGCAAATTCTTTTGATATTTCAATTTTAGAAGGTTAGCTGATTTTTTGACATGCTTTTTATAAACGTTTTTCAATTTAATGATTTTGACATGGATGGAAGGAAGAGTCTTCAAAAGACGGTGTAGTATATTTTTTTTCACTATGTTTCACTAAAAATAATTTCAAGAATGAGGCACTAAAATGCAACAACAAACTATTAACTAACTTTTACCTATAAAATTGGTATTGATTCTTCATTAAAAAATAAAAGAACAGATTTCCAATGTCCCCCGCGTTGCACATATTTTATCTATCCAAGGTACAAGGGCAACAACTAAAAAAACAAACACTTTTTTTTTGTTCTATAGAACTTTTTATAAATATCTTCGAGAAATGAAGGCTTCAGAGCAAATGCAATGCGATTTCCCATATAATTAAAATTTCCAAGGGGCATAACTTGTTAATAATATTGATCAGCACTTATTTTCGAAAGTGTCAAAGACATTGCTGATATAAATTTCATAAAATTCCGGCAAGAATTGTATACATGAGAGTGCTAACAATGCAATTTTCCATATAATTAATATTTCCAAGGGTAATAACTCTTTTAAAAAATGTATACATGAGATCGCTCACAATGCAATTTTCCATATAATTAATGTTTCCAAGGGGCATAAATCTTTTAAAATAATTGATCGGTACTGATTTTCCAACTCGACCAAGACATTACTGATATAAAACTATGATACAAGTTTTATAAAAATCTGGCAAGAATTGTACACGTGAGAGCGCTAACAAGACCGGACGGATGCCCAGTATTTCTATGTCAATAAAATGCTTCGCTGAGCGCAGCCTGATACGACCGCAGAGGTCGAACCCTGAACAGTTGGGGCAAGTTTGGACACAATATTCAAGCTTGATACTGTCTGAATTTGGATTGTGATCAAATTTTTGACATAATATAGGTTTCTGACACAAAATAAATGTGGTCAAAGATTTTAAAAATTTGAAATGGGACATTTAATTTACCTAGAATGGTCTGATATCCAAAATCTAACAACATGGTTAGATTCAGCATATAAACAAATACCAAAAATTTAATTTTAGTTGAAATCAAACAAAGTTTAATTTTGGACCCTTCAAACCTTAATATGGACTAATTTGAAAACAGGGCCCAAAATAAAAAATCTAAATGCACAATAAGATTCAGCATATCATACAGCCACAATAATTCAGTTTTTGATAAAATCAAACAAAGTTTAATTTTGGACCCTTTTGACCTCAATGTAGACCAATTTAAAAATGGGGCCCAATATCCAAAAAAGTAATACAAGGTTAGAACCCCCAAAAATTAAAGACTTTAAATTAATCCCATTGAAATTTGTTAAAAGATTTGTATTTATTTTCAAATGAAGATTTCTTGCTATTGCGCAATACTGTGCTATTGCGCAAAACTGTGCAATTGAAGATTTCTTGCTATTGTGCAATACTGTGCAATTGAAGATTTATTGCTATTGCGCAATACTGTGCAATTGAGGATTTCTTGCTGTTGTGCAATACTGTGCAATTGAAGATTTCTTGCTATTTCGCAATACTGTGCAATTGAAGATTTCTTGCTATTGCGCAATACTGTGCTATTGCTCAATACTGTGCAATTGAAGATTTCTTGCTATTGCGCAATACTGTGCAATTGAAGATTTCTTGCTATTGCGCAATACTGTGCAATTGAAGATTTCTTGCTATTGCGCAATACTGTGCTATTGCTCAATACTGTGCAATTGAAGATTTCTTAATATTGCGCAATACTGTGCTATTGTGCAATACTGTGCTATTGCGCAATACTGTGCAATTGAAGATTTCTTGCTATTGCGAAATACTGTGCTATTGCGCAATACTGTGTTGTTGCGCAATACTGTGTTGTTGCGCAATACTGTGCTATTGCGCAATACTGTGTTGTTGCGCAAAACTGTGCTATTGCGCAATAGAAGATTTCTTGCTAGTGCGCAATACTGTGCAATTGAAGATTTCTTGCTATTGCGCAATACTGTGCAATTGAAGATTTCTTCCTATTGCGCAATACTGTGCAATTATTTGAAATTTCAAAAATTTTGAAGAAAAAAAATATGGACCCTAAAAAAAAATTGGAAAAAAAATAATCCCCCCAAACTTTTTGAACCCCCCCTTAGAGTAATTACCCCCAAACTCAATCCCAGTCTTCCCTTTGTGGTATGGAACCTTGTAGTACAATTTTAGAGAGATCCATACACTTAAACACAAGTTATTGTCTGGAAACTAGAAACATGCTTGTTTTTGGCCACTTTTTTGCCCCTAATTCCTGAACGTTTGGGGCAATTACCCCCAAACTCAATCCCAGTCTTCCCTTTGTGATATGGAACCTTGTGGTACAATTTCAGAGAGATCCACACAATTACACACAAGTAATTGTCCGGAAACTACAAAAATGCTTGTTTTTGGCCCCTTATTCCTAAACTGTTGGTACCATAACCCCCAAAATCAATCCCAACCTTCCTTTTGTGGTATTGAACCTTCTGGTAAAATTTCTTAGAGATCCATTCACCTGAAGTTATTGTCTGGAAACCAAATGTGTCTTTCGGAGACGACGACGACATCATAGCATTATACAACGAAAAAAATATTTTGCGGCCATATAAAAAAAATAGGACAAAAAAACTGTTCTATTCAAATACCTTATACTTTTTAAATAGCAATATGATGGGAATTAAAAAAATATATATTGCGAAAAAGCTCAGGTAGGAGGACTGCAATTT